GGGCCCGGTTTTTCTTCACTTTTTGGGCGCCCCCCGTGGCACCCCGATCGGCCCCATAGCATCGGGGCTGGCTTTCGGAAAGGAATTTTGGAAATGTGCCAAAATTTGTGATGTTTCCCAAGTGGCCGCCATACCGTGCGGCATAACGTTACTCACGGCGGTATGGCGAGCTCAGAAAAAGCAAAGCCGTGGCCAAGGCGGCGGCCGGCAAAAAAACGCCCATGACCTCACTACCCCCGCCCCGGCGGCTATATTTGGTACAGTGGGTCTGTCATGCGCTTTCGCCTATATCAGACTTGTTTCTCATGCTCAGCTGCTAGCCGGATGCGTACCCAAATGGGCTTAGAACATGCCGACAAGCTCTTGCTGCAATACAAGGCTCATTTGTGTACACAAATCCAGCAACACAAGTTGTCTCTTTGATATGGGGTGGGGGCTTTTTTCATTTTGATACGGGAAAAATGGGAAGAAAAGCTACTCCTTTCAGCGACAACTCACCCCTGGGGTTCTAGTGACGGCGGCGCAACCCAGTCTTCTGTCGAAAGCGGCGCAGGAGGGCGTGGCGTGTCTGAACGAAATCAGCGACCGGCTGTTTGCGGAACAGGCGAATGTGGAAAAAAATTGTGATGCAGTGGATCATGGGCTACAGGAAGGAAAAGACAACCCCGACGAGGAGGAATCTTCACTACCCGCTGCAAAACGGAGGAAAGTCAACATCTCATCGGAACAGGACGGTGGAAACGGCATTTCATCTAGCGTAGATCTTTCTTCCACCACGTCTCTCTCCGCGGCGCTTGCTTCGGAGCTGACCGATTTGAAAGAAGACAAGCAGAAGAAGAATAAAAAGGGGTGGCGGTTTGTAGAAAATTTCTCACGCGGAATTGCGTTTCTCCAGGCGAGCGAGTACCCACGGCCGAAGATAAAAAGAAGTTCATCCGATGGTAAAAACCACGCAGAGGTGGAAATCGAAATAGATGAGGAGAGAAAAACACACATGTCGGAGAAGCAGAAGCAGTCCTTGCGGAAGCAGGAAATCCGGTCAGAAACTTGGAACATGCCATCCAAGGTTGCAAAGGAATTATTTGGAATTTGTGATGCGGATAGAGATGAACCACCACGAACCGCGGAAGTAGAAGTAGACCACGCTGTCATGAAAGAACCCAGCAAGAGCAGGACCAATAAGACGAAATACGTCATCCGCCTCACCCCGCTGGACTACGTGTCCACTCCGCACACCAACAATTTTGAAATGCTCTTGCAGAAAATCGTGCCGAAGGAGGTCGCGGCGTCAAGAGTGTTGAGGGAGGTAGGGTTTTCTGGTTCCGAAATCCCCGCTACCATGGCGGCCGCTTTCCCGAATCCGACGAAAGGTGGTCAACAATCCAACGAAAAGGAGAGCGATGAAGGAGCTGCTGCACAACATCCAGGTGCGAGTACTTCTAAAAGCACCACCAAATCTCCTACCACCAAGACTCTTCTAGGGGACGCAATCGCGGCGAAGCTTCTCGCTATGGAAAGAACAACAAGAACTACGCATGAGAAAGAACACCACCCAAAGCTCTCTTACACTTGGAACTTGGATTTCCGGAAACACAACTTGAGCGGCAACACCGGGAACAAATTTGTGACGAAAGAAACTTGTCGAGACTTGATTGAGAAACAGCTGGAAAAAACGTTCGCGAAGTCCTCTTCGCAGGACAAAGAGGAGAAGATGGATAGCAGTATTCCAGGAAGACAAATTTCCTTCTCCGTGGACATCACTTGCCCCGATTTCTTGTTCGTGGTAGAAGTGACGCCAACGTTTTTGGGTATGTCTGTGTTGCAGGACGTGGAACAGTGGCGAGATTTCAAGCTGTTTGAAAACGACAAGGAAAACGAAAGCGAGGAGGAAAGAAGTTGTAGTGCTGCTTCGGATGTCGATGGTGAGGATGGTGCTGGTTGTACTAGCGGTAGTGAAGGAGAAGACGGCGACCTTCAAACAGCAAGCGAGGATGAGGAAAAAGCGGTGGACGCTTGAGATGACTACAACGCATACTGTAACCCTCCTTGGCGAAACTTTTCAACCATACTGCACTGCGACATCGCGACAGGAACTAAGAAATAAATCATCACGCGGGCGGTAGTAGTAGAACCCCAGCGGTCTACTTCAACCGAAATTGCGACAGCGAAGCACAGCTCGGCAAGTCAACTATTCACATTCATCTGAAACGTCGAAATAAAGTATGCATCAGCAGCTCTTTCAAATGCCTTTTTGATGTCGTGTTCTTGTCGTTGCAAACAATCTACTACCTCAGTTGTACGGCCTTGAGAACTACGTATAGAGTTGTGAGCTGTATCAAAACGAGGGATTGTCGTCTAATGGTTTTCATCTTCCGAAGCGAAATAGACAAACGTCGTCGAAATCAGAAAGAAAAACTACGTTGAGAGATGACAGCAGGGTTGTTAGCAACATTTTGCTGCCACGTTGAGAGTAATAATACCCCTCGAGGAGGCCGTTTTCGTTGCAGGACGTCTTGTTGAAAGTGTTGGCATAGTATGGGTACTACTAATTCTTGCACCACAATAAACGTTTCACTAACACGACTCGTCGTAAGAATACTAGCATCACCGCAAAAATAAACCAAGTCGTATCGTCGTCACCCGCACACCAGCAAGCAAAACGCGGAAACTACAGCTGCGCTTAGATGATCTACTGAAATTAATTCCTCACACTCGCAGTTTTCTTTTTTTTTCTTCTGGGGAAGAGAACTTTTTATGGGGAAATTGTACTACTGTCAAAACTAGGGGAAAGCAAGTAACTCAATTTTGAAAATCAAAAAAATGGACTCGACGTTGGCGAAGTCCACCTCCACGCCGCACCTGGCGACCACGAGGCAGCCGAAGTTGAATGTGACCGGTAAATTCGTTGTTTTTGTCATGCAGAAACTGCATCCGGATTGAAAAGGAAAAGTGAGTTTCAATGAACTTGTGATGCAAAAACCGATTTTGGCGTCCAGTTTGTCATGCGTGTTATTCAAAATCAAAACCAAAACAAAAAATCAGCAATACCAAACCTGCCGGGAACGCAACTGTCCACATCTATCGGCAAGAAGCACTTCCCAAGACAAAACTCATGGTCCATCATCGGAGGCTGCAGAATCGAGCGGGACAGAGGAGAGTATTGAGTTGTGCTTTTTGATGCATCACTATGCATGACAAATTGCGTTTCTTTTGCATGACCACGCATGCGAGCCTGCACTCGGTTCATCTTCACTGAAACCAAAAACAAACTCCCAGGTTCGAAGCCGCACGCGGGAAATTCATCCGGGCACCAAAATCAGCATCCGAGTTCCGACAGGGAAGCCTGCCAAGCAGCACCACGAGACAAGTGTTCCAGAATATCACATGTAAAAATGTCTGGGTCTGGAAGAATGCACCTTGTCATGCCAAACCTGAAGCATGCAAAAATCTGTGTTGCATGATTACCAAAAGTCGTCCAGTTTTGACCAAGTCGGGAGGGAGTTTCTCATGCAGGATAGGCATCAGAGAGATCGCGCAGAATCTGTCACGCTAGGTCCTCCATTACAGACCATTTGAGTCATGGAAAACCTGCATGACAAGTCTAGCAAAGTTCCAGACCCAGACATATTTGGATGTGATACAGAAGCCAAGTTTGACATTTGACGAGCTGCCCGCGTGGGAAGTGCTGGATCGACATGTGCTCCGGTTTTACGCATACGGAAAGGACACTATCCGTATCGAGGTTGTGATTTTCATTTTTCCATGACAAAATGAATCTGCAAAAATGCATGTTTTTACTGCATGACAGCATCCAGTCCTTTCTCATGCGTGTCAACATTACAAAAAAATATTCTCAGCCGAAACCAACTTGGAGAACTACCGGGTTAAGAAGTTCAGAATCCTGTACTACCTGCAGGATGACACCTGCCAGATTAGCATGCCAGAGCCGGATAACAGCGGTTGCGGAGTCTTCTCCGCATTAGGCGGACAGGGCGATAAGGGTATAGGTCCTACTGTTGACAATGAGTCTGCATCTGCAGTTGCTAGTACAGCTTTGTTGATGCATGACGCTTCTGCTTTCTCATGCGCAGAACTTGTTCGCATGTTGGAAAAAATCAAACTAAGGTCTCTCGTCCAACTATTTGAAGCGGTGCAAGCTGAGAAACGCGGATGGATCCGTATTGCCAGTAAAAATCCCCCCTCCCCATATTGAAAACGCATCCTCCTGAAAATTTGTGATGCAGATTTGTGACCACAAACCGGGTCTGTCTTGCAAGAAGGCATACTCAGGCTGTCCGCCACGTTATGCAGGTGGTTTGTAATGCTGTAAGGCCTACAGGGTAGCCGTCTACCATGCTAGGCGCCTACACGAAAAGGACCCCGGCTGTGCTCAGGATCTGTGTGCATTCCTCTACTGCAACACAATTCTGATTTGTGTACCCAGATCCAGCATCAGAAATTTATTTTTTTTTTTCTTTTTGGTAGTGCTCCTCTCTATACTTTTTTTGATCCCTCGGTGCTAGTGGGCACATTTGTACGAAGTTATTTCTACTCAGATAACAACACAGCTCACTACGCCGCCTTCCCAGGAGCTGTTGTTGCTGTCTTTCGGTAGAAATCACATCGTCCAAATAATCCTACTAGAGTTTACCGGGTATGTGGTTTAAGGGGGAACATAAGGACGTTAGATGTTTGATTGCTCTACATTACAAGACCGGCACTTGTGTCGGCCCGCCGAAGTTTCGCGCGCGGGTTCAGCAGTCTTCTTTCTCGCGAAAAAGGTGAGTCTCCTGACCCTTTCGGTCGTCACCACTCCGCCGGTATTCGTGCTTGCGCGGTACCTCACGATGACGATGGTTTAAGTTTTTTAGGTATAGTCTAAACAGGGACACCCAGCCCTTAGCCATCCAAAATCAGAAATTTCGTTTTGATATGGGGAGGGGAAATTTTTCCTCTCAATAATCCGGCTTTGTCTCTCCCGCCACCTTCCGGGTCGGTGAGGACTTCGAATTCCTCGGGAGGAAGGTCAGAATCTTATCAAATGCAAAAATGTCGGGGTCATTGGAAACTTGTGATGCTAAAATGTGACTGGTGGGCGGACTGCAGTACGCAGCGAAGCATGACAAATTTTTCAACTACTACTGTATTCCGTTTTCCGCATGGCAAACTGCGTTTTTGCACGACAGGCAAGAAGCCATTTTCCTGCTCATGCATTACAGATTTATGAGTCATGACAGACAAGCATGACAAACTTGCATTCTTCCAGACCCAGGCATATTTGCATTTGATAAGTCTACAACTGCGACAAGTTCACCGAGGAGTACTACGAGCGGCTTATGTATTGCAAAAATGTCTGCGTCTGGAAGAATGCAACTTGTGATGCTGCATTTGGATGTCTAAAAAATTTGTGTTGCATGAGCAGCAAAAGGAGCCTAATTTTTGCTAAGCGGAGAAGGCATTTGTCATGCGGGATAGGCATCAAGAATCACTCAAAAAACCTGTGATGCTAGGGCATGCATCACAGACATCATGGCTCATGCAAACCGTGCATGACAAGTCTCAGAATCTTCCAGACCCAGACATTATTTTTGCACTTGATACGGCTCGGTATGCCGCAAAACATGGCGCTGGCAAGTGCGGAGTCGGAAATGGACGCGTTCTCAGAGCTATCAAATGCAAATATGTCTGGGTCAGGAAAAACGAAACTGTAAAATCTGTATTGCATGACCAACTTTTGTCATGCAAAAGCACAGTTTCTAATGCCATGCGCAAAAACGCATCAGAAAGCGTCCTCAGAGTTTGTCATGCTGGGCTCCACTCAGGAGTATGCTCACTCGTCACTGTCGCTCAGCATTACAAATTTCCAGACCTAGACATGCTTACACTGGATAAGAGACTCTCGCAAAGAAGAACATCGTGCCATCCAAGCCGGAGAGAACGAACGAAAAGCTGTACTACGAAAACATGCTGAACGGCGGGCACGTAAAAAATTCTTTGCTTTTCTGGTTTTGTAGATTTGGTTTTTTTATTACGATTTTGTCATGCGCCGCTGTGATTGAAAATGAAAACCTTCTTTGTCTGGCATAAATGTGCACAAAATAAATCAAAAACTCCAGATCAACGCCAACATGCAACAATTTATGGAGAACGATCGCAAAGTGTGCCGATTCTACGCCATTGTGGACGACCTCATTACTCCGCAGTACGAGCGACGACCGTTTGTCATCATGTACTTCTTGGCGAATGACACCATTCAAATCCGCGAGCAGTACCCCTTGAACTCTGGGCGGGACGGATTCCCGCTCTTCTGCAAGCGCATGCGCATGCCCAAGGGAAAGACCGAACTGCGAGGGCCGATGGACAGCGCGTATCGGGTTTTTTGCATTACAGATTTATTCGCAGCACCTCCACCTGCAGCGTGGAGTGAAAAACTTTTGTGATGCTGGTTTATCCAAGAAAGAAAGTTTTGTCATGCAATGTCCAACATCATGAAAAATTCAGGTACCAACCGGAGGAGTACGTGCACATTACTGATTTTAACATTGGTCAGCGGGTGGAGATGTACAACACCTCCTTTTACATCTACGACGCCGATGGCTTTACCCGCGAGTACTTCGAGAAGGAGCTCACCGCGTTGCCAACGAAAATCGATGTCCGGCTCCCGGAGAAGGAGATCCCCCGCGCGAAGACGCCACCGTACACCGGGTATGGTTCTTGGGATGACAGCATGGGATCGGTGCTCCAGCTTATCCCGAAAAAACCGAAGTATCAAATGCAAGAATGTCTGGGTCTGAAAGGATCCGAACTTGTGATGCGTGTTTCGGATCCTACAAAGATCTGTGATGCATAAACGTGCAAAAGGTGCTTACTCCTGGCCATGCTGAGTGGGCATTTCTCATGCACAATACGCATCACCAAGGAGCTGCAGAACCTGTGATGCTAGGCCCTGCATTCCAGACGTGGGGGAGCTTGGGAAAACTGCATGACAAATCTCGGAGTCTCGCAGACCCAGACATTTTTGCATTCGATACGAAGAAAGATTTGGCCAAACTCTTCTTCAACGAGGGCAAGACGCTCCGGTTTAGCGCGAAGTTCAGCGGGGAGGTACTACTAGATTCGTCATGCCGGATCATGTACAGGATAGAAATCTGGAAAGATGAATTTTGTGATGCAGGGCACGCATTGAAGTGCAAACTTGTCATGCATCATATGCAACCCAAATTATCAGGTCGCGGAAGAGGACACGATGCGTCGGTTCCTGATGACTTACAACCTGTTCGACGATACCGTCATGATCCACGAGCCACCGTTATGAATTCGAAAAACCACTGCAATTTGTCATGCAGAATTAAGACGAATCGCACATTGCATATACAAAGTCTAGCATGACAAGTTTCTTGGCACGACCTCTGCAGTAGGTCTCTTTTGTCATTCATAACCGCAGAGAAACCTGGGTATTGTCACCGGCCGCTTCCTGGAGAAGGCGGTGCACCTGAACCAGCTTACCGGAAAACTCTTCATGCCGGATGATTTCCTGCCGGGCAAGGAAGTGAAGTGCCAGAGCCACCAGTTCCTGATGCTGGATATGGACGAGTACACCAGGAATTACTTCAAATATGAGAGTGCACAACTACTCTATTTCTCCCTCATTTGTATGGCATGAACAGCATCACAACCACCAACACACGTGGGGCCTGTGCATAAGAAATTTATCACGCCCCGACTGCAGTACTCTTGGGCAGCAGCTTCCAGAATTTGTAATGCAACCAGTGCCATAAGGAACCAACAGGACTTATTGGGATTCTGCATTACAAATGAGGGGGGTGAGATTGTTGTGCACTCTCATATCAAATCGCTGGAAAACGGCGAGGAGATCTACCGCAACAACACGAATCTGAACAAGGTCTTGCAGAACTTGCGGGAGCAGATGACCAACCAATTTCCGCAGGTATAGGAGTGTGGTGTGGCTTTTTTGCATGACAAAAATGTAGTGTCTTTGGTTTTTTGCATGACAAAGTTTTTATCGCGCATCATCACAACTAAACTTTCTGTCAGGTCCGCGACGTGTTCCGCCGATTCGATGCCGACCGCAACGGTGTGCTCTGCTACCACGAAATGGAGCGCGCGCTGCAGAAGTTTGGCTTCATGCTGTCACCGGAAGAGACGCTGTGCGTAATGAAGCACTTCGACCCGGAAGGCACGGGCCAGGTGGACTACAAGGCTTTCTGCTCCAAGGTTTTGGACCCGGACTTCTTCCAGGGCAACCTGATGGTGGTATTGATCAACCGTTTGAATATGCAACACAGTTTTTTTTCTCTAGCTACTTTTCGCATGAGAGCTTTCTCGTGTATGGCCATGACATCCAGTGCCTGTGCTTCATATCACGCATGAGAAATTCAACAAAACGAAAACTATCAGAAACCCGAACTCGTTATCAACGCCGAAGAGCTGGCTTCCTACGCCGATGTCGCTGCGCAAAAGACGGTGGAGCGGGCAGAAACCGAGAAGGTCCGACGGGCGGTCAGGATGATCGGGGACATTTTCTTCACCAGGGAAAACATGCGGGGACGGCTGTTGGCAGAGTGGATACGAGAGTGCACAACTCCCCCTCCGCCGCATTTTTTTGAAGGGCATAAACAGCATCACAAGTCCTGGCATAAATGCAGATTTTGCATGACAAATTCGCGACCGATTCTAGTGCTGTTTCGGCTTCCGGAATCTGTTATGCGAGCAGTGCCAAAGGGAAAAAGATGGACTTGCTATTTTGCATGAGAAATGAGGGGAGGCAGAGTTGTGCATTGTCATAGTGGAACGAGATGGGCCAGGAACCGACCAAGACGTGGGACCAGATTCGATTGGGATTCTTGAAACTCGGGTAAGTAGCGATCTACAGTGTTGGTGTTCTTGCATGACAGAGTCACGTTTTCTTGGTTTGTGTGCATGAGAAACAATAACGACTAATGGCAATAAAGCGGTATTTTTGCCTGATCCGCATGACAAATTCCAAAACTTCTATCAGGTACGTCTTCGATCTGGACGATGTGCAGCGGTGCATTTTGTTCTGTTTACCTACGCATGGTGAAAAATTTTCGTGGATAATGTTGTCATGCACAATACTGCATTGGCGAAAGATGTTTCCAATGCAACGTTGTGCATGACAAGTTCCATCTAAATTTTTCCCCCCCATACCCTCGGGCTGCGACCTCCAGGCTGTGCCAGTGATCGACTTCTTGCACAAGCTGAAGGTCACCTACCACGACATGTACCTGAATCGTTAAGGAAAAGGAGAAGAAACTTGCTATTGCACAGCAAGAGAACAAGGCGTCGTGGACTTAGAACTAGAACTTTAGTACCAAAATGCACCTACTGTACAGAAAACAAATAGCACCAGAACAGTAAAAACGTGTTAGACATCAGATCAACAGCAGAAGACTAAAAACATCAAATCAGACACAACGGAAAACAAGTTGAAAGCTTGTTTTCCCCGACAGGTAATTATTTAGCAGAGAAAAATAAAATCAGACAACACCGGAACAAATAATCGTTTTAGCAAAAATCAAGAACACAATATCAAAAGCCGAGTTATATATGACAAAACTTATCAGACAAGACAATCAGACCAATCCAGTTAGGTTTCCAGAATCAGACACAGTCGGAATCTTCGCTATGGTAGGTTTCAGTAGATTCAGGCACAGAGTTACGAGTTACTATTTAGGTCAGACAACTTCTAACCAAGAGCTATTTTAGAATACAGCAGATCGAATTTATCAGAATCAGTAATCGGATATTAAGGTTTCAAGGAAATAATTTCTCCGCATAGGTCGTTTCAAGCGAGAAAGTTCAGCGAATCAGACACGTTGCAGAGGACGACGAGTTACAGCATCAGAAACTTGAATCAGAATAAATCAGACTTTGAAATTATACCTCTAAAAACTGTAGTTTAGAATTTTACCAGACACAACAACAAAACGGTTTATGGAAAGAAATTTGCACAGATGTTATTTCAGATTTACTTCTAAAAGATCAGACACGACAGCAGGCAGCGAAATATTAATATTGTCACAAACTTTATTCAACTATGTAAACTATCGCTTTATTTCCTCATCTCTCCGGAGCTCGGCTCCTATCAGCCTATATCCTAGCAAACCCGTGGTATTCGTCACCTGTCGTGACCGTGAGCAAGTTGCAATTTTGTGGAGACAAAAGTACACCTAATATTCCAAATCTCTAGGAAATATCGGGATAACAAAACGAACAGTGGAGTTCGGACTCGATAATGCACTTGTATAGGCATACTCCTGCTAGTACGCGGCTACAGGTCCAGATTATGAACTCTTGATGAACAATTTTCTGCGCGCGGTTTTTCCCCCGCAGAGTAAATCCGAGAACTCCAGGTTTAGTACCTTCTTGTTACACTAGCTTTGTTTGAAAACAGAAAATTTTTCACAAGCCGAGGTTCCTGCGGTTAAGTACCTGCGCAGCGGCGCACTGGAGGTGGAGACGAGGCAACAGCACTCCCTGTTCAGCTTCGTGGCAGGAGTTGTACTATGTGGAAGGCTTTCATCGTCGAAAAGAAGGCTCGTCGCATAAGAATGTAGTGCAGGGTTCGTAGTAAGCAAGTCGTTGACATCGCCGGGAAATGAAAAACTACTTACTGTCGTGGTTATCGCAAGCATTTATGATCGCAGCAGAAAAATACTAACGTCGTGGGTCCCGGTGAAATTAATTATCGTCAGCTTTTCCATCGTTCAAAAAGAAAAATCGGTCTCTAATTCCAATGACAAATCCGCGTCGTGGTAGAGTTCGGTATAATCGCGAAGAACCGTCAGTACGTCTTCGGCCTGTCGTCGTGTTTTGCTGCCGTCGCTTTCACTACTGGGAAGGCCGTCCTCGCTTGGGGCGGTGTGTCTTTCAGAAAAATGCAAGAACTGTTGCTTAACCAAGTTCACCTCTAGACCTCCGCGGTCGCAAGACCGTTATTGTTGGACCGAAAATGGAGGACGGTTTTTCTTAAAGTGAAAAGATCCACGATTTTTGCAATTCACCAAAAACAAAAATCATGTCCTCGGCACATCAAAATACGAACAACTCCGCCGCAAGCGGCCCCTTTCTGCGCGTGGCGCACGCTCGGAGTAGCATTGGCAGCTTTTCAACAGGCAATAGTACAGGTTCTGCGTCCTTTCGACGTACGTCGAATGGGGGCAATGGAAATACTAGGAGGACAGGGGTTGCTGCGTCTTCGTCAACCTACGGCAGAAGTAAACAGCCGAGTCGGAGCGCCGCTGCAAGTCGGGGTAGTGCAAGCGGTTCTGGAGCTGGGTCTACTTTTTTGCCGCAGGATAACACCCCTCACCGCCCGCTGCTTTCCGAGGATATCTACATGTACGAGGGCAGCCACGCCGCGAGCGCAGCGGGGGAAATTGTAAGCGCTCCCAACAACAACACTCCGAGCGAGGTCGGCCAGACCACGGGTGGCGAAGCGATTTCCCCAATCCGCGACTACGATGTGGTGATTGGGCGGAACAACTTATGCCTTGGACGGTCGTTAACATACAGAAGGGTGAATTTGCAGTGAATTTGTATTGCATGACTTGCATTTATTGCTTTAAAAGAGAAGTACGCAGCGCAAAGGGCTGGACACGAGCCCAAGCAGCCCACGCAGCGTGAAGGGCTGCTCGTCGCCCGCTGGCACTTGCAGCACCGAAAGAAGTGGTCTTGCGGGGGTCCGCCGGACTGTGTAGTGCATATGTAACCAAGCCCCAAAACCCGGAGTTTCTCGTGCGGTAGCGAATTTTGAATAGGCACCTTGGGCCAGAATTCACCCACGGCTTTTTCAAAATTCACCCCAAAATTCACCGAGCCCCGTTTTTCGATCGTGATAAGCAAACTTTAGAGCAGAAAAGTGCCCAAAAAAGTGCACAGGTGGGCCCTGGGAAGTGGGGCCGAGGGGAAGAGACAGGCGCCCTCTGCTGCACTCAGCCCGTCTATACTCTGCCGAAAAGGCCTGGCGAGTTCACGCGCCTGCCGGATAGACGCGTCAAAGCTCTCTGTCTGGTCCTTTCGCCCTTGTTTTCTCGCCTTCTTGCCTAATTTGCATGCGCTTGCTCGCAGCCTTTCTTTTTGGCGTCTTTGCCGCGGCTGCTGCAGTGCTCTGATGCAAGCACAGGGAGGCGCATAGACATGGCCAAAGAACGGCACCCAGGCCATGTCTAGAAGAAGCTAGCTGCCCGCCGCATAAGCCTTGGCAACTTCTGCGGTGTGCAGAACCCACTTCCCAGAAGGGCAAAAGGGACAATGTCCCGGCGGACTCATCTGCATTTTGTCATGCAAAAATCACTACAGATTCACCACTTCTCATGCTAACGGGTGTTAAAGCTCTAGCCAACAACACCCAGAGTGGTGGCGAAGCGATTTCCCCAATCCGCGACTACGATGTGGTCATTGGGCGGAACAGCAGTAGTGGGTTAAGCGGAGCGGGAACTGTTACCGGTACGACAACCGGTGCTCGTACTTCCTCCGGTAGTAAAGGAGAGCTACCAGTCCGCAATTCTCTCAAACGGCAGTACACCGGTGCACTGGCGGAACCTCTGCTGTCCGAAGAAGAGAAGCAACTGGCGAAGTTTGTGGTCGAAAACGAGCTGCCGGTTGGGGATCTTCATGCGGGAGATGATAACACGCCGCAAGTCGTGGATCACCACGGTGATGATCACAAAACCGGCGCTAAACACCTCTTCCACTACAATTCTTACCGGCTCCACAAAAAATCGTTTCAAAGGTTAAAGAACTCCCTGAACACCGGCGGTGTGCAGCAACACCACCAGCGGAAGTACTGGTTATGAACTGCAAAAGTATCGTACTCGTATAAATGCATTACAAATTTCCTCAGCGTGAGAAATAAAATCTGTAATGCGGATTTACTTTCAAAGAAAGATTTGTAATGCATGACTGCAGTACGAGTGCGATGCTTTTGCATTTCATACTGGTGTCGGCGAAACAAATACGAGTTTGTGGCGTTTTTGGACAGCTTTGAGGTCTTGGTCGCGGCAACCTGCTACATGTTATTCTGTCTCATGCTCGGGACCTTTCACTACTACTTCTCCATGAGCACCGCGAAGGTTTACACTGATGTAGACCTGCATCATAACGTCTACGAGGACGACCTCATTTCCTCCCACCGCAACATTTGGATCGACGGCATGTACTGGGCGGTGGTGACGTTTACCACCGTGGGGTACGGTGATGTCATCCCCGGCAGCCCGCACGACAAGCAGAATCCGCAGCATTTGTGCAGCCCTGACAATGCGTCGTACTGCCATATCGACGAAACCATGCTGATTGTGCTGATTTGGTACATGGTGGTGTCTAACATCCTGATCGTCGCTATCTTGGGGAATTACATGGTGAACGCAACGCGGCAGTCGTCGGCTGTCCGCACGGGGATTTACCGGGTCACACTGGTGGTCGTTTACTATGCATTTTGCAAAAGTTGTTGTACTATCGTATGATCATCGCATGACATTTGCAATAGGAAAATAGAAGAACTTGTCATGCAGTGATTCAGTGGGAGAAACTGAAACAGTGTCTGTCATGCTATCTCTGCGACCACACTCCGTAATATTACAACTTTTGCCAAGCATACCATTCTCATCGTCGGCATGTTTGGGTTTCACGTCACGGACGGGCGGTCAAGCGCGCACGAGATGTTCTATTTCGTTTCGGTCACCTCCACCACCGTTGGCTACGGCGACTTTGTGCCCGACGGAAACGATGGGAAGCTGTTCGCGATTTACGCAACGCAAAAGTATCGTACCAGTTGGTAATTATCGCATTACAAATTTTTTTAGAATCAGAAATGGAACTTGTCATGCGGAAACGAGTCGCAACAGCGCATCTGTCATGCAAGATTGCGATTACCACGACCACGATACAACTTTTGCACAGGATACGATTGTGTACATCACGATGTCAACGATCGTCGTAGCTTCCTCCATCGCGGGACTGATGGACTTGTTCGTGGAGTTGAGAAACGAAAGGTCGGTCCGAAGATTTTTACTTGACGGAGATATCAAGCGAGAATTACTGCGGCAGGCACAGCTGGAAACGGGGGAAACGGTCATCACGGAAGCTGAGTACATTTACTTCATGCTCACGCAGGTGAACCTGTGTACCCCGGCGACGGTGACGGCGTTTATCGTGAGGAAAAATCCCCCTTCCCCATACTGAAAAAGGATACTTCTGAAAATATGTGATGCTGATTTGTGACCACAAATTGTCTCTGTGTTGCTGGAAGGCAAATCCAGAGACTCCGCTGCGTTTTGCAGGCAATCTGTAATGCTGTGTGGCCTACAGAGGACGCGCCTGCCTTGTTGGGCACCTACACCAAAACGCCCCTGCTCCGGCTTTGTATCTGCCTGCAGTTCTCTACTGCAAGACAAATCCGACTTGCGTACACAAATCCCGCATCGCAGATTTCCACTTTGATATGGGGAGGGGGGATCTTTCATTTTGATAGCGTTGCGGCTTTCCTTTGAGATGGTCGCGGAGGAGGAACTGGAGGAAGAATTAGAACAAGCGGGTGATCATGAACCACAGCACAACCTCACCGGCAACGTCGATCTAGCGAAGCTGGAACACCTCGCAGCGAGACAGCTGCCGGAGGGGAGTGTGTACGATGAAGATGGCAGCAGTAGTGTCGCTAGAGCGACTATCGCAAGAAAAAACTGTCTCAGTCTTAAATCTTTGCAGAGCCAGCAATACAAATTTGCGAAGCAAGAAACAAAAAATCTCTGATGCGTTCAAACAGCAATGGAAAACACCTCCTATGAAGTGCGACTTTCTTCCATCTCCGGCATGACAAAAAACTGTTTCAAGGAAGTTGCGCATTACAAGTTGAGACTGAGACTGTTTTTTCTCACGATAGAGACCGATCAGGCAGGTGGAAGCCGCTTCTCGTCCAAGGTGAGCGAATACCAAGGCTTGCTAAGTATCAAATGCAAATATGTCTGGGTCTGGAACATTCTAAACTTGTGATGCTGTCTCTGCATTCTGAAAAAAATTGTATTGCATGACCAGCAAGAGGACTCTAGTTTGTGCTACGCGGAGCGGGCATTTCTCATGCTGTAGAGGTATCACAAAGCGCTCTAAAAATCTGTGATGCTACGGCATGCCTCACGGACATCATGGGTCATGAAAAATATGCATGACAAATCTAGAAATCTTCCAGACCCAGACACTTTTGCATTTCATATTAAGGGGGAATAGTACTACGAGTGCGGCCGGCGTGGTTACGGTCGACTTGCAGGCGGGTGGCGCAGATGATCAGGCGGAAGAGGAGGTGGACGAGGGGAAATACTTGCTGTGATGAAAACGGTCGGGTTAGTACTGGAAAACCTTTATTTTTCGTCATCGCTGGCGGGGTGGTTTTTTTGCACTAAGAGGTACTATCACTAGAGATGTTCGGGTTAGCAAACTTGATTTGTTTTGAGTTGTTTCTACCATTGGTATTCAAACAAGCTATCAGTTTCAGGCTTGTAGTTCCGTTTTTCGTTCAAAACAGTTGCAGAATTTTTTTTTCTTATTTAGCAAGAAAGTCAAATAGCCATAGAAATATGCACGCTACAACTATGTTTCTCCTCTTTTGTTGCTTATGGTTTGGAAAATTAGCTTTTCGAATTTGGATAATCTAGCTCCGCACAGAAATTTGTAAAATTAACGTTGAAAAGTAGGTACGTAAGTACACTTTGGAGATGAGAATGCTGTACACCATGGAACCGAGAATTTTTTGCACTCCGACTTGATTCTGTATCTGTAGATAGCTGTTGAATCATTCATAGTTGAATCCAGAAGGTCTTCGCTCGATATGAAAAACTCTCGATCAGCAGGGGGATCATCAGGCACGGTTCCTAGAAACGAAAATTGTTTCTCTGGTCCTTGAAGATGTGGAGAGTGCATCACTTTAGTAAAAACACGACTCAACATCAAAGATCACGCAAAAAGCCAACTACATAATGATCCACCACTCGGTAGTGCGCTCAAGAATATGAACATCAACGGGAGTCACAAAACGAGATCAACCGCTCCTTCTCGAAAGCAAAGATCAAAAAAGATCGAAAATGAATAGCACGCTCATCGGAAAAACAATTTCAATTACGAGGGTATGTGCGAAATTCGCCGACGGCGAAAGGGCCAGCTTTTGCAGCCTTCACGCAAAGTAGCAGAAATTAGTTTGTGCCAACACAATCACTCCCGATGTCTTGCCATCTTAACAGAGGAACTGGCTGGTTACGGATGGAAAAAAAATGTCTGCTTGAAGATATTATACTAGGGAGAACTAGTACGTATGAAATAGTTTACTGCTTGAAACAACAGACGGCCTGATAGTGCAACAACACATTCAACACGACCAGAACGGCGGTTGAAGAAGAGAAACCGCGCTTGCGGTTCTTGCAGAAGTTTCAACTAGTCTGTATTTAAAAGTTCTCTTGCAAATTGCAATTGTTACATCACAAGATTCTTGTTTCTATACCAAATAAAAGCCCCACAACTACCACAAAATGCCGCAAAACGAGTACATCGAGGAGCACCAGCGCCGGTTCGGTAAGCGCCTGGACCATATGGATTGCAAAAATGTCTGTGTCTGGAAGAATGGAACTTGTCATGCTGTCTGCGGATTCTAAAAGTATCTGTGTTGCATGAGCAGCAAGAGGAGTCAGTCTGTGGCACGTCGCGGAGAGGGCATAATTTCTCATGCGTAATTAGCATCAAGAAGCTCTCAAAAAATCTGTTGTGCTACTAGCACCAGCATCACAGACCTCATTGGTGATGCGAAATGTGCATGACAAGCCCCGACTCTTCCAGACCCAGACACTTTTGCATTTGATAGACCATGAGGAGCGAAAGCGGAAGAAGCAGGCCAGGGAAGTGAAGAAGAATGCCAAACTCGCGAAAAAATTGACCGGGATCTATCCTATGTAAAAACGTCCCCACCCCAGAGTCAAGATGGGGATTTTGCAGCACAAACCTTGAAGTTTTGGGAACCACGCATGACAAATTGCAGGCTGTAGCGTAGTGCAGTTTAGCAAGGGAAGCCGCATAACAAATCGATATCCTTAGGCTGTTTACAGCATTACAAGTTCCAAAACACAATTGATAATGCCCCGCATGGGATCGCGCATTACAAACGCTCTTGTGCTTGCAGATCTGCATCACAACTCTGGGGTGGGGACGTTTTTACTCAGGATAGGATCAAGGCAAAAATCTTCCACAAGAAGCGGTACACCGAGAAGGCACAGATGAAAAAGACTTTGAAAGTATCACAAGGAAAAATCCCCCTTCCCCATATCAAAACGGAATCTCTCATGCTGGATTTCCATACACAAATCAGATTTGTCTTGCAGTAGAGGAATGCAGGCATATGCCCAGCCTCAGTCGAGAGGTTTTGACGTAGGCGCCTAGCATGACAAACGTGTATGCTCTAAGCCAAACAGCATCACAAACCGCCTGCAAAATGCGGAACGCTTTCTGGACTTGCCTTCTTGCAAGACAGACAGGATTTGAGGTCGCAAATGCGCATCACAAATTATCAGACGGATACGCTTTCGATATGGGGAGGGGGGATTTTTCCTTTGGATAGAAAGCGCACGAGGAGAAGGATGCCGATAAGAAACCAGATGAGGACAACGTGCCCAAGGGGGCAATACCAAGTTACTTGCTGGACAGGGAACAGCAGGCGCGAACGAAGGTTTTGAGTAACATGATCAAACAAAAGAGGAAGGAGAAAGCCGGGAAGTGGCAAGTGCCAGTGCCGAAGGTATAGGATTTTTTTTGTCATGCGAAGTGGAGATTTAAACAGCTGTTTCTGATGCAGATTTTGGCATTGACAATCAACACATGCGTGATCATGATGTTTCGCAATTCTCTTCAGGTGAAAGCAATGACAGAGGACGAAATGTTCAAAATTATGCGAACGGGTAAGAGGAAGAAGAAAGCGTGGAAGCGCGTGGTCAACAAGGTCTGCTTCGTCGGGGAAAATTTTACGAGGAAAAACCCAAAATTTGAAAGGTATGGAAAGATTGTGCTAATGTGAGTTTTCATTTTGTAATGGTGATTTTTGCATCAGGATGTCGATTTTTTTTTTACACAAAATGGAATTATACTTTTCGACGCCCGTCGGCGAACATGGTCCGCTTGTTATGCGCAACACAAATTATAGATGTCTCAAACGACGCAATGAATAATACTACAGGTTTATCCGCCCCTCGTCCCTGCGATTCAAGAAGGCGCACGTGACGCACCCGGAACTGAAAACGACGTTTCATCTGGATATTGTCGGCGTGAAGAAGAACCCGCAGTCCGGGCTGTACACCTCATTAGGCGTGATTACGAAGGGTACGGTATTGGAGGTCAACGTGTCGGAGCTGGGGCTGGTCACGCAGACGGGAAAGGTCGTGTGGGCGAAGTACGCACAGGTGACAAATAACCCGGAAATGGACGGCTGCATCAACGCGGTCCTGCTGGTGTAAGTGGAGTCATGGGAGTGGAATTGTTTCTTGGCGGTGGAAAGACAAAATTTCTTCACACAGTGGCAAGAAGAGGTTGAAGAAGTTGTCCACGTGCTCACACTCTTACTACGCTTTAAACGGATGCGAAAAAGCTGTTTGCTCCACTGCGAGTCGCGATTTTTTCTGAATGCGAAAAAGAGGAAAAGAAGGAAAGCACAATGCTTCGAAAGTTGTGCGCAGTGTTATTCTTTTACGTACTTGGGTGTTCGTGTTCCAGGCGAATTGATAAGGAACGTCGCAGGGCTTGCGTCGCTGCAGGTTTTTGCTAGCGTTGCACTGATTTCATTGCCCCATTTCTTTGCACAGGGAAGACGGCGGGCCTGCGAAGTGTGCGGAGGGCGATGGCTGGGACTTCGGCGCCCACTTGGCCGCGATGGAGCGGGAAGTCGCTGCAGAGCGGCCCCCCATGCTGGAGGGCTTGGGCCCTGCCGGGCCCGCTTCTGGGGATGAGTCTGCTGATGCGGCGGAAGCCAGCCCGGGCGCCGGCCGGCCCCGCGACGGCCCCCGCATTTGGGGAATCTGCGACGGAAGTGGGCACAGCAGGGCCAGCCCCCCCCCGCGGGCGGCCAGAGCTAACAAGGCGGGCGCCCGGGCCGGCCGCGCTCTTTTTTTGGGCCCTCGCACTTCCGGCGCCCCCGCGGCTTTTCGCAGCGCCCGCGCATTTCGCCGCCCCCAAGCGCTCGCGCGCCAGGCGCCGCCCGGCCCGCCTGCGCAACTGCGGAACAGGCCGAAGCGCGCATCTGCCCGGCCGGAGTGTGCCAGTGCTGACCGGGCCGCGCACACGGGCAGAGCTGTTTTCGGTCACGAGGACGAACCAGCCAAACGGACTGCGCCCCGTGCCGCCGGGCTCTGAAGTAGCGGCAGCAGCCGCGGCGGTCCGCGCCCCCCGCCTCGGCGAAGGCGCGGGCCCTTGGTAGTTTCAGGGGCGGCGCGCCCCGGGGCCCGCCCAAGCGCGCGCGCGGCGCCTGCCGCTGGCGCGGGCGCCCCCTGTTGCGGCCCTAATGTCTTCGGCAATGTAGCGCGCGCGCGCCCCGCCGGCCCGAGGACCCGTGCCAAGCAAATTCCGGCCCTTAGTTGAGGCCCCGCTGCCGTCACTTCGGGCGTGCCCGAGGCCCCCCGCGCGGCCGCGGCGATCGGCCGCGGCCTTCTGTCCACGCGCCGCGCCGCGCTTTTTGGCGCGCCGCAGCTGCGGCCGCTATTTGTACTCACTCTAGAGCGAGAAAGGGGTCCTGCGCTACTACCTGACTGCCCTGTATTCCCACCAGCTCGCCCTCCGAGCTGGACGCCTGAGCGACGCAACGAACGCCCTGGCATTCCACCCTGTTCTACAACTTCCGTCCAAATATTCATTTATTGGCTGGGGAGTAGTGCTACTGTTTCACAGCAACTGAGAGTCGAGAGTGAGTCATTTACTACGCTGCCGTGGCTTGTTTTTCTTGTTCGGCGGCACCATCGTGGTGGCGCGCACTTCATCTTGTCGGTGGGTAAAAGAACGTTTCTGAGTTCTGTCCTTTCTGAGTTCTGTCCTCCTGCGTGCTAATAAATTCAAGTAGAAGTACGACAGCAGTCGCATGTAAGTATCTATCATGTAGTCCGTCATCCACCTCTCACGCGGATCGCTGCGTAAATAAAAAGTCAACTCAAAAAAAATGTTCGCCTTTACCGTTTTCTCCCGCTCTCTGAACGAGCGTGACGCGCGGGAGGCCTCGACGGATACGACGCACGCCACGCTGGAGTCCGAGTTATCCTCAGTGAAAACGCCCCCACGACCCTAGCCTCAAGATCCGCTTTTTGCTACACAGACCAAGAAGCTTTGGCTGTTGCGCATGACAAGGTTCGGCCTCTGGTGTGGTTGCGTTTGGCTAGTGAAGCCACATCACAAATCTGACTTCTTATGCTGATTAGAGCATTCCAAAGTTGTCCCAGACAGCATGAGAAAACGCTCATCATGGGGCTGTGCATGACACACAATCTCGGTATGCAATTTTGCATGACAGAGCCTCTGGCTCTGGGATGGGGACGCTTTTGTTCCGGATACGAGCACGATAGAGTGTACAATCCGCAGTTCGCGGCGGCGCCGGATGACCGAGGGCACGGCTTCGACTCGCAGAAAGTGCAGCGGTTGCCGTATTGAATTTATTTTTTGATGTTTGTGATGCGAAGATTACTAACACCAGTACCAGTAGGACCAAAATATTTGATGCTAGGTCGTTGATTCGAGCTGTAGATCAGTGCGCTCTATGGTACATACAGCACGGAAAGTATAAAGCCAAAAATTATAAAACGTCTGTACAACGAATTATACATCACAGTTACTTCGAAGCCCGACAAGGTGTTCTGTGGGAAAAGCGCGAGCACATGGCGATCAACGATTTGATCGCACGGGAAGTGCAGGTCGAATGCGGGCCGGAGCAGGACGATTTGATCAATTGCCGCATGGACCGGACCTGGACCAGCAACAAATGTCGGGAGTACGAGTACATCTGGCGACGGTGCAGCAGTCGGCCGAAGGAGTGGTTGGCGAAGCGGAGGTATGGATTGCAAAAATGTCTGGGTCTGGAAGAATGCAAGATTTGTGATGCAGGTTTTCCATGACCCATGAGGTCTGGAATGCGAGACCCAGCGTGACAGATTCTTTGAGGTCTATATCATGCCTTTCCTGCATGAGAAACTCCCTCTCAAATTGGTCAAAAGCGGGCAGCTTTTGGCACTCACGCAACACAGATTGTTGCATCATTTAGATTTAGCACGACAAGTTCAAATCTTCCAGGGCCAGACATTTTTGCAGTTGATAGGAGACGGGAGTTGGCCGTGCAGCGGATCGAAAACGGGGAGAGCTTGATGTTTTCCTTATGAAGTGCAAAAATGTTGTCTGGGTCTGGGAACTTGTGATGCTAAAATGTGCATGAGGAAAACACTGCCGAATGCAGTCCGGCATGACAACTTCCCAAAACGCTTTCTCATAGGCAATCCGCATCAGAAGCTGCGTTTTTGCATGACAAAAGAGGCTGCGACTTTTGTTGGTTATGCAATACAGATTTTCTAGGTATGGAAAGCTAGCATTACAAGTTCCAACCTTCCAGACCCAGACACTTTTACAATCCATATTCCTCCTTAATGAGCAACGTGAACAAAATGTTCGCGGAAAAAGACGCGTTCAGCATGTTTACCGACCACGAATATTTCGACGGGGAAAGGGGGACGGAGTCGTTTAGGAGTTATTAGGGCGGGGAATGATGTTTATTTACTCCCTTACTTGGCGGCGCGGTCGAAGATACGGATTGGTAAGACTCCTGCGCCACTTTCGCGAAGCGGCTAATTTAGCGCCGGAGGAGGAGAATCCGGTCCGGGATTTTTGCGAGCGGCATATTTTGAATTTTTGACGGACCACTACCAGTCCACTTGAAAAATCCGGTCGGTGTGGATTTGTGGGGACGGGATGGTGGGGGTTTCCGACCGCGTGGCGTTTTTGGGAACAGATGTTTCTGTGAAGTAGAACAAGAGCAGAGCAGGATATCATGCTTGTGTAGCAGAAGTTCTGCAGATTATAGGTGGATCGAAGTAGAAGACACGGCTTCTTCCGCAGTACTACACGACCTGCGGGCAAAAGAGAAACATGGTCTAGTAGGAAAATGTCGTGTCGAAAATTCGCAGTACTCCTGCGTCACAGGCACGGAGAAGATAGTACCCACCGCAGAATACGACTCACAACTTGCAGCGGTGCATTATTTTGTCCCACCATGTCGTGAACTGGTGACACACTAAGGGTCGTTGTTCCTGTATTTTCAGCCTCTCAGCCTGATTGAAAAAGATCCGTTCACTCCTCAAGCGTACTCTCGAAAACAAAAATTGATGATGATCACGGAAATGTTTTATCAACCCGCACGGCAGTACGCAAAAAAGATCAGAAGCGCCTCCATTTGAGAATTTTCTGCACTGAAAAATACCACGATCCGCTGCTTTTGAAAGTTTGGTTTTTGGAAATTACAAATGCAGATCTTCAGAAGTACTGCGACAATTTTCCTCGAGATATTTCCTTTCCAACAACCTGAATGAATTTCACTTTTCTCTACCCACAGGCCGCCGGTTCAAATAGTTATCTAGAGCTGTTCTCTTTTTCTTTACTTCAAAATTTATCCGCGAAACTCATTCTCTTATTGTTTTTCCTTAGCTGAAAGACAAATAATCGCTAGAAACAACGACAGCTCTCCTGTTTTTCTACAACGACCACAAACCCCTAAAAATGGCGACCTCCACCCCGACCGTGAACTGGGCCCAGCGCCCGGGATCAGTGTTCGTCACGATTGACGTGAAGGACTGCAAGGAGCCGAAGATCGACCTGCAGGAGAAGAAACTGTCCTTTTCCGGTGTTTATCCAGTGCAAAAGTGTCGTACTCGTAGTGACTGATTGCAGTTCTGCATTACAAATCTTTTTCCTACGGTCAATGAGCAATACAAATTCCATTTCTCATGCTGATGAAATTTGTAATGCATAATTAATATTACGAGTCCGATGCTTTTGCAATGCATAGCGTTGACGGCGCAGGCAAGAGCTACGCATTCGACCTGGAACTCTTCAAGGAAATCGACGTCGCAGAAAGCAAGATAAATAGTACAGTTTTTTGCTGCCTTTTTTATTTTTGTCATGCGCACTTCCTATGAGTAAGCCATTTCGAAATTTGTCATGCTGACTGCGCAGAGAAATCAATTTTGTTATGCGAGTTGCACAATTTAAATGAATTATCAACAACAGACCGACGCGTCATTGAGCTCCTCCTTGCCAAGAAGGAAGAGGAGTCCTGGACAAGTCTTTCTACCACGAAGAAGCTATGAAGAGCGCAAAAGTTTCGTAAACTCGTAGTACTGCATTACCAATTTTTTCACTAACGTAGATCCGCATTACAAGTAACAAATAACTCCATTTCTAATGCTGAGGAAATTTGTAATGCAAGCTCTACTAGAAGTGCGACACTTTTGCAATGCATGAAAGCTCTCCTACGTGAAGATCGATTGGAACAAGTGGGTCGACTCTGACGATGAGGGTGAGGACTTTGACACGGCCGGCATGGAAGGCATGGGCGGCGGTATGGGTGGCGGTATGGGCGGCATGGGCGGCGGCATGCCGGGAATGCCAGGAATGGGCGGCATGGACTTCAGTACTATAATGATTTTTTTTTGATTAATTTAATTTGAGGAACAGCTTGTTTCTTGCAGGAGAACATGGATATAGTAGTATGTTTCGTTTTGCTTGTGATCTTCGACCATGATATCAGAGGACGCCACTACTGCTTTGTCTCGACATGTTCTTTCGGCATGCTAAATAAACTCAAGTTTGTCATGCAAAAACACTATCAGGTAAGATGATGGGTGGTATGGGCGGCGGCGGCATGCCGGGAATGGGCGGTGATGGCGGAATGGGCGGCATGGACATGGAAGCTCTCATATCGTGAGCAAAAACGTCCCCACCCGAGAGTCAAGATGAGGATCTCGCAACACAAGTCGAGAAGTTTTAGGAGCCAAGCATGACAGGTTCGTCTCTGTATTGTAGTGCAGTTTAGCATAAGTACAGCCGCAACACAAATCCATCTACTCAACCTATTTACAGCATTACAAAGTCCAAAACACGATGGGAAACGCCTCTTATGCGGACGCGCATTACAAATCTTCCTGTGGCTGCAAATCTGCATGACAGCTACGGGGTGGGGACGTTTTTACTCAGGATATCTCATGAAGCAGATGGGAGGCATGGGTGGCGGCGGTATGCCGGGTATGGGTGGCGATGACGACGTATCCATGGCAAATATGTCTGGGTCTGGAAACTTGTGATGCAAGTTCGTGAACAATAAGTGCGCTGTAGTGCGCTGCCAAGCATGACAAATTTTTTCGTGCTTCTGTGATGCGTCTTTCGCATGAGAAATTGCGCTTTTGCACGACAGGGAAGAGGACATCTTGGTGGCCATGCAATACAGAGTGCAGAGTCTTGCCAGACTAGCATGACAAATCTCGCAATCTTCGAGACCCAGACATATTCGCATTTGATACGACGACGACAGCGATGACGAGGACTTGCCGGACCTGGATGCCCCGGTTGGTGGTGAGGACGGTGAGGGAGCGGAAGAGCCCACTGGTATAGTTTGTTGATTTGTCATGCTAAAAATCTATCACTTGCTGGTGCAGACAAAAGACCTTTATTGTCCTTCGCTTATATGTTTTTCCGAATGACAAAGTGAAGAAATCCAATTATTGCGCAAACTTCTCAAATCAGAGTCAAAGCCGGTCATTGAAGTCGACACGCCGGCGGGTGAGGCTGTTGGAGCGTAAATCGTGCAGTATAATGCAAATCCTGCATGACAAACAGAAGCGCAGGAAGAACAATCGGCGACCCAGAAGAATCTTCGAAAATAATGCACAACATCTTCTGCATCTGCAGTAACATCTTTCGGGATAATTCATTGCTTGAAATGTAACGCTTGAAATGTAACGCATTCTTTCGGGATAATTCATTGACAAGTCAACGTACAAAAACCCATTAGTACAGCAAGACAACAGCAACCCTTATTTTATGTTTATGCTAAAAGTACAAAACCTCTGAACAAAACCTTTGAATTTAACTATGCTATCGAGCAATGATCACGCTGATTTCTTTCTGATGTATCACGTAGTTATAGACGAGCTATGCTTTTCTGCATACAATGTCATCGACAAATTGCAAGAAATTTTCAAAAAACGCGAGAAGCTATTGCTTGGGTTAGTCAAATGCAATATGCAAGAACACGAACGATAAAGGAGTTTTTGACAATCGAGTGGCAAAAGGAGCAGTGTAGCTTAGAAGGCTGCAATTATGATAGTCTTTCCACAGGCAGCATCACCGACAGATGCTGTACACCCGCACGACAAACCAAGAATTGTTGCCCCGATTTTTTAGCAGCGTCTAACACGACGCTGCGATCATTACGAGACTTGGCCACCTTGGCACGCTGCGAATCACAGTGTGGGGATTGCTAGAACGAGGATCCTGTAAGCCGATAAAGAGGCGAGCAAAGTGTTATTGTCTTCTACTTGTTCCTAGTCGACGTGGTTTTCTCTTCGTGTAAATCTAAAACCTGAATGCTGTTTCTTCCGGTTCGCCGTCGCTAGAGGATTTTCTTGCTGGATCGGTGCATCGCAACCTTTATCACATTGACTCGGATGTTTCAGTTTCATCGGTATCACACTTCGGTCGGTGTCTGTTTCTGCATTTGTGTTATTCTTCAATTCCTATCTGCATTCTTAGGTCGCCGTGTAAAAATAGTCTTGATTCTCGGTTTTGTCGTGCCGTCTCAGTGAGATTTTTCTAACGTCTGAATGTAAGACTAAGACTCTTTCACATTTGCATAGTTTCGAACTCTTGATTTTCATTTTTGTCTTCGTCTACTTGTTCTTTCCAAGGTCAAAATGGAGTTCTTCGTCATGAGAAAAATTCTTTGTGTTTCTTTGCTTATCGCCGCTGTCGGCCAACCGCGGACAGTAATTGCAGCAGCACCTCGCTTTGCATCAAGATCCGGCGAGGAGGGTGGTTTTCTTCTCAACATTGTGCCGCAGACGTATTGGTATCAGGACAACGCCCACGTCAAAAATGACAATCATTCGCCCCTTCTACATCCACTGAAACCTCCTGCTCCGCCCGACAGTTGCGACAAAAAGCAGGGTTTTGACATCGAGATCGTGAAAGCGCAGCATCCGCCAAGACAACAAACTTCCGATAAAGTACTTGAGAAAGAAATAGACTATTCCGCCCCAGACCCACCTTCCGTCGTCCAGGCCACCTGGCGAATCTTACCGCTGAAAGCGAAGGAGATCTGGTTTGCGACCAAGGAGGCTTTTGGGAATTTCCGCTTTTACCCGCACGCGCGGTCACGCTGGAGTTACGGGCGGGAGAAGGATTTTCAGATTTTCTCCGCAAATGGGACGAGTATTGTGGTTCAGCAGAACATCACGGTGAGGACGTTTCCGATACTAGAGGGTACAAGTAGTGGTGTAGCTGATAACAACAAAGAGACGGACCAGCAAGCTGGTAAAAAGAGAAAGCTTTTCCGCAGCTCCCGGCTCTTCGGAGAGGGAGCAGCTCGTGGTGCGGGTAAAAAACCAGTTTCAACATCCGAGCGACAGCATGATCTCTTTCCCTGGTCCAGACACGAGTTGGTGACGGTGAACATGACGTTTTCGCTGGTGAAGCCATCCGAAGACCCCACCGTTTCTTTGAAAACTTCGGTGGAGATTCCGGACCAAGTCGGACATTCTTTGAAACCGACAACTAGCTTCTCGAAACAGGGCACCACTGCGTTCGTCTTGAATGCTGCTGGCCGCGCGATCCAGTTCGAACTGGACTGGAAGATGCTGTTTCCTGGTTCTTCGAGCACGATCGTGAAGGGAAATCAGCATGACAAAGATGTAAGTTCCAGTTCCTGCGCGAACTGCATGACGAAGGTGAAGAACCCAGCAAAACTATCCCGCCCCCAACTTCACCGCCGAATCGTTGGCCTTGGCCCGCAGTACAGCTACAGTGATTTAACAGACCAGGGTCCGATCCAGCTTTTTTCTCAGGAGCAAGGTGCCGGGCGCGGGAAGGAGCCGATCACTTTCTTCGCGAATTCGTTTTACCCCTTTGCCGGGGGCGATGCGTTTGCGAGTTACAGCACCGTGCCGGTGTGGATGGATCTGGATACAGGTACACCTACTACCGGAGAAATAAATTCAACAACAACTTCTCATGCAGTTCTAGTCACGGCGAAGGAGTATGCGATGGTGGATTTTAAAACAACGACCAGTGGGAAAACGAGCATAGGAGATTGGATTTGTGATTCGAAATTGCATGACAACAAGAACAAATTCCAAGACAACACTACCACCAACGGTTTAACAGTCGGGACCAGCTTGTCTCTCGTGTTCATGAAGGATTGGGTGCTGAACGAAACTAGCAGTACCAAAGTCCATGAATTTGAAACGAGACTGGTCCTGCTACCCCCGATGGCAGCTTCAAACAGCAGCAACGCATCCGGAGTTGTACCTCCACCGCGAATCATGTATTCAGGCACTAGTACAACGCCAACAGAACAGCTGGTTTTGAAAATCAACGAACAGATCGCGGATTTGTACAAAAAGTCGTACACAACTGCAGAAGTAAGTGCGCCTACCATTCCGAAGACGCAGGAGAAACAGACACCGTCTAGCAGCACGGCGCAAGAACACAAATCCGCCAGGAGCAGCGCAACCACTACCTCTACGCTACGACCACTTTTCCAGCCCTACCAAATCCCTTCCTGGGTGTCCGAAAACGGGGCGATTTTAGGGTTGGAGGGCGGGATGGAGAAAGTGGAGAGACGATTGACTAAAGTTTACAACTCCACTATGCTGTGTAAAATCATCCCCACCCTTGAGTTGTATATGCAAATCTAAATCTGCATGCTTAAAATGTTTCTCATGCGGAGACCCATGAGAGGCGTTTTCTAGTGGCTATTTCAGATTTGTCATGCTCCAGTCAGCATGACAGACTGGATCTATGACGCTGGTGAACTAGCTAAACTTGACTAAGTTGCAAGCTTAAATTTGTCATGCGCGACAGCCAAAGCTTAGAAATTTGTGTACCGCAGATTTCCAATCTTGACTATGGTGTGGGGACGTTTTTAGTCAGGATATCCACTCCGAAACCAAAAATCGCCGCAGTGTGGATCCAGGACTGGTCTGGGTTAGTAACTATCCTGAGTATAAACGTCCCCACCCCGGACTTGTCATTCAAATCTTCATGCCAAAAAAGTTTCTCATGCGGAGGTCCATGAGAAGCATTCTCAAGTCGTGTTTTGGAATTTGTGATGCTAGAATCAGCATTATATGAGAGACCTGTTACGCTGCTGAACTAGCTAAACAGAGTTACACTACAAACACAAACTTGTCATGCGGAACAGTCAAAGCTGGCTGGTTTGTCTAGCAGTTATTCGTGTTAGGCCATAGAAGGTTGCCACGTCGTTAGCGCAAGGTTTTGACTAGGTATGAAAACAAATAACCATCATAACAAAAGGCACAACAAAGATACCAGCACCTCCCCGGTGAAGGGGAGGTGTTTGTATGTTCATTCCTTTGTCTTCATTCTAAACCCACAGGCCTTTTTTTTTTTTTTTCAGTTCAGTGGAGGGATGAAGTCTTTGTATGCGGTCCCAGTTAAGACGCGAATTTGCAGGAGCTGTTCACAGTCAGGGCAAAAATTACGGACAAAAAAGCAGGGGGAGCATGGGTGTTCTATTTGTGTGCTGTGTGATAGGCTCAGGATCCTGAAGGTTTCGAATAAAAAGACTCTCTGAAGGCGGAGTACTAAGCACGTATGCAGGTAACAACATCCGGTATATGAATCGTTTGCATGATGTGAAAGTCTCCTGCTGCATTTTTGAAAGTGAGTGATATGTATGAGCACTGGTTGGGAACAGCAAATTTGTATGGCTAAGAAAAAATTCCAAAAGCGCAGTGGCGTCTGCGTCTTAGCAAAGGAGGGACTTGACTTCTATTGGCTTGGGACGAAGAGAAGGTCGCCAGCAAGGAAAGCAGGAAGGCAGAAAAAGGGAAAGAGGCGCCAGGTACGAATGGGTCTGCGACCTCCTTGCTATCGTGTTGCCGCACCATAGCGAGGTAAGTGTCAGACCCAGGGCCCTACCTGTTTATCGGAGCAGCAAACCAAGACTGAAGGGCTGGACGGGAAAGGTATTGACGTGTGAGTGCTCTGCGCCTGACACGTCACACATAGCAACAGAGATCAAACGGGCGACACGATTACACTTTTCGCCGATGTTGCTATCTGGAGGCAAATCGCAGTCGTATCACACCCCCGCGAGATAATAACACAGAATCGATCAGATAAGAAAAGGGCGAGACACGCAACTAGGGACGGTGCGCCTTTGTGCATCTATTTCTCATCGAGTCCAGCAGAATGAGCCAAGGACACTGCCACCAATCCGACAGCGGCCGCCCCGGGGTGGTAAGTGTCGTCCAGACCGACGGCAACATATTCTGCTGGGTGTGGGGAGTAGATTCCCAAAGGAGGAGGGAAGTATGTCAAAATATGCATGAAGGGAGCCTGCCCTCCCTGGGGGAGTTGGGCGCGCGATCTTGAATTACCTTCATTTGAATCAAAGTAAAGTTTTGCATGCGGAGGTAAGGCAAGTTCGTGCTGCAAATCAGTGGGAGGATTGGATAAGTTATTGCCTGAGGAAATTTTAGGCTGTCATGCATGATGTGCATTTCTATGTATGAAGTAGCCTTCACTTGGTGAAGCGTGCGTTGATTTGTATGGAATTTGTATAAGCATTTCCCCTTGCAATAATTTCTGGTAACATTCTAGCGGCAAGAATTGCACCAATCCAAACCTCCGCTGAGATGCAGAGTGACATACTCGAGGAAGGGCGCCTACCTCTTTGCGTGTTCGAACGATAAGAGTTCCTCTCCCTTTTCTTCTTTTTTTTTGCATGCGGGTAGCCGTGTATAGAGGCTGAGATCCCCTCGCGCAGGCAAAAAAAAAAAATTTCCCAGCTTGACTACGGGGTGGGCAGGTTTTTGCTCGGGATAGTAACCACCAGCTTCGCGAAGAGGGTGGTGTGGGACTGGAGATTGGATGAAAGTTACTATTATCAAATGTAAAAGTGTCTGGGTCTGGAAGAATGCGCGATTTGTCATGCAGCTTTTCCATGACCCATGAGGTCTGGAATGCAGGACCTAGCATGACAGATTCTGTGCGACCTTTCTCATGCCTATCCTGCATGAGAAACTGCCTCCCGACTTGGTCAAAACTGGACGACTTTTGGTAATCATGCAACACAGATTTTTGGATGCTGCAGATTTAGCATGACAAGTTGCATTCTTCCAGACCCAGACATTTTCACATTTGATAACTATTCCGGCTTTAAAGAATTTGTGGAGAAGTGGTGGAATTGCTGCAAAATCCGGGTGATGACGTATGTGAACCCGTATTTGTCTGCGACTTATTCAGATATGGAGCAGAAAACAGGAAGGCGAACACCATCACAAGGTAAAAATACTATCGCGGAAACTACACTAGCAACCGGCCATCAACAGCGTCGAGTGGAAACGGAAAGTGAATCACGGACGTTGAAAAATAACCATCTGCCAATGTTCCAAGAGGCGAAAATGTTGAATTATTTGGTGAAAGTTTTTAACACTTCTAGCTACGATCCAGCTGCGTCTGTTAGCAACCGATCCATCGCAAACGAAACCGTGATATTACCCTCCGCAACTGACGACTTCCGGTTCGGATTGCTGGATTTAGCGAGGGAAGAGGTCCGAGCATGGTTTACGGAGAAGTTGCTGTGCAATGTCATGATGACAAACATCGTTCCGGGCACGGAGTGCTACTACAAAAATCAGAGGAAGAATCCAAACGGAAAAAACGAGTCGACCAGCACCGCCCCACAACTTGCCTTGGTCCATGGTTGGATGGCGGATTTCGGAGAGTATCTACCCTTCTCCTATTTCAAACACGACGACGGTCAAAACCAGGACAACAGCACGAGTGAAAAAATTGTCTGGTCGATTGCAGATCACCACGATTATGCGGAGCAGTGGCAATTAGTGAACCGAATGGCGATCGAGAAGTATGAAAGTGCGAAATTGTTGTTGGGTAAGGAATTACCTCCGGTCGTTGATGTTGGAAAACAGCATGACAAACTACTTCCCGCTCGTCCAAATAAACTTTCCACAACGTCGTCAACCAAAACTGACATTTTTCCCTTTTTCCGCTCCGCCTCCCTCTTCACCTCAGAAATTCTCAACTCCCACTGGATGGGCGACCAAATGACCACCTGGGACGCGTGCGACGGCTTCCATTCCGCAGTGATTGGCGCAAGTAACGCTGGGTTCAGCAACTGGCGCAACATCCACAGCGATCTCGGCGGGTACACCATGACGGACGCGACCAGTTACAAGGTGCCCGGAACCGGTGACCGGATTATCATCGTCCCGCCGATCTACAGGTCGAACGAGCTACTGATCCGGTGGATGCAGTATTCCGCTTTCGCGGAGTCGGCTTTTCGGTCCTATGAAATGCAAAAGCATCGTACTAGTATAAATCGCATGACAAATTCCCTCAGCATGAAAAATGGAATTTGTAATGCGGATTTAGGTTAAGATGGAGATTTGTAATGCATGAATGCGATTACTACGAGTGCGATACTTTTGCACAGGATAGGTCCCACCCGGGAACAAAACCGAATACCAGCGCGCAAGTGTACGATGACACAATTTTGGATTCCGGGTATCCCGTGTAAAAACACCCCCACCCCAGAGTTGTCATGCATTTCTGCATGCCAAAAAAGTTTCTCATGCGGAGCCCTAGGAGAAACATTTTTTACTCGTGTTCTGGGATTTGTGATGCTAGGATCAGAATGCTATGCGAGATCTGTGATGCTTCTGAGCTAGCTAAACAGGATGACACTACGAGGACAAACTTGTCATGCCAAACAGCCAAAGCTGTGTGATTTGTCTGGCAGATTTCCCATCTTGACTGTGGTGTGGGGACGTTTTTAATCAGGAGACTGGGTTGTTTCAGTTTTACTCAAACGTGTTTGCCGCCGGGGCGGAGTATAGGAGGGTGGTGAGTGAAGGGGGTGTTCAGCTTCTTCCCGTGGAACGAATAAATCAGGAGAACAGCTCACCTTCATCGCAGGACCACGTTAATAGCAGCACAAGAACTACAAACGCCTTACCGCTTCTCCGACACGGAAGCTTGGTGGTGACTGGCGCGAATGGAAACGGGGATATTTGGTGGGAAAAGTTAGACGAAGAGAAGAATAGAACTGGGGATCATGCGGAAGCCAGCAATACAAAAACAGCATCCAATGCAGTTCTAGCATCAGAAACAATGTCGACTACAGTAGACAAGGAAAAACCACCACCAGCATCCGAAGTTGCTGTAGAACCAGCCACATCAACAAGTACTTCCACCTTCCCCTGGCCGCCGTTCCCGTTTTTGCGAGACGACTGTATGAGCGGGAAAGGAACACTGGTCGGGGAAAACCAGTTTTTTGTGGGTCCAGAACTCTTGATCGCCCCGGTGTTCCAAGCCAGACAGTTCACGAAGAAGGTTTACTTGCCGTCAGGGATGAAAATATCGAAGAGGACGATGAGTAAAAATAAAAATGTCACCACGACGAGGACATCAACTATTCCCTGGAAGTGGCAGCAACTCTTCACAAACGACACCTTCACGGGGGAAGATGATTTTGTCACCGTGAAAGCACCACTGGAGTACATCCCGGTGTTTTACAGAATTGACGAAAACGCGAGATTCAAGGAAGTTTTGGAAGCTGCGTACGGGAACTTGACCATTGGAAATTTGACAGGGAGGCGAGGGAGAGGGGAATTGGAAAAAATAGCTGATTTACTGTTACGGCAGGACGATTTGAAAGCAAAAAGTTGGAATTTGAAGAGAAATGATTTACAGATCCCCGTTAGTAGAGGTGAAAGAACATCCATAGGCGGTGGTCTGCCTGGTAATAATGTTGATTTTGACAAGAGAAAAACTGAAGAAGAAATTTTTGCGTAGAAATGGTAAATGAAGCAAATTTGTTTTGCGTTTTTCGTTTGCGCCAAACGACTCTGATAGTAGTTAGGCTATGCTTGCGGTTGATGTTCTGGTCTGGTGTTCTGATGTAGACGGATGCACTCGTCCTTACGATAGGCGAGTTGGCTGCCGGGGTGTGTTTGCAGTGGGGCGAGCGTGAGCGAACGTGACGAGGAAGAGAGACGAGTGCGGCTCTTTCGCGTTTTTGCAACAACCACTCAGCGCCGGGGCTTTCCATGTTGCTAGTTTCCGTCCGTGAGGCGACCACGGGGAGCCGGAAAGCCAGCGGCCTCCTGCGCCCAGTCTAGGCGCGCCCCACTGAAGGGAGGCCCGCGCGGCTGAGCGGGCGCGCTGCCCTGGGGGGCAGTAGCGAGCCGCATGCGCGAGCGCCGGGCACGTTCCGGAAGTTAGACAGCCAGGCGAAACGCGCCCCGCATATTCTTCGCCTGGGGCCTACCACGAAGAAGAACGAGAGCGGCGCTGCATGGCATAAGATCAGGGGCCTCGAATTTCCGCCGGGGCCTTGCCAGGTCCCAGCAGCCGCGGTGACAACGATGGGGACACCGACGCGCCGGCGGGGCCCGCTGCGCTGCTTCGGCCACCTTCTGGGCCCCCGGGATGCGCCCCGGCGAGCCGGCGACCTGGTGGAACAAGAACCCCGGCGATTCTCCCGAAGTTGGACGGACCCCGCGGCGGCGTGGCGCTTTCTGTGCTTGCCGCCACCGCGCGCGCCGAATTGCTGCGCAACAGCGGCGCCCGCCCGCCGAATTGCTGCGCAACAGCGGCGCCCGCCCGCCAAATTGCTGGGCGGCGCGGGCTCTGCGTGCAATGCCTGGCACCCGACAGGCACGCCGCCGCGGCTGCAGTGATTCTCCGCGCTGCCCCTAGGCGCGCGAACCCCCGCCGGGCACTGTGCGCCGGCCCCGTGTCCTGTACACCTCGCGCCCGCTCGCAGCGCCGGCGCGCTTTCCTTGGGGCGCGGCCCGGCGGCTCGGGTCGCTGGGCTCCGGCGAGCAGCGTGGCGCGGCCAATGTGCGAATGCTGCCTGCCCGTTCGAGTGTTTTTGCCTATTCTGGCTGACTGGCGTTCAACATCCAAACACTTCCGCCCTGAATGTTCAACAGACGAGGCGCATGGCCTACAGCGCTCGCTTCCGTTGCGGCTAGCGAAGTAATAGTTCTCAAGGTCCGGCGGCTGTTCGCTTGGTTTGCGTTGAAGAGAGCAGCGAGAGCGACTTCTAATCATATTGAGGAACACATGATGAATACAAAGTGCGAGTAGATAGTAGCTCACAGCGAAGAGCACCCGAAAGATTATTTGACGAATAATGGAGCCGTCCGCGAACAAATCTCCCTGCGAGGATCTTCTCCTCTTCAAGCAGGGCTTGGATTTCCGGTTAACCGAGTTCCTCGAGCAACAACGCCGCATCCTCCAGACGCACGACCTGCTGATATCAAATGCAAAAGTGTCTGGGTCTGGAAGAGTGCATGTTTGTCATGCTTGTCTGGCATGATTCTTAACTCTGTCATGCCCGTTACCCAAGAGGCCCACTTTTCTGTCATGCAGAAACGCCTTCTGTCATGCAGAGTAGGCAACACCTAGAAGCTCAGAAACTTGTCATGCTGAGCCAGCACTTGCGGCCTTCTCATGATACGACACCCAGCATCACAAGTTTCCAGACCCAGACATTTTTGCAATCGATAGCTGACGCAGAAATGCGACGAATTGGAGTCCAAGCGGCTCATCGCACAGTCCGCAAATTCGGAAGCGAGTGCGAACGCCGGGTCGCTTACCAGTCAGGCCAGCAAGTCCAATCCGGTGAGGCAACTGTTGAAGAACCAGACGAAGGAATTGAAAGAGGTGTCGCAAACCTTGATCAAGGAACGGCAGGACAAGCAGGTGTTGCAAGACGAAATTAAGAGATTGCGAAACTGGTTTTCCACCCTCCCGCTGCGCGACGGCCGGGACACGGGAGGGTTCGCGGATCCGTTCTCGGTAAACGATCTATCCTGAGTAAAAACGTACCCACCCCAGAGTTGTAATGCAGATTTGCAATGACAAAGACATTTGTGATGCGCATCCCCATGAGAGCCATTTCTAATCGTGTTTTGGAATTTGTGATGCTGTGAACAGGATCAGCAGGTCGATTTGTGATGCGGCTCTCCTTGCTAACTTGCACTACCTTACGGACTGAAACTTGTCATGCGTGACTCCCAAAACTCCGAGGTTTGTGTTGCAAAGTCCCCATCTTGACTCTGGTATGGGTACGTTTTTACTCAGGATACGATCCAGCGATGCTTCACCAGCGGGGCAGGAGCGGCAGCAACGGTCGGAGGAAAGGAAGAGGAGGAAATCAGAGTAGGTCTTCGTCTGCTTCCAAGAAGCGGGGAGTGAACGATCGCAGGATGATGTCCTCTCCAGGAAGAGGAAGACCCGGAGAGCGTGGTTCTGGGAACAGAAATGTGAGTTTTGATGACCAGGTGGAAAATGTGAAAGATGAAAACCTTTTACCTGCGTTTCTGCGCTCACCATCGCAGGTGCCACTACCGAAGACACCGATGGATGAGAATTTGTAAGAGCAGGAGCAGTTGTTTTGTGAAAAATTGAGCGGCATTGACTACTGCGATACGGTCGATGAAATTTTCAACAAGTGCGTTCGTTTGCCATACGGGAGCTGGTTGTGTTCTTCGTTCTTGCGAAGTCTCGTTCTTGCGAAGTGTCACGGGAGCGGACTAAGGTTTCGACTTGCCTCTGACATGCAGTAAGCGACAGCATGTCTGCCATCGCGTCCGCCATTGCACAACCTTGCGGATTTGGGCGCCCTGGCCGCCGTGGTCCACGACCGAGATAAAAAAGAGGCGCGGAGCTTCGCGGGCCAGTCCAGGGGAGCGGTCCGGCGCCGGGGAACGGTCGGGAACGGGAAGTGCGACGCGCGGCGGAGAGGCTCCTAGCTGATTAAGCCGCTCGCGAGCGGCCTAGCGCACTCGTGTCACTTCGCGGGGCAGCGAAGCACGCGGGCGAGCCGCTTGAAGCGCACCGCCTCCCTGCCGCGCGCCTACTTTTTCCGAAACAAAGCGCGCCAAGGGTTGCGGGCGCCCTGTTTGGCCCCGGGCCCCACCGCGGGCAGGCGGCCGGAAGGGGGCGCGGGGGTGTTGTCGGGGCTGGAGAAGAGGGGCCTAGGCGGCTACTTACGGGCCGCGGCCAAACGCGCCGCGCCTTCGCCTCGCCGCATGGGCCAGGGCCCCGCGCGCTCGCCTCGTCCTATGCGCCCCCGCCTTGCCGCACAGGCTTGCGCCCCCGCCTCGCCGCACGAGCGGGCGCCGACTGGGCCGACATCGACCGCGGATTAACAAAGAAAAGGCGCACCCAGTGGAGCCGCGCCAGCAGTTTACGCAGGAGGGGCGTGCGGCGCGATAGCTTGGCGCCGGCCGCCCCCTGTAGAGGCCGCCCAAAGGGGGCGGCGGGCGCTTTCTTGGCCCCCCCCCCTCCCGCCCCCGCACCCATGGCGGCCGCCTTTTGCTGTGGCAGGCCGGGCGCCGTCGCTACGCGGGCGCCCGCTGTTTTTCATCGCGCCCCCGGCCTTCCCCGCGGGCCGGGGTTTGGCGGGCCACCGGCGCGCGACAGTTGCGCCGGGCCTGCCGTGGTTGCGGGGGGGGCGCAGGCTGGCCAGCGCGCGCAGTTTTGCCGTATGCCCGCTGGGTTTTCGCCCCCTGGCGGGATTGGCGCGCTGGTTTTTGTGTCGCCGCCGCCGAGGCCGCAGACAGGCGGCGCACCCCCAGGGACGCAGCGATGGCGTATTTTTTGCTGCGAGACGTGCTGGCGCACTACTCACTTTGGCAGCCCGGCCTATCTCTCACCGCTGCGCAGCATTCGTGAGCGTTTTCTTCTGTGGAGCGCCCGTTGTGTTCAAGCTTGTGGAGGGGCGGTGGCGCGTTTCTGAGCAGTAGGGGGTGGAGAGGAGATGATAAATTGACAGGCACCACGACTGTGGTGCGCGATAAATTTCCTGGCTGATGTTCCTCGTGCCAAAACCCGCGCAGCAGCATGCAAGAGCGCGCACGTGAAAAAACCAAGTCAAGATGGTCCACCAGCTTTCGCGCCGAAAACTCCAGTTGTCGAAACGAGCTGCAGCAGCTGCGCTGCTCCACGCAAGCGCAACTCTAATACACCTGAAAAAAGTGGAAGCGCTGGTAATAGCGAAGGAGCACGCGGCCGCAGCTACTACAGTTTCAGCCGAGAAGACAAAGCACCGAGCTGCATTTCGTCGAAAGCAGACATCTACCGCAGCGGGTAGAAAGCTGTCTTCTTCTTCTTCCGAAGCTGCAGCTTCATTAGACTCCAACAACGAAGCGTCGTTCTCTACAACCAACGTCGCGGCTTTGCAGGAAATCGACCCCGTTCTTCCACCCTCCGCATCAGAAACTACTGCAACTACTTCCAAGAAGAAAACCAAAGCAGAAGCCGCACAAAAGGCCTACGAGCGGGATCAGGCGCTTTTGAGAAAATTGGAAGGAGAACAGAGTGGCGGCGATAAAGAACTACAAGACGCTGACGCTCCTGCTGAGACAACCGAAACAACCAACGATATGAAGACGGACGAAGGGGAAAACTCCGCAGCAGCAGTAGAGGAAAGAACATCTTCTGCTTCATCAGGCGAGGCGGTTTTGCAATCGAAACGCCGGAAGGGGAAATCAGTTTCAAAACAAGTGCCCCCAGCTGCAGGAACGACACCGTCGAATCACTGCTGGGTCAAGGAAATAGCCGACAAGGATTAGTATCCAGCAGGGGAAGGTTGCTTTGGGTCGCAGAATGGAGGTTGGAATCAGATTTCCATCTCGTGTTACTCGTCTATTATACCAAAACCACTGAGCTGGAAGTTGTGTGTTGCACATCGAAGCATCTTTGAATCTGAAATGTGTTATCAATACCGATGGTGCATGAAACAGCAACACAAATTCACCTGACTATTCCCGACTCAAGAAGAACCTTCTGAGCCTGCATAACCCCGACTGTGCCCAGTTCGACACGGACGAAGGAAGTTGCAACGGCGACGCAAAATGCTACTTCGGGCCCAGCCCGGCGATCTGGCGGGTTTGCAGCATGGAAAACGTGAAAAAAACCGCGGACAACGACGAAGTAGAGGAAATTTGCAACGAGAAGTGCCTTATGCATTGCAAAAGCGTCGTATGAGGTATAAATTGCATCACAAATTTTTTCAAGAAGAAAAATGAAATTTGTAATGCTGTTTTACCTAAAAAGGGATATTTGTCATGCACGATAGCAATTACTACGAGCGCGATGCTTTTGCAGTGGATACGCGTCGCGTTTTACAATAGTTGTTACGATCTGGACGAAACCGACCAGGAGTTCAACGCGACGCAGAAGAAGTGCATACGCATTGCAAATATGTCTGGGTCTGGAAACTTGTGATGCAAGGAAGGGAATAAGTGAGCAAGCACACCCACACTGTAATCCCTGCGCAGCATGACAAGACTTTCCGCAGTTCTGAGTTGCGTACTCCGGAGCATGAGAAACTTCGTTTTTGCATGACAGGAAAGCGGAGCTTTTCGCTGCCACACAATACAGAGTTCAGAGTCATGCCAGACCCACCAGCATGACAAATCTCGCAATTATCTCCCAGACCCAGACAGATTTGCAGCTGATAGCGCAAGTTCGACGACAACGTGTGCGGCCAGCAGCTGGACGATTGGCGGGACACTTGCGGGATCGGGAAACCGAACGAAGTGAAGGACCCGAATTTTGTGGAGCAGCACTACACCAGCTGTCTCGCGACGGGGGGAACGGGGGAAGGAGGAGTGGCGAGCGGCGCACCACTGGCGAACAAGGGGCAGGTGCAGACGAGTCAGTGGTACCCCGGGGAGAAGGCACTGAAGGACTCGGTGTATTGCCAGGGGAGTTTTATTATGCTCTGCAAAAGTTTCGTGCCGGTATGGATTGCGGTCTTGCATGACAGATCTCTCTCCAAACGTACATCAGCATTACACGTTTCACCGTGGACGCAATTTGTGATGCAGTTTCTACTATCAGTACGATAGTTGTTTTGCAATGCATATTCATGCTGAACGCCGCGAATCTGACCGTGTGGGTGCCGCGACCGGAAGATTTGTGTGTCGGGGCGATGCGGTACCTGAACGGGCCGACGGCGTGCACGTACTACAGTTTTCTTGTAAAGGCAGTTTTGGTAAAGGAGAAATGTTGTGATGCAAATTGTCATAGACAAAAGAAAAGTGATTTCTATTGCATGAAATCCACTTCAATATCAAAGGTACGACAATGCCACGCAGTCTTGCCGTCCCCGGATGGCCGCGTGCAGCGCGCCAAATGCAACGTACGCGTGCGAGGCCTGGGCGCATTGCAAGGTGATATCAGTTGTAAAAAGGTCTGGGTCTGGAAGCATGCAACTTCTGATGCTATTTTTGAAATCTAGGAGAATCTGCATTGCATGAGCAGCAAGAGGCGTGCAGTTTTTGCTCCGAGGAGGGGGCATTTCATCTCATTCAGGATAGGCATCGAGATGCACACAGAAAATCTGTATCGCTGGAGCATACATCACAGACCTTACGGGTCATGCAAAATGTGCATGACAGACCGACTCGGTAGGTTTTTGTTGTTAGCACAGGCTTACTCTTGACGTGTTACATCGAGCAGGCGGAGTCTGGGCAGACGGTAGCCAGCTATTTGAGTAGAAAAGCTAGGATAGAAGCAGGCGATGGGCAAGTAGAGGACAAAAGCTAGGTTTCGAGCGGACTGAGTGCTTACCAGCTTTGAGGGTGTAGCGCCGGTAATATCTACCGTGTGCGCCGTCCTAGCGGTGTAGGACGCGCGTGACGAGGAGCTTCGCCGTCGGACTTGACAAGCTCCGCTGCTGCGCGATGGGGTCCTCAAACGTTAGGCGGTGTGAGTTTTTTTTTTCTACGTAAAAAACAAGTCTAAAGTCCTGGCAAATTTGCAAAAATTGCCGGGAAATAGGTTTCCGGCTTGGCTGCCTGTGGCTGCCTAAAGACCTAAACCCCCAGGGAGTAACGGAAATGAAGCACTACTCCTCGATAAACGATTTTATGAGTGAAGCATTTATCAAAAGGAAAAATCCCCCCTCCGCATATCAAAACGAGTTTTCTGATGCTGGATTTGGGTACACAAATCAAATTTGTGTTGCAGTAGAGGATGGCACGCAGATCCGAAGCCTAGGTAAGGGCCTCTTGGTGTAGGCGCCTGGCATGGTAGACGGCTAGCCCGTAGGCCTTAGAGCATTACAAATCGCCTGCATTACGTGGCGGAAAGCGTGAGCGCGCCTGCTTGCAAGGCAGACGCGATCTGCGGTCACAAATCTTGACTCAAACACATAGAGGCCCCTCGCTTGGGAACACCTCATTGATGAGCTTCTACGCGAAAAAACAGCTTGGGGCCCAAGAAAAAAGAAAAACGCGCATGAGAAACCTTGCAATCTTCCAGACCTAGACAGATTTGCATTTGATAGGTGCTACCGGCGGACAACAGCTGCGGTCCGATTACGGATGCAAAAGAGATTGAGGCGAAGATGGCGCAGGCTATGAGCTACATGGCGCTCGGGTACGTATCCTGTGCAAAAGTATCGTGCTCGTATTGCAGTCATGCATTATTTTTCTTAAGGCAAATCCGCATTATCATGCTGAGGAAATTTGTAATGCATTTATACGAGTGCGATACTTCTTTTGCAATTCATAGTACGCGATCTCGGACAACGTGGCGGTGATGAAGAACGGAACTAGTGGAGCAAACGCAGGAAGTGGTAGTACGGTGGCGGGGACCACAACAGCAGCAGCTGCGGCGACACCAGCGGGTACTGCGGCGGTTTTGTGAAGCTGAAGAAGAGGTTGGGCGGTGGTGGGAGTGTAGTTTTAAGTACGTTTCGGTTTCGAAAGATTTTGGAGTTACTATGACGAGCAAGTTTCGCACTACAGATTCAGAAGTTTCGCTTGCGTGCATGGAAGCTTGAGCTTTTCGTGGAGAATAGCAGACGCATGAGTTGCGGCATTGCTGAATGAACACGGAAGTTGTATTTGCAAGTATCAACTCTTACTCTTCAAATGTAATGGAATGAAGGACTACATCTGGAATTCTAATTCAAGGTGGATCGTGAAGCCCCTGACTTCGCTTTCTCGAATGGGGCCTGCAAGATGCACAGCGGGTTCCGACTGCAGGGTGGACAGGGTGGACACAGCAGCTGTTTGAGAGATATACACATGCAACGCAGAGTGCGCAGTGCTCGGAGAGCTGAGGAAGAGTGGCTCTATGTTGAGGGTCGCGCGCTGCTTATTCATACATACTGTACAACAGAATGGTGAGAGGAATCAGACGCGTGCAGCTTTTGCGTCTTTGAGTGGGGTGGGTAGTGCGCCCAAGCCAGGCAGGCGACTAGCGAAGGCGCGCAAGTACGAGGGGCGGCATTTGCTCCAGCTTAGCCGCGGGCCTCTGCGGCTGCTGCGCTTCGTTTCGAGCGCGCGCGCGCTTGGCGATGCGCGCCGCGGCCGTGGCGTCGCCGGCTGGCCCCTTGAAAGGAGACACCAATGGGCGGCCGGGCGAACAAACGCAACACGCTGCAAGCCGGTGACCGCTCTCCAAGGAATCCGCAGCGGGGCCCCCTTGTCAGGCTCTTCCCTGATCGGCCCGGGCCCCGGGCCTCGTGGCGTGCGGCCCGCCGCCGTTCAGCATGCTGCCAGGGCGCGGCTTGGGGCGGCGGCTTGATGTAGTGCATGAAGGCTTCGTCCATGAAAGCCGACGAAGGCCTGCCGTCCATGAAAGTCGACGAGGGCCGCGTCCATGAAAGTCGGGCCTCGTCGTCGATAAAGGCCCCTGCCGTGAAGGTCTCGGCGTCGCTGAAGGTTCCCGCGATGGAGATGTCCGCGTCGGTGAAGGTTTAGCCGCCGGCGTAGTGCGGGGGCGCACGCCCCAACCGCGCGGCCCCGGCTCTGAGGACTGCGCCGCCGGGCGCACGACATGGCGCCTGGGCCCGGCAGCCGTGTTGCCGGGCACGTAGTACAGGAGTGGCCGCGTTGCTTTCGTTGTCGGCGTGCTTCCTTTATTCGGGCGGGCCCGCGCCCTCCTATGGCGGTGCGATGCAGTGTGGCGCCCCGACATGATGTTGGTCGGTCCGACGGCCGGCGCGCCATCGGGTGACAGGTGGCAGCGTTTGATGCTATCCTTGCCGGCCGCGTGCTACTACTGAAAAATGAGCTGTGCTACATACGTCAGTCTTCATGCGAAGCCGGTGTTCATCGAGTCTTCGCGCAAGAGCCGCTAATTACAGCCGGCCACGCGCTGTTGGAAAAGCGTTCCAGCGGGGGCCGCCACAAAAAGGAATTCTTGCACACAAGAACCCACTACAAATAATCTATCAGTTCCACAGCCACCGATAACCATGTGACATTCCCCTAGTACTTCCCATGAAGCGAAAAATGAAGCATCCGCTCCCGGTGCGGGGAACAGTTCCCCTGTTCTCCACAACAGCTGCCGGATCGATCGCAACACTTTTTCTCCACACTGCTTCGCAAACAAGACAAATCCACGCACTGGTGATAGCGAAGGACGCAGCAGCAGCGGCAGCGTCGTCAGCAAGAACTTCTTCCACGTCGAAACAGAAGCCCACGAGCGCGACCTTTTCAACAAATTTGATCCCAGACGAGGTTTCCACGAAGACGGATATCAGGACAGAAACTACATCAGGCTCTTCTTCTGTATCCCTCGACCAGAAAAATAAATCTTCCTCCGCAAGCAAAAAGTCCGCTTCGAAGAAGAAGGCGAAATTAGAGGAGGCAAAGAAGACTTTCGAGCGGGACCAGAAGGAGCTGGAGAATTTACAGAAAGAAGAGGATGAAAACGAGGATACTATCCTATGTAAAAACGTCCCCACGACCCCATAGTCAAGATGGGGAATCGGCTAGACAAGTCCGCGAGCTTTGGCCCGTTTGCATGACAAATTCGGAATCGCAGTCTAGTGCTGTTTGAGGTAGTTCAGCAGCATCACAGATCTGGCGCATCATGCTGATTGGCGCAATACAAATTCCAAAACACGATCAGAAGATGCTTCTCTTCCGGCTCCGCATGACAAACATTTTGGGCATGCAGATTTGCATGACAACTGTGCAGTGGGGACGTTTTTACACAGGATAGATACCACCGAAACTGAAAATGAGGAAGATTCGGTAGAGTCAGAGGGTAAATCAGCATCGGAGCAACTATATCCATTGCAAATATGTCTGGGTCTGGAAGAGTCTATAGATTTGTGATGCATGTTTTGCAATGACCCATGATCGTCTGTGATGTATGCCCTACCATCACAGATTTTTAGAACCCTTCCTAATGCCTATTCCGCATGACAAACGCCCTCCCGGCGTAGCACAAACTAGAGTCCTCCTGCTGGTGATGCAATACTTACAGATTTTTTTTAGATTCCAAAGTTGCCATCACAAGTTGCACTCTTCCAGACCCAGACATATTTGCAATGCATAAACTAGATGAGCTGGAGAAGGAGGAAGACGAGAGGACGGGGGACCACCAGGAAGAGTCTTCTTCCAACCCGTCATCCGCTACAGAAACAGTGTTGAACGAAAAGAAGTCAACAAAAGCTGCTAGTGCAGGAGCATCATCATCTGCAACAAGTGCATCAACCACCTCTGGAAGTAGAACAAGAAAAGCGAAAAAATCACAATCGGAAATCGAGAAGGGGAACTTCGAAGCCAGTCTGCCCACCATCTATGAGGGTGCACAACTCCCCCTCCCCCTCATTTGTCATGCAAAACCGCAAATGCAAATCCATTTGGTGCCCTTTGGTTGTACTGTGTGCATGACAAGAAATTTCGGAAGGCCAAACGGCACTACCTTCGGCCGGTGAACTTGTCATGCACAGGCCCCAGGAGTGCTGGTGTTTGTTTTGCTGTTCATGTCATACAAATGATGGGGAGATGGAGTTGTGCACTCTCATGCCATCCCCTCGGGTATCATAACCCCGCCAACCGCGGAGAAGGCGAAAGTGCCGAAATCCGTGTACAGCAAGGCGGAAGAGGCGATGTTTCTCAACAAGGGAAAGCAGGACCCCACTGCGGGAGTGGCCACCGCCACCGGGACCGCAACCCCAGCACCCGCCCCAGGAGCGACGAGCACAACACAAGCGGCGGGGGACGTGACAACCAAGGGCGGCGATCCCATGTCGCAGGCGCAGGTGCAAACAAGTCAGTGGTATCCGGGGGAGGGGGCGGCGAAAAATTCCGTGTACTGCCAGGGAGTTTTGATGCTCAACTCTGTGAATCAAACGGTGTGGGTGCCGAGAACGGAAAAGTTGTGCGCGGGGGCGATGCGATATTTGAACGGACCGAGGGCGTGCGAGTATTCTGGTTTGATATTAGTAAGTTGTCATGCCAAAAAGGGAATGCAGGCCCTGTTTGTCATGCATCCTAGCATCTCGTTATTGTCAAACACGTATTAATTTATTACATCAGGTACGACCAAGTTTCCAAAATTTGTCGTCCACGCACCGCCGCGTGCAAATCTCCGCAAGCGACCTACGCGTGCGAAGCCTGGGCCCACTGCAAGGTTACCGCGGACAACGGTTGCGGGCCGATAACGGATTTGAAGGCCATTGAGGGCATGATGGCAAAAGCGAACAGCTATATGGCGATAGGTATCCTGTGCAAATAAAGTACTATCGCACTCGTATATGATTGCAGATCTGCATGGCAAACTTGTGCTCTCGCGTAATTGTGCATGACAAATTGTATTCTTTAACGCGGAAGGACAATCTGTAATGCAAAAACTTATGCCACTTCTGCGATACTAGTTTTGCAATGCATATTTGGGTACGCTTTGTCGGATGTAGTCGCGGTGGTGAAAAACGGAACGGCGAATGCGGCAGCCACTGCTGCGCCTGCAGCCGATGCTGCAACCACTGCGGCGCCGGCGGCAGCTGCTGCAACCACTGCGGCACCGGCAGCAGCACCAGCGGCAGCTGCCGGAACAACGGCGGTTTTGTAGTGAACACCGGAAGTGGAGCCGGAAGACGAGAGGGAAACGGCGATAAGATGGAGATAAGCACAACTTTACGTGGGTGGAGTTGAAAAAAAAGTTTCTTTTTGAAGGAATAAAACGACGTTGGACAGAATCAAATCTAGTGACAAGCAGAGAGGACTAGGTTTTTCAACATCAAACTTTATATTCTTGAGATTACAGGCAAAAAATTTGCAGGACAAATTTCGAATTTCATTTCAGATTACACCGGATTCCGAGCTACACAGGGAAGAATCTAAGTCTAGTATTTCGGCAAGTTAATCATGAGCTATGCTCTAGTACTGATGAGTACGTGCGTAGCCCGTATGCTTTTTTGAATGCCACTCCTGTACACCAAAATTAATGAACATTCTCAAAGGTAGTTTCTTCAAAAACTCGGCAACAAGTAGCAGCTGCATGTTTTCCATCCCCAAGGGACCAGTTTTGAGCAGGTTGCGAAAAAGAGAAAGAAGCTGTGGAGCTTTGGTACTTCACAAGATGCTGCCGTGCCGGCTTTCCAAGTTGTACAGCGCAATGCTGATTTCGTCTACTTGTTTTGTCCCTTCTGGTTGTCTCCGTAGTTGTAAAGAGGCTTGGTAGAGAGAAGAAGGAACTATTCCTGGAAGAGAGCGCAATATTTCTCGCATTTGCAATTCCGTCTCTGTTTTCGCTTCTCGGAGCGATCGAGCGATGAAAATGGACAATGCCTAAGCTCCTGTACAGTGTCTTCTACCGAGAGATCAAAGAGAAATCTGCAAATTACACCCTTAGACCATGTTTACCTATGGCAAACGCACAGCTTTATTGTGAAGCTGCTACGAGAAGTGGCACTAGTAGAAATGCGTGTTTCTAGGTCGTCATGAGATCCTAGTATAGAGAATTTTCTTCCACCAGTAGAGTAGTGTGTACTCTGCATGCTTTTCACTATTCTCGTGGTAGAAAAAACAAGTACGCTAATATGGCGGAGATGCTCTCCAACCCGCCCTCCCCTGGCGGCAGCCCAACTTCTCCAGCTACTAAGCCCGGTTACAACCCTGAGAAACTCTCCACCAAAACCAAGCTACTCCTCGCCTCCGGGGAGGCAGTTCAGGGGGCCTGGACCACCGTCGCCGGGTTTTTCCTGAACGCGTTTTTCCTAGAAACGTGCTGCTTATCGCCCCAACAGGTCGGGTTCATCCAATTGATCCAGGGCAGCTTCGACGCGGCGAACGATCCCTGCATCGGCTACTTATCCGACCGCACCAGGTGTTACGGGAGAAAATCCTTCATTAAGGGCCGACGACGCCCCTGGCTGTTCTACGCCGCACCCTTTCTCGCCGTGGTTCATAGTGCTCTATGGTGGCCGCTGGATGTCACCACTACCACTTCCACCCAGCGGTTTTGGTACTACTTGCTCTGCTACATGGGCGTGTCGATCGGAATTTCCTGTATTCAACTCCAGATCGTCACACTCTGTCCGGAGCTATCCGAGGACTATTCCGAGCGGGTGGAATTGAACGGGCTAAGGCTCGCCGCAGTCGTGATTTTCGGCTTCCTCATCGCGATAGTAAGACAAGCGATCATCTACACGGAGGTGTTTGGCGGTGGGGAAAATGGCGGGATTAGGGCGAGCGGGATTGTGTTGTCGATTTTCATGCTGCTCGTCGCGTGGAACATTGTTTTCAACATTAAGGAGAAATTCGCGCCAAATCAAGAGTCGAAAGAAGAATTGTCCTTCTACAAATCCTTCTACGAAAATTTGCTGTGCAACAAGGCGTTCTGGTGTTGCGTCGGGACCTTCGTCTGCGGGCCGACGGCGATAGTGTTAGTCCAGGCGAATGTCGCGATGTTCTGCAAATACGTATGAAATGCAAAAGCATTGTACACTAGTAGAAATCGCATGACAAATTTCCTCAGCGTGAGAAATAAAATTTGTAATGGGGATTTGACTTGAGAAGGAAATTTGTTATGCATGACTGCGATTAGTACGAGTGCGATAAGTACTTTTGCAATGCATAATACGCTTTGAAAGACGAATCTATCGTGAATATCGTGTTGGGTTCCGTGCAAGCAACCGCGATATTCGCAATGTTCGGGTGGGCGAAACTAGTCTCCGGTCCATTGAAAAAGAAGAAACGGGAGAAGGCGCTGGGTGGGGGAAGCAAATCAGCAATAGCGAATGATCCGGATAATTTATTTCATACCACTGGTGATCAACGTGCCGCGGAGGTGGACGAGGATAATCATGTAGTCGGTGCAATCGAGATCGAGGATGTGGAACCGAAAATTTTTAGCTCCTCACTGGCCGCAGAAAATACCAGTAGCGGTTTGAACGAAATAGATCTTGGCGAGAAGCAACTGCGAGACGACCATCAATTCCCAAACGGGCTTGATGATGATGAACAACTCGCAGAAAAAGCAATACCAGATGGAGAAAATAAAAACTACCCCCAAGGAGGTAAAGCTGTCGCAGAAGAAGATCTTCAACACCAAGAGCCGCAGTCAAGAGCCGCCGCCGCCGCGATGAAGATCACCGCGCTGTCCAGCGATTTCGCAGACTACGTCACTAGTACAACCACCTACGCGGGATCCTACGTGAAATCCGTGAAATTCCCCTACGTTCCACTTCTTCAGCAGACATCCGAACAGATTCTGGGCGTCGACTGGGACAAGCGGCACATGCTCCTCATCGGGGGCCCGATTCTCGCGGGGGCTTTGATAATGGTCTCTTTCTTTGACGAAAACACACCAACCCTGGCGATCATTTTTACCTGTCTTGTCGTGGGCATGATGCTGCCGGTGGTGTATTTGACGCCGTATTCGCTCTTGCCAGACCTAATTGAAGACGACGAGATCCGAACGGGAAGGCGAAGAGAGGGTGTGTACGCCGGGTTTAGCAACGTCTCGTTAAAACTCTCGATCTCCGTGGCCCTCGCCGGCACAAACGGGTTACTGGAATCAGCCGGGTACCAGCCGCCGGCGACCTCTTGCGGCGGGACAGGAATTTCCGCTAATCCTGCCGACATAGCAGACGGAACGTCCGTTGACGGGGACTACCAGCCACAGGCCGTGGTGGATATTCTGCGGTTTCTGATGGGGCCGGCGCCCGCGATTTGCATCTTTTTCGCCACGATATTCGCGTACAGTTTCCCGATCAGCAAGAGAAAAGCCACGCAAAACGTGAAGAAAGCGAGGAAGAGCAGGATGGAGAACTTGGAGAGACAGGCGCAGGAGGACAAGTTGACGGAAGTCGACAAGCAGGCTTTGATGACTTTGAAACTGGAGGGGCAACTAGCGGCGAACGACGAGGAAGAGGAAAAAACGACACTGGAATTCCGCGCAGAATCTCTTGAAAACAACTCCAGTTCCAGCAACAGTGGAGACGTCGGAATTATGCCGATGGGGAACGAGAACGACATGATCATGCAGGGGTTTGGTAGTCACCAGACAGGCGGGGGTTTGATAATAAACGATAGTAGTGGAGAGGCAACAACGACGATGATGGAAATGAATACAACGCCGCCGACGGTTTTTGCGGTGAGAAAACGGTCCAAGGACATCAACTCGAAGGAGAATTTGGATTTTTCTGCAGCTGCTCGGGGGGATTTCGGCGAGGATGCTGCGGGAACTGATGGTACGGTGCCCGATGCGTTTTGAAAGGAGTGGTGAATGGAGGGTGGAGGGAGTGATGTTGGTGATGAGGTCGTGTTGCATATATAATAATCCAGGAGCAGCAACATATTTCCGCAGTAGCTAGCTTTTGGACATCAAAACCAACGTGCAGAATTTACGTCCGTGTTGAAGTAGGCACGCACAGGCACACACTAGAATTCAAATTTTTGAAACTTAAAGAACGGCTTTCCAAGAACGTGCCAGTTGGTCTGCGAAAAGTAAAGGCAGCAGGTTTTTCGATCTTCCACGAGTTGGCTAGGCAAGTGTTTGTGTTCGGGTATTTTTCACTGAGGATGGCATTATACATCGCTAGCGTTCATTTTCGTCTCTACGCTGCCCGTGCGCTCGTCTTGCAATGCGTTCTATCGTTGCTGTGTGAAAGTCGGCGCCATCACCGCGCGCGCAGCGGACTGGCGGCGCAAAGCCGAGCAGGACCGCGCGCGGCGCTTCGGTGGTCTGCAGGGGGGCGCTCGACTTGTCCACCGGGGGCGCAAAAAGCAGGGCGCGCCCTGGTCAAGTGGCTAACTGTGGCGCACACGCAGGGCGCCGAGGCGTGCCCACTGCCGCCATGCGGGTACGGGATGGCACCAGCGCGACCCATCGCGATCGTGTTGCGACCAACCACGTGGGCCAGCTCATCTACAAGAATGAAGCTCCTGGGCCCGCGCGGAGCTGCGGCGGGGCTCCGTGCTTTTGGCAGCGGTGGAGAGGTTGACCGCTTACCAAAGGGCCCGGGCACTTCGGAACATGCCGCGCCGGTGGTGGCGCGCGCCGCTGCGGGTAGCGTAAGCGAGGCTCTCACGCTGCAGGCATTGCAAGCGAGATTCTCGCAGGCCATGCCTGCCAGGTTAGATTCGACACGGCCGCGACGGGCCAGATCTAAACTAAAGGCATTAGACGGCGAACCACCTGCGCAAGAGAGACGCCGCCGCGTCCTTCACCGTGGAACCGGCGCCGCCCGCATTGGCGATCATGCGGAGCCTCGCAGACCTTCCGCGCCGGCCCCTACTCCGAAAAGGCTTTTGCCTTGCTGCCGCCCTCCTAACCACAGCGCGCGTGGCGAGTGCGATAGCTGGGAGACAGGTTGGCGGCCTTTGTCCTCCCGGTCGCCAGGGCTGTGCCGGGGCGGGGCCTTCCTATGGCGCGCCTGCGCCCCCTGTCCCGCCATGGCGTGCGCGCGGCCGCCGGACATGCGGGCCGGCGGCGCCCGGCCGGCCGGCGGCGCCTTGCTGCGCTGTTGCGCGAAAAATTTGATCCAAGGGCCGCGCGGCTCTGCAGTTGCGCCACGACAAGGCGGAAGCGCCGCGCACTTTAATAGAACTAGAAGACGACGCGACGGGCGCGCCCCGTTTTTTCTGGCCGGCCGCCCGAGACGGCCCAAAGCTAGGCGAGCCGCCGCCGATTGGATTTTCCGCGCGCCTCTCGGGCTGGCCCAAGCGCGCCCCGGGCGCCCGCTTGGCCCTGCGTGCCTGCCCTTGCATTGGGCCGGGCCCCCCGCCCAAGAAAAACAGGCAGCAATCGGCGTGGCCCAGGGCGGCCCGCGCGCCTTGTTTGGTTGGCAGTGGTTGTCGGCGCGCCCCCATATCGCACCGCGCGGCGCCCGGCGCCCGCCCGCCCGCGCTTCTTGAGCGCGATTTGCTTTTTCGTGGCCGCTGCCTTGCTTGCCTAAGCGGCAGCCTCGGTGCGACAGCTGTAGCCTTTTTATTCCCGGGGCGACGCCTTCATGTAGACTGCAGCCCCGTAGAAGCGCTTGCGCCTACTCCGTGTTAATTACCGTGCCGCGCGTGCGTTGTTCCATGCTTTTTTTCATAACGTCGGGGCGTAGATATGCTTTCGCTTTTTTGCCAAGCGTGCTCCATGGCATGAGTCAGTAAAGGCCTTTCGCCCCCTCGTCATTCAACCACAGATCGACTAAGTTTTCGATCTCGAAGAGCCAGCACTTCTGCCCCCAACACCCTCTCCGCAACAAGATGACTTTCACCAAACGTCGTTTCCACCCTCCAGGCTTTATTGCCTGTATGGCTCTACTTTTGTTCTTGCTCTCGTCCCCACCACCCCTCGCAGCAGCCGCGAAGAAGAAATCTTCGAAAAACAAAAAAACCGACAAACCAACTCCCGCGTCCGCCCCACCGGTGGTAAGGAAGAAGAAAAATTATCTGGTCCTCGGCGGGACGGGATCCAGATCCGCGGCCACAACCGAGTTCCTCATTCGGCAACCGAATGTCGACGTGGTGCTCCTCAACCGCGGCAACATGTACTGGGACGTGGCCAAAGAGCTCAACGTCCGCGCCGCCGAGCACTGGCCGTGCGACCGGAAGAAGAAGCTGCAGAACTGCAAGCCCTTCATGGCCAGCGACAGGAAATTCGACGCGTGCTTGGACTTTTCCTCGCTTACTTGGGAACAGTTACAAAACGCGAAGGACTACCTACTGGACTCGCAAAAGTGCGACTTCTACCTCTTCGCTTCTTCCTACAAAGTGTATGAGGTGTCCGGGGCGTTACCGAAACGCATGACCAAGAAATGGTGGAATGACGTGGAAAACGGGAGACTGCAGGAGGACAAACACATGCGGAGACCGAACAAATCGGTGTCCCCACTGGAACGGCACGAGATCATCTCCGCGAACAAAATTGGGAACGATTTCTACCTATGCACTGCAAAAAGTGTCGTATTCGTGGGAACAATTGCAACCACATGCATGACCAATATCTCCTCTTAGGTAATTGAGCATGACACATTTCATAGTGAGACTTTTCCACTCAGGAAAATTTGTAATGCAGTTTCTACGTAATGCAATACTTTTGTAATGCACACTACGAAGTGGAGGAGGCACTCGAGAAAAATTTTATGAAGACCAACGTGCCGTACAGCGTTTTGAGAATAGGAAACGTGATCACCCCGAAGGAGGCGACGATGCGGTTCTGGTTCTTGCAATTGTGGCTACACGGGCACCAGAATTTAGGTATACATAGTGTTATTGAGGTTTTGAATGGCTTTCCTTGATGCTCTAGTGGAGATGAAAAGTAGTCCGAAAGATATACGGGTGTGGAAGTTCTTATTTCCAGGACCTGCAATTTTCGACAGCCGTAGTAGTATCGGCGGGAGATGTTTCGGAAAGCGATTTGTGTCCTGCTGCTACCAGGGTTATCAAGAATGCCGCCCGGATTCGCGACAGCGGGATGGACAGTTTTGGGACTTTTTTCAGGATCTGCAATTTTTGAGAGCCGTAGTAGCATCGGCGGGAGATGTTTTGGAAAGCGATTCGTGTCCTGCTGCTACCAGCGTGATCAAGATTACCGCCCGGATGCGCGACCGCGGGATGAACAGTTTTGGGACTTTTTTCAGGATCTAGAATTTTTGAGAGCCGTAGTAGCATCGGCGGGAGATAATTGGGAAGTGATTTCGATGTTTTTGTTTACGAGGTTTGTGAAGAGCTTCGTGCGGATTCGGGACACAAAGGAGAACGGATGTGGAATGTTTTTCAGGATCTGCAATTTTTCGGAGCCGTAGTAGCATCGGCGGGAGATGTTTGGGAAACAGTTTCTGTGTTGCTGATACAACTGGGCTTTCCAGCACTCCTATGTGGATTCGCGACAGGAGGAATAAAACGACTTCTGGTTTTTCTTCAGAATCTGTGACGCTTCAACCCCGTAGCTTCAGTAGCGGGAGATGTTCGGAACATGATTTTCGCATTGCTGGCAGGGGCCTCTCGCACGAAGGGCGGGGGGTTCTTCTAGTTCCGCGGAAGGGCGGGAAGATGTAGTTCTAGTTGTGCATATGATGAGCTACTTTTATCTAGAGATCGAATTCAACCACAACCATCCAACCACACTTCTTCTCCTCAGGTATGCCCATGCACACCACCTCGGACGCGCCGTATCAAAATGAAAAATCTCCCCTCCCCACATCAAAACGAAATTTTTGATGCTGGATTTGCGTACACAAATCAGATTTGTCTTGCAGTAGAGGACTGCCGGCCCACTTCATGCTAATGCAGAGAGAGGCTTTGGCCTAGGCGCTTAGCATGAGGAACGTCTATGCTGTAGGACCGCCAGCATTACAAACCGCTTGCATCATGGGGCGGAGCCCATGCCGTTGTTCTCTTGCAACACAGACGCGATTTGTGGTCACAAATCAGCATCACAAATTCTCTGGGGCGTTCGTTTTCGATATGGGGAGGGGGGATTTTTCCTCATGATACGCCGATGAGTTTCACCTACGGCTACGACATCGCCCAGGCAGTCGCGAAGGTGCTGAAAAAGGCCGCAAATGCCACCGAAATCGACGAGGTGGCGGGGGAAGCGTTCAACATCGCGTGCGAAGAAACGAAAGACCAGTACAACCTGTACTACACCATTGGGGACGCGATCGGGCTGTCGCAGGTCCAACACGTGCGACGCGACAACAGAACGGAGGCGCTGACGCTGTACCCGGAAAACAAGGACGGACACGTGATGAACATCGAGAAAGCGAAGAGGATCTTGGGGTTCAAACCGACGAATCTGGATAAGGCGGTATAACTTGCTCTTCTGTACTACATACAAGGTCATTGTGCAATCATAATAGCAGCAGGCGATGGTTTTGTTGCATACCGTAGTAAGTTCCATGATCGTCTTCATTTGCATTCTTTATCAACCAAAAATTCTCAATCCTCAGATCCGCGAATCAGCGTTGTTCTACGAGCAGGCGTTGACAGGGGAGAGGTGGAAGAACCAGAGGAAAGTTGCTTTTAACGCGATCGCGGAGATGATGAGGACGAGGAAGTTGGTGGATTGGGTAGAGAAAAAAGTCAAAGAAAAAAAGAACATTTACGATGACTACGATCCAGAAGAGTACGAAGAGTACCTGCAAGACAAATTTAAAAGACTGGAATTGTAAATAAATGACAATCATAATTGTTGCTCCTGATGTGTGAAGCGATTGCTTTTTTGTCAAGATCCTAGTGCCGCGTGCTGCGAGCAGCGCCACCGCTGAGTGTTCCTAGCTGTACGTGGAGAAGAGGGCTCCACATGCGTGGCGCAACTGTGTTTCTTCATCGGTTCGATGCTTCTACAGTCTGCCGAGGATCCTACAGCGGCTCATGGCCGGGCCCGCGTCGCAATCCGCAAGCCAGTGCGCGGAGGGCACGCGCTGACGCTGCTGGCGGCCCGGAACCATTTCGCGGGACAGGGCGAGCCAGCTGGCAGGAACCACCGGGGCCAGGACGGCTCCTCTCGCAAACACACGCCCGGCGCCTGCCTGAGGCCGCCCAACTTCCAGGGGGCGCGCCACTTATTCGGCCGGCGGCGCAGATTCTTTCCCCACATACGTGAAAGCAGGGGCAGCCCCCGCGCGCGCGCCGCGCCAGCAACGCCGGGGCGGGCAAGCGAAATGGCGGCCGCGCTCCCGATATCGCGCGCCGGCTCTCGGGCCGCCCCCCGGCAGGGGCGGGCACGGCTTTGGCAGCGCTTTGCTGCGGCGCGGGCCGGTGTTGCCGCGGCCCCCTCTTGGAACAGGGCGCCCAGAGCCGTCCGGGCGGGGTTGCCGCCAGCATGTCGGCACGCTGGCGCCGGGCAGGCGCCGCAGGGGCGGCGGCAGGGTATTCCCGAGCGCGCGGGAAGGGCCCGGGGGCCGGGCCTGCCGCACGCCTTCGGCATTCGCGCCGCCCTGGCTTGGGGCCCTGCGGGGCCGGGCGAAAATTGCGCCCGTCGGGCGCGCGCGCGCTTCTAAGCGAACAGACCGCCGGCGCGGAGTCGCGGCCGGCGGAGGGGCCTGGGCACGTCAGAAAGAGGCTGCGACGAGATCCGGGTCGTAGTGTGGGAACTCGTATGGTTCAGAAAGTACGCAGCGCGCGCGCGCAATGTGGTGCGTCGGCAATAGTTTAGCGCGGCCGCGCGGGCGCGGTGTCGGTCCGCCCAGGCTGCTGCCGCTCGTCTTGTTCGCCCTGGCCCGGCGGCGCCATCGGGCGCCCGTGCGCTGCTTACCGGGCAGGGGGCCGCGGGTTGCCTTGCCTGACTGTTTACGAAGAGCCGGGCCGGGCCCGGGGGGGCGGGCGGCCGGCCGCACACTTGCCCGAGCAGGTTGTGGGGCTGCGCGTTTCCCATCCGCATGGCGGCGCAGCCTGCTCCCCGAAGTTGGTGGACGCCCGGGCGGTAGATTTGGAGCCGCGGGCGACCTGGCGCTGCGCCTTTCGCCCCCCAGCCATTGACTTCCTGTATCGTGGCCGGCACGATATGCCGCGCCCTCATGTTGTTGGCCCATCAGTTTGCTTCGCCCATTGGAGGCTGGTGTGTATTCACGCAGGCGCCACGTGCCTGCTGGCGCGCACCTATTTGTGTTCGCAGAATTCAGAATTTCGTAGTGCGCCCACCGTGAGTTATCCCTTAATGGAACTGGCATTGAAGTAAGTAACTACCCCTCTACCACAGTAAGAAAGCCTGCTCTCCAGTACCGCCATGCGCACACCGTTTCCCCCTACAGCCAAAATCAGTACAAATGGAACGCAAGAAATGTGGAAAACGGTCGTCCCGCGGCTCCACCGCGATGCAGCTGGCGACGAGAATACTGGAGCACGCCGCGACCACAGGAAGAGCACGAAGAAATGCGGGGCCCGTTTCCGCTGCAACACTAAAGAGCAGTACGAGACCATCCCTCCTCCTCGCCACCCGAACAAGATCAAGACCGCGAAGCACAACCTGCTCACTTTCCTCCCCGCAACGGTTGTTCGCACGTTCCGACAGCCCGCGAACATATACTTCCTCTTCATCTGCCTCTTCCAGATCCTCCCCGAAATCACTCCCACGAATGGCGTTGTGTCGCAATTACCACCCTTGCTCGTCATCGTCGTGGTGGAAATCGTGACCGCTTTTTTGGAGACCTGGAAGCGCTGTGCCGCGGACCGAGCGGAAAATGTGGAAAAAAAGTGCTTTCGAGTTGTTGTCCCAACTGCTCCTGCTGTCCGAGGCGGGGAAAGAAAGACCACTGCCAACGATTCGCATACGAACACCAGTGGCAGCACGAGGGGCCGCGGCGCCAAGGGTGACGAAAAGCCGCCTGATGGTGTTCTCGGTCGAGAGGGCACCCACACACGCGATAGAAGTTCTAGTGCTGTGGATGAAGACCACTTCGAGGAAGTGCAAGTGGAGCAAATCTCCCGGCAAGACATCTGCGTCGGGGATATTTTGCAGCTGCGACCGGGAGAGGAGGTGCCGGCGGATTGCGTGTTAATACCTGATGATATGGTGAGGAAAATAAACGCGAATCGGTCAATTGGTGAATCGTCTGCTGCTCTTTGTAATCCCCCGGCGTCATCATCTTCTGCTGCAGCCCTTTTCCCAAGCAGAACATCTCCTCCGAAGAGCAACAGTGGTGTTTGTGTCCAAACCGCGAGTCTCGATGGAGAAACAAATTTCAAACGGAAGAAGGTCATGGGGATAGGTGTCGCGTCGAGGATGACCCCGCGTGCTTTTGTGGATTGGCAGGGGCAGCATCAGGATTCTGCACCTTCTTGTGCGTCGTCATCAGGTCGGCGAGCTCAACCTATCACCGTCGAGCTGCAAGTACCGAGAGAACCAAATGCAGATCTGAACAGCTTCACGGGCACTTGTTCAACTAGATACGGTACTGTGCCGAGCGGGGAGAGTGTCACTGTCCCGTTGACGATCGACAATTTACTTCTCCGTGGAACGACTCTTCGGCAGGAAGTCGCGACTTCGTCCGGCAAGCACAACGTGAGGAAGACGAGCGTTCAGAACAGAAGAACAACAACGAATAATTTGGCGCAAAACTACAGACGAACGGTTGCAGTGGGGTCTTTGCGTGGGAGGGCTACGGCTGCGGATCCTTATTCGAGAGCTGCTTCTCCCTCCTCTCCGTTTCGGTTGTCGCACACTGTTGCCACTGATGCTTCTCATGCACGGACGCAAGAGATGCCATTGTGCCCCTCGCCTGACGTTTGCACATCACACGACCTGGACTCTCGACGTGCCTCCCCCAATCTCGATGATTTGACCGAATCCCAAGCGTTGATTGCACACCATATTTCGGACAAAACCGCGATAACTGTAAACGACGCCGAAACAATTGTCCCATCACACGAGGACTACGATCCTCACAGAAGGACCATCTCCGGCGGTCGAAGAACCTCCCCGAGTGGTAGAAATGAAGACAGTAGAACCACACAAAATTATCACCAGCAGCGCCACTCGCGCCGACGAACTGTGGCGGGGCAGCAATTGTCGTTGTTTCACTACGCCGTCGTCGTTTACGTCGGAGAGGACACGAAAGTGCAGAAAAACGCTTTTTGCTCGGAATTGAGGAAACCCGGCTTCTTCGACTTCTGGATTGATTACATCATGAAAAGATGCGTTTTGATAGAAGTTTGCTTCTGCTTTCTCCTTGCGATCTACGCGTTTTGCTGCGAGGAAGTGAACCCCTTCTGGAACACAACGGACCTGCCGGTGAAAAATAGGCAGTATAACTGGATCCAAAGAATCTACCGACCGGTTGTTGACGAGCTGATCCGGATATGCATTGCAAATATGTCTGGGTGGTCTGGAAGACTGCAACTTGTGATGCTGCATTTGGATTCCAAAAAAATTTGTATTGCATGAGCAGCAAAAGGAGTCTTATTTTTGCTACGCGGAAAGGGCATTTGTCATGCGAAATAGGCATCAAGAACCCCTCGAAAAATCTGTGATGCTACGGCATGCATCACAGACATCATGGCTCATGCAAAACGTGCGTGACAAGTCTCAGAATCTTCCAGACCCAGACATTTTTGCATTTGATGCCGGATTCTCCAGTCGCACGAGAGCAACGGTTTTGTCAAATTTCTCCAAGTGGTGCTGCTCACTATTGTGCCAAAGTCCTTGACCTGGATCACGCTCTGTAATAATTTCGTCCCGATCTCGCTCGTCGTGCAACTGCAGCTCAACAGGCTGTTCCAAGTGCTCTTTCTGGTGAAGGATGACGAGTTCTTGAAGCTGTATGAAGGTGACTCTGTAGTAGAAAAGCCGAGGGCTGCCGTTGAGAACTACCCGAAAAGCCCCAGTACACCATCACCAGCTTATTTGCTGCCAACAGCCGATGGGGATGAAGACCAAATTCCTGTCGCGCTGCAGATTGAACCATCCGTGGATCAGACACGGGAAAGCGAAGCGGGTGTTCTATCAAATGTAAAAATGTCTGGGTCTGGAAGGATACAACTTGTGATGCTAATTTTGGAATCTACATAAAAACTGTATTGCATGAACAGCAAAAGAGGTGTAATTTGTGCTAGGCGGAGAGGGCATTTCTCATGCGGTATGAGCATCAGAAAGCCCTCGCAAAATCTTCATGACAAACTCCTGCATTCTTCCAGACCCAGACATTTTGCAATCCATATGCTCTTGCAGTCAGAGGACCACCTGAAGAACAACAACCTTTGCTGCGAAGTTTTCCTTTTGACGATCCAGATTTAAATCGGACTTCCCCGGCGTCTTCTACTGCGTCCCCAAGCTCCAGTAGCTCAGGAATGACAGTCACTACAGGCTCAAATTCGGTGACAGGAGAAGTAGAAATAGGTGATATTTCCTCAACATCCCTCCGCGGCTTCGAACGTCCGCAAGTGAACCGTTCGAATTTACTGGAAGAATTGGGGCACATCACGCACATTGTCACGGATAAAACGGGAACTTTGACAAAGAACGAAATGTCGTTCCACTCGAGTTTTGGATTCGAGAGGGGAACAGAAGTGAGGAGTGGCGAGGAGTGCACTTTTGCGATGTTAACTGACACTGACCCACCGGTGGATGATCCTGCGTCTCCCGAGAGCAGCAGCAGCAGCGATTCTTCCTCCCTTTTCGCGACACTCTTGCCAAGCTATGCAAAAAACGCCAATAGCTTTTCCGGAGATCCCGCATCAGAGGAAAAACTCTCCATGTTCCTCGCCATGGCTTTGTGTCACACGTGTGAACGAGATTTGGAAACTGGGAATTTGTCGTCCGCCAGCCCAGAGGAGATTGCTTTGGTGGAAGCAGCGGAGAATTGTGTGGGGATAGAATTTCTCGCCGTGAGGGACACTGATATTTGTGCCGCTAGTTGTACAACTTCCACGTCGTCGTCAAGCTCTTCTTTACCTTCCTGTTTCACGTACGACGTACGCATACCGTTTATTCAGCCGGGCGTGTCTGGGTCTGACGATCATGGTGTTGAGCATGACAACCTCGCGCCAGTCATCTCCTTCGAAATCGCAAAGGTTTTAGAGTTCAACTCCGACAGAAGACGAATGAGCATCGTCGTGAAAATTCCAGAGACGCTGCCAATACCGAAAAAGCCACCAGATAGGGCGGAGTCTCCAGTTGTGATTCTGAATGATGATACAAATGCAGCGGGCAGCGCCGACTCTGTAATGCCAGACAGGCATGCGAGAGCAAATGAAGAGCTACCCGCGCAAAACAAGTACCCCGCGGACTATGTCCTTATCTGCAAGGGCGCTGACTCAGTTCTGATTGACGACCTCTCACTTACCTCCCGGAACGCAGATAAACAACGAGGACCTTGCGAGAAAACACAAAATTTGAAAAGGAAAATTAAAGAGTTGAGCGAAACGGGGCTCCGGACGTTGGTTTTTGGCTGGAAAAAGTTAGACGCGAAAGAAGTTGCCAGCCTGTTCTCCACGACAGGTTGTGAAGGCGATGATGCTACTGGCAGCACGACAGTAGATGCAGACCTGACAGCCACGACTACAGCGAGTTACACTTCTTGTTCATCTTCGTCGGCCTCTTCCCAGGCCAGAAGGGTCGAGTCTGCAGCACGAAAATCATCTTCAAAAACAACCGACGATCTGGAAAAAGATCTCCATCTCCTCTCCGCTGTCGCAATTGAGGACGCGTTGGCGAACCACGTCGCGGAAACCGTCGACGTGATAAAGAAAGCGGAAAAAATCAAGCTCTGGGTCTGCACCGGGGACAAACCGGAGACTGCCGTTGCGGTGGCAAAGAGCTGCCATATTGTGGATGAGAGTATGGAGGTGTGGAACTTAAACGATGAATCCTCGCTGGAACTCCCTAACTCCGTTGATTGTTACGCTTCCTCTTTTTCAACGTATGCCGCGGTTGTGACGGGGGATAAGTTTTGTCAGATTATAGCCGGCGACAGCGACTCTATTTCTTTCTCTTCGGGTGAGAGTGAGATAAGAAAAAAAGCGGCACTGTTATCACCTGCACCACCACCAGCAGTGGGGAAGAAACTACATGTAGCGCAAGCGGAAGTAGAACTCCTTCGTTCGGAAAAGAACGTAGAACCAGCTGCACATCGCAAGATCAACCAAGACCTGCAAAACTTCCTCCTAAACGCCACCGCCGTGATCATCTCAAGAGTTTCGCCGAAGCAAAAACGGGAAGTGGTTCGATTCTTGCAAGGCCGAAATATCAAGGGGAAGAAGGGGAAAACGAAGCTGAAGAACACCGTTTTAGCAATCGGCGACGGGGCAAATGACGCCGGGATGATAAAGGAAGCCACGGTTGGCATCGGGTTGTACGACTGTGCCCTGATGAAGAGCTTTGTTCAGGAGCAGGAAGATTCTTGTGCAGCTGCTGATGATGCAAATTATCTCAGTAACGCAACGGGAACTACGACAGCCACAAGTACCCGGCCCAAAAAGAACCCGGCGTTACAAACAGCTGCCGTCCGACAAGCGGATTTCGCCTGTGGTCACTTCGCGTGCTTGCAAAGGTTGATCTTCGTTCATGGGAGAGAAGCGCACCGGAGGAACGCGTTTTTTCTGCAATTTATGGTCTACAAGAACGTGATTTGCACTGTTCCCTTCGTTATCAAATGCAAAAATGTAGTCTGTGTCTGGGAAACTCCGAGATTTGTGATGCAGTTTTTCCAAGCTCCCCCACGTCTGAAATGCAGGGCCTAGCATCACAGATTCTGCAGTTCCTTGGTGATGCGTATTCTGCATGAGAAATGCCCTCTCAGCATGGCCAGAAGTGGGCACCTTTTGCACGTTTATGCATCACCGATCTTTGTAGGATCCGAAACACGCATCACAAGTTCGGATCCTTCCAGACCCAGACATTTTTACATTTGATATTCGTGCTCTTCGGGTTCTTGAGCAACGAGGCGAGCGGGTATCCGTACGTGTACCCGTTTCTGTATCAAAGTGAAAACACCCCTCCCCATACTAATTCGGAGATTTGTGTAGCATGATTTGGGACCACAAATCATTTTGTCATGCTAGAAGGCAGAAGATGCGAACTGTAGTGCTGGCTGGCGTGGGAAGGCCTTGCATCTTCAGCATGACAGGAGGCAACTGGAAGGGGGGGTCAGCATGACAAATTGGCCGCAACTAAGGCCGCAGCTGCGTCTCTTGGCCTCCTGGCAATACAAACCGACTTGTGTGATGCAAATCCAGCATCACAAATTTCATGTCCGATATGGGGAGGGGGGGCGTTTCTTCACGATATTCTGTATTCGATGTTCAACACGGTCTTTACCGGAGTTGGAGTTTTCGCCTTTGCCGTGTTCGACCACGAGGATTATGCAGCAGAAGCAGAACAGCATGACAGAAAGAATCGGAAATGCAGAAACAGCATGACAACTTCCACCCCTGCAACTTTCATCTCTTGGGACCAGAAACTCATATACAACTGCGATAAAACCTACAACAAATGTGTTCCAAGTTGCCACGCGAAAAACTACAAGCACACGCGGCGGGAAAGATATGCAAGAAAAAAGCTGTGTAAGTGTAAATCTGTGATGCAGAAAATGCAAAACAGTTACACTTGTCATGCGGGAAGTGCGTCATAGGCTACTATCGTACACGTTTCCACGTACTAGCTGCGCATGACAGGTTTTCCCTGTAAAATGCAAAACGAATCTGTGATGCTGCTCTTCCTACAAAGTTACACTTACACAATTTTTTTCCTTGATAGAAGAACCGGTTATATCAATCCGAAACTCCTTTCCACCTGGCTTTTACTATCAATTGTAAAAATGTCTGGGTCTGGAAGAATCCAACTTGTCATGCTGATGTTGGATTATAAAAAAATCTGTATTGCATGAGCAGCAAAGGGAGTCCAAGTTTTGCTACACGGAAAGAGCATTTGTCATGCGGTATAGGCATCAGGAAGCCCTCACAAAATCTGTGATGCTAGGGCATGCATCACAGACATCAGGAGTCATGCAAAATGTGCATGACAAACCTGGCAATCTTCCAGACCCAGACATTTTTACATTTGATATTTCCTTGGTGTGTTCCATTCAGTAATAATCCACTTTTTGGTTTTCGAGATTGGTACCGTCGGGACGAGCAATTTCGTGTTACTGAACAACTGCGGCTTACTATCCCGTGTAAAAACGTCCCCACCCCAGAGTTTTCATGCAGATTTGCAATGACAAGAACATTTGTGATGCGCAGCCCCATGACAGGAATTTTTTATCGTGGTTTGAAATTTGTAATGCTCGAAACAGGATCATGATTAGCTGGATTTGTAGTGCGGCTGTCCTTGCTAAGAACCTGCACTACGCTACGAGCTGCAACTTGTCATGCGTGACTCCCAAAGCTTCTGGGTTTGTGTTGCAAATAAATCCCCATGTTGGCTGCGGGGCTGGGACGTTTTTACTTGGGATACTTACTTGCGTTTGGTTTAATGATCCTCCTCGCGAACTTCACACTATCCAAGAAAAAAACACCATCACAATCACTTTTGCACAGTTTTGCAATACAAAAATTTTTGTCATGCGCAAAACTGCATCACAGTCAAGAGTTATAGGCGATTTTTATCGCCTATAACTCTTGACTGTGATTTTGCAATACAAGAAAAATTTGTTATGCGAGACAAATTTCTGATGCGAAACTTCCCAAGTGTGATTGTGATGGTGTTTTTTTCTTGGATACACACTTCTCTTCTGCCACTACGGAAGCAAGGCGAACAACTGCAGATACTTGAACGGCTTTGTTCTATTCGGCTGCCTGTTCGGGTTTTTCCTCTACCTCCCGTTCTACGTTTCGCATCTAGAAACTGGGGGCGACGAGGTGAAGACGGTGGTTGGTATTGCAGACGTCTTTGCGGGACGGGCTATCCTATGTAAAAACGTCCCCACACCAGAGTCAAGTTGGGAATCTAGCAACACAAATCTCCAAGTTTTGGGAGCTGTGCATGACAAGCTTTCCTCTGCAGTGTGGGGCTTGTTGGCAAGGGTAGCCGCATGAGAAAGCCACTTTCTGATCTTGTTTACAGCGTTACAAATAATTCCAGAACGCGACTGGTAATGCCTCCCATGGAGGTGCGCATTACAAATGTTTCTGCAATTGCAAATCTGCATGACAACTATGGGATGGAGACGTTTTTACACAGGATACGGGTTTCTTCTTGGTACGAACTGGTCTACGACCCATACGGAATTCTGCCGATGGCGGGGTCGACAGTAGTTGGAATTTTCTTACCGTTTATCTTGGTGTCGGGGCACAGGATGATGCGGGTTCCAGATCTGTAAAGATCAGATTGTGAAATAGAAGCCGGCTTTTATTGCTTTACAGGTCGTGATGAAAAAAATTCTGTACTTTTTCAGTAGTCAAATGTATCAAATTTTGTTTTTTATTTGTGAGTTTCTCACTCACGACGGGCTTCCGTGCAAGCCAGAATCAAATGTACGTCTTCTACAGCTGCCGCCATACAACGGGCAGTCTAGAAAGATCCACAAAATAAATGCACGGCTGTGGTCTCCTGGAATATGACTTGTCGAAGCCACCTTCTCCTCAATGTATGTATGTCAAATATTTTGACACCAATATTATTCATTGTAGGCACAACTACTGCATCAATCATCGCTCCTTGCTCTCATGCGACACTAATGAATACTTTGAACAGCAACAATGAACAAGAGTCCGCGCATAACGCTGCGAAGACGTTTTTCAAACAACTCTACTTACAATAACGAAAGCAAAGTACAACAACTTTCAACGGCGACAACGTCTGTGGTGCTATTCTTGCTTGCAACGTCAGACGTTGTAAGTACTAGAGCAGGCGTTTATTTTCTTTTGCGGGCCTCGATGCTGCCTGGCAAATCTGTGTAACATCAAATGCTACGAGCGAAGTTCTCCACTTTTTTGAGTGACGTGTGCAGTACTGTCGGTTGTTTTTTTCAAGCGATTTACACTCCAACCGAATCCGATAAACAACTCTTTCTCTTTTTGAAACAAATCTACTGTAGCTTCGATTTCTCCAATTACTTCTTGTTTCTGGAAAATGTAAGGAGGTTCTGTGCGACGTCCAGTGGTGGAAAGAACGACGGAAACGACCACAGGAAAAGGCAGCAATCCACTGCTACACAAGCTCGCATGAGCAGTTTTACTCAACCTACGACCGGCAACAAACCAAGCTCTAGCCACAGCATTTCCACCGGAGACGAGAAGACCCGCAACCACTTGCTAGTACACCAACAAGGAGATCTTCGGGAGCAATTCAACAGACCGTTTACGAAAAATCCTTCCAGTAAAGAACAGCTCCTGCTCTCCTGCCCCGACTCCCCGGAAACCGACGAATCCGTGAGCATCATGGCGGATAACACACCCAAAACTCCCACCCAGGCCTGGACGGCCCCACCGAAAACAATATCTCGTGCAAAAGTATCGTACTCGTATTAGTTGCACACATGCATGACAAATCTCTTTCCTAAGGCAAAATAGCATTACAAATTTCATTTGTTATGCTGAGCTAATTTGTCATGCGATTTATACGAGTACGATACTTTTGCAATGCATAAACAAGTGCCGGAAAGAATATTGAACCGAGTTCCGCGGCAAGCTCTAACATCGTCTACAATGACGAACGATATTCGCCGAACGCCACGACAAACAACAACCAAAAATCGTCCCAGAAATCAACCCCCTCCGGCTATGGGAATGATGACATGATCCGCTCCTCTAGTTCTGTCCGCTACCGACAGGGCGGGCACCCGAGGTTGTTCGAAAACATTGGGAGGACGCATGGACAATCGGTCGATGGGTTGTTAACGGATTTTTACCAAATAACGATGGCCTATGCGTATTGGAAAGCGGGGAAGCACGAACAAAGGGCGGTTTTTGACGCCTATTTCCGCAAGTGCCCGTTCAAGGGGGAGTACTGCATTTGCGCAGGTATAATTTTTGTGGTTGATAAGATAATTGAAATTTGTCTTGCAGTCGTGTGTCCAGGAGAGATGCAGTTTGTCATGCTAATACTTGAGTACAAACAAATGAAAAGGTATCAACGAGACCGTCCGCTTCCTGAACACTTTCGGCTACAGCGACAAGCAAATTGACTACCTGAAAATCCAAATGCCCACGGCGCAACCGGAGTTCTTCGACTATTTAGCACAGCTCGACGCCTCGGAATTGACGGTGATGGGGATGCGAGAAGGGGAAATCGTGTTCCCGAACCAACCTTTATTAAGGTTAGAAGGGCCATTAATCGTCTGCCAACTGCTGGAAACGACTGTTTTGAACCTTCTCAACTACCCTTCCCTAATCGCCACCAACGCGGCCCGGTACTATCAAAGGCAAATATGTCTGGGTCTGGAAGACTGCAAGTTTGTCATGCTTGTCTGGCATGACTCTCAAATCTGTGTTGCGTGAGCACGAAGAGGCTCTCTTGCATGTCGTGCAAAAACGCAGTTTGTCATGCGGAATACGCAACACCTAGCAGCCCAAAAAGTTGTCATGCTTGGCTGCGTATTGCATTGCGAATATCATTCATTTTTAGCATTACAAGTTTCGAGACCCAGACATATTTGCAGTCCATAGGTACCGGCAGGCGGCCACTTCTGGTGTCACGGCGAGTCAAGCGTATGCAATGCAAAAGTATCGTACTTTAGTATAAACCGCATTACAAATTTCCTTAGCATGAGAAATGAAATTTGTAGTGCGGATTTACCACAAGAAAAAGATTTGTAATGCATGACTGCAATTGCTACGAGTGCGATACTTTTGCAATGCATAAAGTGGGGCAGACGCCAAGTGCGCGGGCTTCCATGAGCCAAAGATCGCCGAACGAGCGGGTGAATACGTCAAATGCACCGATGGGGAACGCGCCGGTGTTGATCGAGATGGGTTGTCGCCGGGCGCAAGGGCCGGACGGGGCTTTGTCCGCCGCACGATACAGCTATTTGGGCGGGTTTGACGCGACATCAAATGTGAAGGCGGGACACGTTTTTGACGTGCCGATTAAGGGGACCCACGCGCACGCGTTTGTGACGTCGTTTAACAGTTTAGACGAAGTGAAGAGGATAAACTGCGGAAAATTGGGGGACAAGTTTGTCAGCGATGTGCTCAGCTACAGACCAAAGGTACTTACAACAACTCTATGCGATTTTGCTTACATGTAGTTGTTGAATTGAGCACAGGTTTTTGCACCGTTACTTCTATACGTTGAATTAGCTTTCAGCAATAGCTGGGAGCTTCTACTGGTGAGGACGACAACACTCTTCTCTTTTATCTACACGCTCTATCTTTACATTTAAAACACAAAACAGATCGCACCGCAGTCGAACGATGGCGAGTTAGCGGCTTTTGTCAGTTACGCAACGTCCTTTCCAGACACTTTTCTCGCTTTGGTCGACACCTACGACACTCTGATTTCGGGCATCCCAAATTTCCTCTGCGTCGCATTGGCGTTATTGGACCGGGGGCATAAATATGCATTGCAAAAATGTCTGCGTCTGGAAGATTGCAACTTGTCATGCTAAATCCGAATCATGCAAAAATCTGTGTTGCATGAGTGCCAAAAGCTTTTCACTTTTGACCTAATCGAGAGGCAGTTTCTCATGCAGGATAGGCATGATAGAGGTCGCACGAAATCTGTTATGCTAGGTCGTGTATGACAGACCTCGCGCGTCATGGAAAACCTGCATGACAAGTCTTGCAACCTTCCAGACCCAGACATTTTTACATTTGATAATAAACCAGTTGGTGTCCGGTTGGACAGCGGCGATCTGGCTTACTTGAGTACTGTTTGCGATATATTTGAGACTTCTTTGTCATGCTAGATTTGAAAAAGGGAACACGAGATGATGAAACTTGTCATGCAGGAAAGGCACTCGACGAAAATATAAATAGGTACTTAAATTTCATTATATCAGGTAAAGAAGCGAAGGAAATGTTTCGCGAGTGCTCGGATGGCCCGCATTGCAAAACCGTCGAAGTCCAAGAAGCATTACTAACTTTGAAGGTCTGCGCATCAAATGATATCAACGAAGTGACACTTCAATCCCTAAACGAGCAGGGGCACGGGATTGATATCTACGGAATCGGAACAAACCTTGTTACCTGCCAAGCGCAACCGGCGTTGGGAATGGTATCGAATGTTGTGATGAAGCATGACAAAAAATGTAGTCGATGTTCTGCATCTTTATATGAGGTGGATTTTGTAATGCAACTCTTGATGTTCTTTCATCGATCGTCCAGGTCCTTGTGGTGTCAGAATCACCTTGTTTGAAAGGTCGTTCTGCAATACAAATTTCCTCCACGACTTTCCAGGTCTACAAGCTCGTGGAACTGGACGGCGATCCGCGAATGAAGCTTTCCCAGGAGTTTAGCAAAGTGTCCGTCCCGAGTAAGAAAAAGGTGTACCGACTGTACAACAGTAAAGAGGAGCCGCTGATTATCGTACGAAAAAAGTGTTACAGTTACACATTTGTTGGCAAAAATTCAGCAACACAAATTTCTCTGCATGAAAGAAAAAACTTGTAATGCGCGGACTACAAGGGAAAGCACGAATGAAATGAGACTGGCAAGCATTTCCTACATGACAGAGGTTGTCTGTCTTGCTTGTCTTCCATTAGAGTGTGTAACTGTAAGACTTTTTTCTCAGGATACTGATCGACCTGATGCAGCGCGAGTCCGAGGCCCCACCCAAAGCTGGGGACCGGATTTTCTGTCGGCATTTGTTCGAGGAGACAAAGCGGTGCTACGTGACACCCACCCGGGTGGAGGAGTTGTTGCACGAAGTGTGGGGAAGAACCCCCTGCGTGCCAATGACGTTGGACGAAGCGAGGGAATTTTCGATGAACCGATTAGCCAGGTTTAGACCGGACATCTTGCGGCCGCTGAACCCCACGCAGTACAAGTTAGCGGTGTCGGACCCGTTTTTCGGGTTTTTCAAGCAGATGTGGCAGAAGTCCGCGCCGATCAAGGAGCTGACGTGACTTTAGTAGAGTGGGGCTCTCTTGAATTTGGTGGTGTCGCGCAGGCAGGTGTAGAGCGGAAAGTTGAAATTTTAAGTCGAAGTGTAGTAGCTACCGTTCTTTCAACATCTAGTGCCTATTGCTTTCACCTCCGACGTAACGCTGTGACTTTTACTGAAATTTTTACAAACGCAAGCGAGCAAGGCAGCGCGCTGAGGACGGGCGTGCACCTGCTCCTTCTTCTAGTAGAGAAAGAAACAAAGTATTCAACAACCAGTACAAGTCTATATGAATGAAAGAGAAAGACCTATGTTGCTAACGCAGTAGAAAAAAGTGACGTGATTACAGTAAGGTAGTTTCACCTCGGCTTTTTCCTGCATTTATTTCGCGCAAACAATTCGACAGCACACGCTAGCAGCTGTCCTCATACTTACACTTACACTTACTCCACCTGAAAATGCTTTATGGATTCTTCTCGGCTTCCATATTCTACAACGGAGGTAGAAAGCTCCATTTTGCAGAATCCGAATTCATCTTGATGAACCTATTCACAAAATGAGCACCGTGATTTCTTCTGTTCTTGAAAAAAATCAAAATGATCTTCATAAGCGGAAGACGAATAGAAGGAAAAGAACAGAGCAGCAAGTAGTTGCAGGCATGGTTGGCTATGTCTTTGGAAAAAAAGTGTGGGTGTTCCACTGTGGGCTGGGTGTAGCATTAATAATTTTCCGCCGAGCAGGAATTATTTCTGTCAAAGAACAGGAAGAACGTGCCGCCTACGGCGCTGCCCTCCTGGCATGGACGCCGGGGCGGGCGCCACATTGCCGCGGCGGCCTGCGCAGATCTGTAGCCGCGTGGGGCGCAGAAAACGCCGCAACCCGCGCGGCGCAAGTCAGCGCGCCCCGGGCGCCGGGGGCTTGTTGCGCATTCGGGGCGCGCGTTCCCCTTCGCGACAGCTCCCAGCGTGCGCGGGCCCCAACAACAACGCGGACGAAGCCCGGCCGCCCGAGCGTATGCGGAGCGGAGCCACTTCCAGCCGGGCGACGGGCGTGAAGCCGCGGCGTATGGCAGAATTTTTGCGAGAACGCGCAGCGCGCCAAGTGTCACGCTGCGGCTTGCAAAATTGGCGCGCGGGGACGCAAACAGAAACCCAAGCAGCCAGGGCGCGCCTTACTAAAGCGGGCGGCCGGTCTGGGGCGCGGCGGGCCATTCCACTCCCTAGAGGGCCCCCTGTGTGGATGCGCGGGCCGACGCCGGGTTTTGGTGCCCGGGCGGGCATGATATGCCTGCGCAGGTGGGCCGGCCCGGGCTTGTCCGTCTGCCCGGGCGGACCCACGCCGATGCAAGACCCGGGCCGACGAATGCGAAAACCCCTGGGAGAAGCAGGCGGCAGAAGAGGAGGAAGAGCGAAGGAGACGGGGGCGCGCAGGTGGTGCGCAGCTGCGCCATTTGCGCGGCGCCCATCGCCCCCGTGCCCGCGCCCTGTACCGCCGCCGCCCTGACCGAAGGGCACGCCGAGGCGGCAGGTGGTGGCCTCTGCGCCCGTGTGCATATTGACCGGGAAACTGTGCCGGGGTGCATAGTGCCACCGTCAGCCGTCTGCCCGAAGCCTGGGGCAGCGGTCGCCATTTGCGGCGCGGTTTGCGAGCACTCCGGGGAACTGTGGAGCCGGTGGCGCACTGCTTTTTTTTTGACGTTGCTGCGGCACTTACCTTGGGGCTCTCGGCTAGAGAAGCGGGCCGCCGCCGCGGCGGACCGCCGCGCGGAAGCAACGAAATCGGCCTGCCCAGGTTTGGAAGCCCCCCGGGGGCTTCCGCGCGAGGCGGCGGCCGGCAACGGGGCGGAGCTTGCGCAAATTCTGCCACACCCGAGCAGACGGCCGCTGGGCACGAACCAGGCGGGCGGGCAGAAGGCAGGGCGGGGGGCGGGTCGTCGACTGCTGCAGATATCGCCCGCCTGGGGCAGAGTGTGGAACTGAGCACCCGTGCGATGGAACGGGTCCGCGAATTGAAGCAGTTGAATGCGGGGCGCAGCCGTTCGCGGGGCCCGCCCGGCCCGGGCGGGGCGCGGCGGGGGGCAGGGCGGGGGCCCGCCGCGAGGGAGGCCGCCCGACCTGCTTGCCGCGGGAATGTTGCGGGGCTGGGAATCAAAGCGGAGGACGGCGATGGGCCAGCCTTGAAAAGCCTGACAGCGAACAGCATGCGGCGCGCGCCCCCAGAGCTAATCGTGGATATCGGTGGGACTCATCGCGGCCCCGGCTTTTCTGTTTCTCCAGTTCGGCCCCAGCGGGGGGGGCGGCCCTGCACGCAGGGCCGCCCCCCCGCCCGCGGCTAATTTTCTCCCAGCTCGCACCGCCGGCCCGCCTTGCCGGCCGTCGCGCCCGGGGCTGCGGCTCCTCCGGAGCTGGTGCGGCTCCAGCCTCGCGCCGTGTGGGGCCCATTGTGTCTCCCAGCTCTATCAGTGTAGCAACCTGTGGCCGCCAGGCCCCTGCGTGGGTGCTTGGGCCTGCACTTTGGCGCCCCCGCGCCAAATTGTGGCGCAGGTGCGTTCGAAGCCACCCGCAGCGCTGCACATGCCTCAGGCACAGTACTCGCCGGGGCGCCGGCTTTTGTTTTGTTGCTGTGCGTCGACGCACCTCCACCCAGCTTGCGCGGCGTGGCGCGTGCAATAAATTGAAGCGCGTTCATCTGGATCTGCTCCTTTTGTGGGTCGGTGACGTAGAATCCTTGACCCCCGTGTTCCCTCTGCCGGAGTGCGCCATTTCGCACGTCTTTCCAGAGAGTAAAAGGCCATCCTCCATTGAAGCCTCTATGTAAAAAATCCCGACTCCACCGTGCGACAGCAAAAATCGTTCAAGACAAGATGGCCCCGCCCCGCAACTGTTCGTCCTCGTTCTTCTCCTCTTCTGTCGGGAATTGTCATTCCAAGCACACTGCCTCGTGCTCGTTTCGTCTTCCGCACAAGTACTACAACCGGTGGAAACGACGCTGGCTTTTCACAGTACGGACGGTCTTTCTCATCTTCTCCTCCTCCTTCCTCACGAAAATAACTACTACTCTAGCACAGGAACAAGTGGATCATGCTGCCGAGCAGGGAGTTGACAACAACCTTTCGCCAGCCGAACAAGACGACGATGGCCGCACCCAACCACCATCACCGCAAAAGCAGCATTTTTTCCTCTGCGTGTTCATCCCGGTCACCAAAAAATCCAAGAAGGATGTGGAGCTGTCGAAAGTCCAACTGAAAACGTGGATGACGAGTCACAAACGACACGATGTCCGGGCGTTTTTCATCGGCGAGGTTCTGTCGGAAGAGCACAGAAGTAGAACGATATCGATCATCGGCGACGACGAACTACCGTATGACCAGCTCCCGGTCCGGACGTTCAAGATGTGGACGTATTTAGGTTTGGGCGATTGGAAGCTTCTCGCCAGGAAAAACCGGTTTCAATTGGAAGAGGACGATATCCCACGAAAAAACTGTTCCACTGTGATGATTTTGCAAGATCTGCATCGCAAGTTCGTTACACGTGACACAGAAAATTTGCCATGCGCGCTTCCCTAGGGAAAGCGCTGTTGACTACCTAACCTCTTGCAGGTGTAGCAAGGCAAACACTATGGTGTTTCATTTTCTGCATCACAAGTTCACAGACACAGTGAAGCAGTTTTTTCCTGCGATAGACGAGGCGGAAGAACATGCCAGGGTGTTGAAAGAGTACAACAGAACCGGGTATCAGCGGTATAAAAGTAGAACCTTGTGGTCGAATTTTCATGGGGAGGTATTAGATAGCGGAAATCCCTCCAGTTCCGCCACCGCTACGCAAGGAGGCGATCATACTAGTAGCGCAACAGCCCCCCCCGTCAATGATCAGCATGCAGCTACGGTGCATTACGGTGGCAGAGTGCGCGGGCGCGAGAAAATCTTCAATGGAAGCAGGACAAAATCTAAAGCCGGGCCTGCTGGTACGAGTGCAGACGTAGATATGGACCGGGAGGACTCTAGTATTGTCGACGACACATCATCATCAAGGCCTGCTAGTACTACTACTGCGACCAATCTCTGGAACAGTAGCCCGAATAAAATGAATCCAGGCACTCTTGACGCGGACGAAGATGAAGATGATCACGCCTTTTACTTGGATGACAACAACTTAGTTATCCTGAGTAAAAACGTACCCACACCAGAGTCAGGATGGGGATTTTGCAACACAAACCTAGGAGTTTTGTGAGTCACGCATGACAAGTTGCACTATGCAGTGTAGTGCAGGTTAGCAAGTGCAGCCGCATTACAGATTCATCTGCTCATCCTGTTCACAGCGTCACAAATTCCAAAACACGACTGGAAATAGCTCTCATGGGGATGCGCATTACAAGTCTTCCTGTCTTTGCAAATCTGCATTACAACTCTGGTGTGGGGACGTTTTTACTCAGGATATTAGTTGAGCACACGGCAGTCGACACCGAAAGGTACCTATGCGCTGCAAGAAAAGTATCGCACTCGTAGAAATTGCAGATATGCATTACAACTCTCCGCTCTCAGGTGAATCAGCATTACAAATTCCATTTTTCCCATTGGGAATAAAACTTGTAATGCAATTTCCACTACTACGATTATACTTTTGCAATGCATAATACCATCTTTGGTCCCCCGCGTTTTCTGATCAGGTGACCTGTGATTACTACATGAAAGCGGACCCCGATTCCTACGTCAATGTCCCAGCAGTCGTCGACCGGTTGCAGTGCTTCGCAAGCGACTTTTCGGAGAAAGATAGTGGGGATGATGAAGCTGTTGTACGATTTGAAGCGCAAAAAGATGAAGCAGCAGCAGCCTCTTCATCCACCGATGCCAACAACAACCTCGAGCAGCAGATATCCACCACCTATGACGACGAATCGACCAGAACCAACTACCCAGTGCAAGTTCAAAACAAACAATACTTCGGCGTGGTGCACGCAGTTGCGCCCGATGAACACACAGCCCTCTTTTTCGGCCACGGCGGTAGTGGCTACATGATCAACTACAATCTCCTCCACGACAACGTGGCACAGTGGTCCATTAATTGCCTATCGGAACTGATCAAAACGAGCAACGGGGTGGGGATGGAAGACGTTCTGTTCTCCCGGTGCTTACGCGACGAATCGGACAAGAAAATCGGGGTTTTGTCCTACGGACACACTTACACGGAGTTTATTCTCAACTTCCACCAAGCGGAAAGATACATTTTGAACGGGACGAGATTACTGCACGGCGTGGACTTATTACCCCCGCCTCTATCCAAATGCACGCTCGTCGCCCACCCGATTGAGAAGCCGCAGGATTTGGTTTTAACCCACAAGCGAATAACGGATGATTTTTCGAAACAGCAGAAACACCTAATTGACAGCCGGGCGAGTAGATCTTTGGTTCCCCCGCATATCCTGATCGAGGAAAACGACGACAGCTGTTTTCTGCAGCCGTTTTTGATCTCCAAGCAGGCGGAGGTCCGGATCAGCAAGGGCAGCGAGTCGCAATTCAACTGGAGTAAGCCACAGATGAAGCAGCTGTACGAATGCTACTTGAAGGTGAAAAACAACAAGGAAGGGCTAAACTACGCAACCGGGAGTTCTTCCACTTTAGCCTGTGAATGGACAGCGATTGAAAACGAGAAGTACTACGGGTTAAAACATGCCCCGTACGCGGACGACAGTTACAAGAACTGCAAACTCGCCTGTTGCGAGTCCTTCAGTTGCGCGATCTTCCTCTTTCGGGAGCGAGACGGGTGTTGGCTGGGGCACCACGAAATTGTGGAGAAGGGGAAGTTATCAAATGTAAAAATGTCTGGGTCTGGAAACTTGTGATGCAAGTCCGTGAGCAATAAAGTGCTCTGTAATGCGCCGCCAAGCATGACAAGTTTTTTCGTGTTCCTGTGCTGCGTATTTCGGATGAGAAACTGCGCTTTTGCATGACAGGCAAGAGGACCTCTTGGTGGCCACGCAAGACAGAGTGCAGAGTCATGCTAGACTAGCATGACAAATCTCGCAATCTTCCGTTCCAGACATTTTTGCAGGTGATAGAAGTCCGTGTTTGAGCCGCAGTGGCGCGGCGGGATGAAGGCGAGGTTGACACGGAGCTTGCCGGTGATGTTAACGAGGAAGTTGAGGAATTTGAGTTTAGTGGGGAGAGAAGATGGCTCTGGCTCAGATTCATCTGCAGGATCGCGTGCTGAACAAGTGCCAGCCGCTTCTGGATCCACTTCGTTGAGAACCCAGAAGCAAGTAGATTCAATTCTCGATTTCTACATAGACGACATGAGGTTTAGAAACTATGCAAATATGTTGTTGAAACAGGATGAGCTTTCTTTAAATGACTTTCACAGGAGGATTTGGAACAGGTTCGAAATGCACATGCAGATGGAGAATGGTGGACTTGGGATGCAAGGACGGGCGCAAATGTACGAGAAAAAATACAATCTGCAATCAATCGCTTCAGTGAAAGAAGCAATGCGAGCTCGCTTGTGATAAATAATTCTACGTTTGGTTCGCGTGGGCTTGGTACAGCGACCGATAAGTTGCGCATTTCTCGTTGAGAAAAAAGAGAAGAGTGCTGGAAAGGAGTGCTAGGTGTGAGTGATGGCCAAATGGGTCGAGGCATCTTGTTGAGAGTGAGTGAAAATGGCGAGCGTTTCAAGCTTACTGATTATTGGGACTGCATGAGTGCCACTGGTAGAGATAGAGACGCGTGCTGCTTCCGGCACGCGCGGAACAGCGAGCACGGGCGGCCAGGAATTTCCTCCGCATATTAAGGGCGGCGCTACCGAAGGGCCTGCATCGGCCGCGGGGGCGCGCGGCGGATGTGCGCGGGCCCTGGGGAGTAATACTTTTGCGCCCGGAAATGTTTCGGGCACAGCGCGCACGTCAGAAAGCCACGGCACCAGGTTCCACCGCGGCCGCATTCGTCAACGTTCCCTGTGCGGCGAGCCTCGGGAAAACGGCAGGCCGGGCGTGCCGCGTGTGTCCCGCGGGCGGCGGCTGGGCCGCGTGTGTTTCCTTCTTTTTTCTGCGCGCTGTGCCTGCGCGCTTTGCTTCGAGCCTCCGGGCGTGCCGCCCTTTGTTCGGTATCCGCGACCGGCCCGCCCCGCTTGCCTGCGTCGCTCGGCCGCCCTGCCGCGCATCAAGTGCGCTGCGGCCAAATGTATGCCCCGCCCCCGCCGGGGTCTGCGGGCCTCTTTGTTGGTGGCCCCCCCCGCCTGTGACCGCGGGAAGAGCCCCTGGCGCTGCCGGTGAATCGGGGGCCGCCGCTTTTTCGGCCGGCCTGGCCCATCGTTTAGCTGTCGTTGAGACTTTTTGCGCGCCCGCAAACGAAGGCGCGTCTGATAGAAGACGCGAAAGTCGCAGCCATCGCGACTCGGGTACGTATTGCATTGCCCTGGTGTGTTCGTACAATAAAAGGCACTGAGCGAACTTGTCGCGCAGCGCGAGTTCTAGCGAGAGGCGGGCAAAGGAGAAGAGAGACTGCGTCAGCCTGTTGGCCTGAAAGAGAGCTCGGCGGCAGTGAGTCAGTGGAGTGTGGTTATTTCAAGTAGTTTTCCTTAATGCCGGCGGCTTGACAAACATAGACAAACCCCGCCGCGCGGGTGTAGTGTGGCACTTCGGCCGGTGCGCTGCGCGCCCTAAGCCTTTGACTGCGGGCGGCATGGCGCTCGCGCCGGCGCAGCGCATTGCCGGGCCCGAGACCGCGCGGCCCGTTTGTGGGATTTCTTTGCGCCGCGCCCCGCCGGCCATGTGAATGCTTTCGCGCGCGGCCATCCCTTGCCCCCAGCGGGCCGGCCGATCGGGCTGCGCACTTTGCCCGCTGCCAGGCAGCGCGGTGGAAGAAGGCGCCTGCGGACGGCGGGAAGGGCGGGGAGCTGATGGCGGGGCCCGTGGTTTTGCTTTTGTAGCGGAAGGATGGCGGGGCCGTGCGCCGAACGAGAGCGAGGCGGCCCCCTCCAGTGTGCGAGCAAGTAGCAGCATGGGCTCGAGCCGGCTGCTATTGCAGGACGCGCGTGGGGCCGGCTGCTACTGCGGAGCTCAACCCCAGAAGGCCCGCCAAACAGTGTTCCTGTCCCGTCCGATATTTACGCCCCCGCGTGCGAATTTAATGGAAACGTGGACGAAACAGCATTTGTAGCGAGGCAACAACGGTGGCGGGGGCGGCGGTGGGGATGGTGGGCCATACGGGGGCGGTTATGGTCCCGCGCCGCCTGCTTCCTTTTCCTGCATTCTCCTGGCGGCGCAGGCAGCTGGCGCCGGCGGCGGTGCCTCTGGTGGGGCGGCGCCTAAAGATGTAGCCGCGGCGGGGACGCCGGGGCGCCCGCGGTGTTGGGAATGCGGTCACCAAGCGCCCCCCCCGGGTGGCCCTTATATTGTTGGCCCGGCGTCGCGAAGCGTGTGCCGTGATGGACCTGCCTGGGCATTTTCCGCCGCGCTGATGCGGTTTTGCTCGGTCTCGTGATTATAGCAGCAGACCTGGTGGCAGCAGGCGCGGCCAACTTCGTCGCCGATGCGGTGCCGCGCGTACGTTGTTGCGTCGCTTCTTTGAATTGAAAGTTATCCGGCGGCGACTTGGCTTCGGCCTGGCGGAGCGCTCGAAAAAGGGCATTGCCTTCGTGTTCGGGATGGAGCGAAGCCACTGTCTGTGAGCTGGGGTGTTTCCTGTATGCAGGCCTCCGTATGCTTGAGCTCTATTCAGCATTCTCTTCGAGGACACAGTATTTAGCAAATGAAGATTATTAGCTTGTTTGATAAAGTCGATTGGTCCGCTTAAGCACTACTAGAACAGACTACAGCACTATCACAAACACACACAAAAATGTTCCAGCCCTTTATTCCCGCAACCGGCACCAGCAGTAGCAGCTCCAGCACTGCGTCTTTCCCGATCCCAGCTGCCCCTTCCACCTACAGCAGCGATGTGTTCGTCCTGTCTGCAACTACAGCCTTCTCCGCAGCTGCCCATGGAGGTTCGGCCCTGTATAGTAACGCAGACATAGCATCAAGCAGGGCCTACAGCACTGCGGAAATTGTACACGACCCCAAGAAGAGCCATACAACGAACCCTGTCGTTCGGGAAGTGCAAAAAAACAGCTTCCGGGAAATCATCGACGAGCAAAACCCAAATTTCCATTTCGAAGGGCAGCACCAGACTACCCTCCTCACCCCGGATGAGGAAAAACAACTTTTGGAGGAGGAAATCCAGGAGTTGGAACAGTCCCTCGAGTTCACGAAAAACGAAATTTCCCGACTGGAGCAAGGCATCGCGGATTTGAAACAGCAGCACGAAGCGCGGATGAAAAAACTGGTGCAGGAGCAAAGGCGACGGAAACAGAAGCGGCAGAAAAATCGTGAGGAGTTGAATTTGGATTTCGAGATAAACACCGAGTCGCTGTACAGGAACGATGAGAAGACTGCGTCGTATGGGACGTCGAGTACAAATGCGAATTCCGGTACTGGAAACATCGAATATCAAGTGTAAAAGTGTCTGGGTCTGGAAGGATGTAACTTGTGATGCTGCATTGATTTGGATTCCAAGAAAATCTGTATTGCACGAGCAGCAAAGGGAATGTAATTTTTGCGACGCAGAGAGGGCATTTGTTATGCGGAACAGGCATCAAGAAGCCCTCAAACAATCGGTGATGCTAGGGCATGCATCACTGACATCATGGCTCATGCAAAACGTGCATGACAGGTCTCAGAATCTTGCAGACCCAGACATATTTGCAGTTGATATCGAAAGTGAAACTGCGACAACGCCAACCGGCGGGGGAACCAGCACAGGAGAGGACACGGCTGAAGACGTACTTTTTTTCAGATTGTGATCTGGTAACCAAATGCGTGCGCGCGCGATATTGCTTAGCAAACGCAGCGCGAAGGCAGTTGCCGTTACCATATAGGGCAACCGCCGGGAGGCGTGAAGGTCAGGGAAATGGCCAGAAATGAAGCGGGAAAAGGGAAAAAAAGCGGACCAGATGGGAAAATGGCCAGGAGGAAAATGGCCATGTCGCAAAAATGGCAGAAACCAAGCGGGAGAAGGTAAAAAAAGAGCATTTTTGCGGCTTGGCCCACTTAGTATCTGAAAAAAAGACGGAGTATTTTTTGCTTCGCCCGCTGGGCAGCTGCGTTGGAGCAGCAGGTCCGCGACCTGTCCGGAAGCCTTGGGCCGCTTCGTAATTGGAAAAAGTTGGAAAAAAATGGCAAAAAGTTGCGTCATAACGTGGGTGGAAGCAATCGTCGGATTTTGTGCAGATCACGCGGGCCACTTAGAAAATGAAAAAAGATGAGAAATTGCGCAAAAGCGCAATCCCTCCGCAGGCTTCAAAACTGCCAGTCAGATGCGGGCGGTGAAAGTGTGCAGGTCGCCCGGGCCACTTAGTAAATGGAAAAAGAGAAAAAACTGCGCAAAAGCGCAATCCCTCCGCAGGCTTCAAAACTGCCAGCCAGATGCGGGCGGCGAAAATGTCCAGGTCGCCCGGGCCACTTGGAAACCAGAAAAAGATGAGAAATTGCGCAAAGGCGCAATACCTCCGCAGGCTTCAAAACTGCCAGCCAGATGCGGGCGGCGAAAATGTCCGAAGCCCTTCGGCCGCCTAAAAACCTGAAAAAAGAGCGAAAATTAAAAAAAATCGAGAACCCTCGGCAGGCTTACAAACTGGCCGCCAAGGGCGGTCCGGCGGGCGCGTGGTCGCGCCGTGCCATCGCGATTGGGAAAAAAAAGTCGGACTAGAAGCGGGCGGAGGCATGTCACAAAATCCCTACTCGCCCGGGGTTGGGAGCACAAATTCGGCACCTCCGCCGCGTCTGAAATGCCCGATTTTTGTGGCCCGGAAGGGTCCGCGGATTTTCGGCTTTCCGCAGATACCTTCCTGGCCAGGGGGCCAGTTTGTCATGCAGTGGCTAGAAAGGATGCCCCGCTGCCACATTGCTGGATTTCGCATTCAATGCGTCTCGCATTGAATAGAAATCCGGAAACCACCGATGACCCAGATGCCTTCCTGGCCAGGGGGCCAGTTTGTCATGCAGGGGGCTTGAAGAAGAAGGAGTGGGACTTTGCTTGAAAATAAATGGCGCCAAAGCGCGGCCCGCCTTTCGCCGCGCGGCTGGTTAGGCTTTCGCGCTGGTTAGATTTTCGCGCACGCATTTGGTTACCAATATCGCCCTCCGGGCGCGACCTTCATACAGATGACCACCCTCTGCGAAAAGGGCAGTGCAGTTTGTCATGCTATTGATCATTACAGAAGCTGAAATTCGTTCTCAATGTGTTAAAAACCACAGATCGCCGTCGCGGAAGAGCAGAACGGAAAACTGTTGGATTTGCGACGTGGTTGCGTGGACCTGTTGCAGGCGCTGTCATCAGGCATCAACATCGAGGAAGGTCCGGGGGGGATGCATGCGTTGCTGGAGAAGTATGAATGTTTGGTCGAGGAGATGCGGTGAGCAGGAGGTCAAAGACAAAGACTGTATGATGTATGAGCTAGCTGTGAACTGCTCCTCCGCGATAAAATGAACTAGAAGAAGACCGCAAGAGAAGATTCGTGCCTCCGTCTTTTGTCCGAGGCTGTAGTCTTTGTAGGATGGAAGAATGAAGATCAACAGAAAAATATAGCTCACGATAACAGTTGAAGGAGCCAAGGAAAAAGCACGGGGGTACAACGTGCCGACGGCTCATTGTGCCGGGTAGTTGTTCCTTTATTTTTCAACCGCACTACGAAGAGTTACAGTTACTCACCAAAAATCACGAGCGGAGAGCAGAGGTTCCTGCGTTCTTGGTTTATGATGCTTGTGTGTTTCGCTTTTCTACTTTTTCCTCCGGGACCGACGAGTAGAAACAGAATTTCAGACAAATGTGACGAACATTTTGTTGCTCATCGCAAGGGCTTTTACCAAGATGCCTTCCTCCCGTCGTAACAACAAGTCTTCCAAGCGGGACCAGCAGTCCTCTGACGATGAGGAGGAGGATGACTGTTGCTGTTTCGCCCAGAATTCTACGACGCAACTCTTCGTCACCGCCTTTGTGCTCTTCTTCCTTGCGGTGTGTGGGGGAATTGCGGCGGCGGCGCTCGGGTCCCAACGCTGCTGCGGGTCGGCATGGACGAATGAGGATCACGTGTCTTTAGCCTGTTCTGCGGTGTACCGGAGTTGCTATGACGTGACGCGAGCGGCTTTGGGCGTCGGGATGAGCGCCGTGTCCTTGATGCTGATCGGGTATGTAGATACTTACCACGTAGGAGTTTTTTTTTGCATCGAGTGCTGTATGTGCAAGACAAAGTTGATTTGTCATGCAGAAAGCCGAATTACATGTAAGTACAAACTCAGGTTCATCATGCTCGGAATCGCCTGCCACTGTCAACACCAGCGGCGCATGGACAAGAAGGCGCAGCGGCGGGAAGCGAACAAAAAGTATAGGCAGCGTACGTGTTTGTCATGCAGAGCCTGCATGAGCGTGTAAATTTGCAGAGAATTTGTCATGCTGACAATCGCAGCATAATACGGGAACAAAAAGATTTTCGCATCTTCCAACATACAGGTACGAATTCAAAACGGAGCAGAAACGCCTTCGGAAACAAGAAGCCGCTGCAGACCACCAGGAGATTGAAATGCGCGGCGCGGTCACCCCGCCCAGCAGATCCGCTCGAGGGTTATTGAACCCGGCCATACCGCTATCGCAAGAAAAAACTGTTTCACTTGTGATGCAGAAAATGGATCGCATAAGTGTGTGTCGTGCTACACATGCAAGACAGTGAGTTTCTAGCTGTACTTTCCCTTAGGAACCCCGCATGACAGATTTTCAGTGTCATGCGTATACAAACTTGTGATGCAGATTTTGCAAAATCACCACAGTGAAACAGTTTTTTCTTGGGATAACCGCCGCCAACTTACCAGCAACAACCGTACGTGCAACACGGAGGACCACCGCCAGCACCAATGTACACGCCGCGGGGAGTGAACCTACGTGGTCCACCACCACCACCTCCGCCGGAACACCAAACTTCCTATCAGTACTCCTCTCAGCAAGTCGGGTACAACCCGTCAGCAGAACACCAGCACCAGCATCACACAATCCCGGCGCCACAGTTAGTCGTCCAGCGATCCCCCCGGGGGGAACAAGTCGTGCACCAGATGCGATCGCCGAGGTATACTCCGGCGGAACATCACGGTTCCAGCTACCCGGTTGTGCAGGAGACTATCCGAAGTCAGCGGGTTGTGCCGGTTGGGCATCATCAGCCGCGGTCGGGCAGGAGTATGACTCCGCCAGTATCTTCGCGTGGAAGACACCAGGTGGTCTACGGGGCGCCATATTACAAGGAAAAATGCCCCCACCCTGAACTTGGCAGCATTTGTATTGCAAACCTTTCTAATGGAAACATTCCCCGTCTTGCATCTATCAGCATCACAAATTTGCCATGCTGAATAGCTCAAATTTGTGTTGCAAAGGAGCCCAACAGCAGCCGGATCTGTTATGCAAAAGATACCTTGCGCACCTAGAGCTAGATTCTGCATCAGAGAGGCTCGTAGTCCTTTCATGCAAGGCAAAAAGCGTTCATTTGGAAACTTTGCTTGAGAAACTTTCGCAGATTCCGGGATGGGGGCATTTTTCATTGTAATACGCCGCAGTTCGGAGGCGGGCCGCAGATTGTGCCGTCCGCGCCGGTATGGATTGTAAAAATGTCTGGGTCTGGAAGGGTTGGAACTTGTGATGCAAACTCTGGAACACACAAAAATTTGTGTTGCATGAGCGCCAAAAGCTGTCCATTTCTTGGCACACGAGTAGGAGGTTTCTCATGCGGGACAGGCATCATGAGGCGTGCTCAAAACCTGTGATGCTTTTGCCTGCATCAGACGCCATTTGCGTGATCCGAAATATGCATGACAAATCTCGCGATCTTCCAGACCCAGACATTTTTACATTTGATAGTCGGGGGCGGGATACCACTAGACTTTTATGAGCAAGAACACTTCTTCTGCTCTGAGGGAGTCCGAACAAAATCGCCTAACCCTGGTCTTCTTCCAAACAGCGCGAGTATGAAAATTACGTATAAAGGCAGTTCACCAGCAGTCCTTGTTTCACACAAAGAACGATCCGCCCTCCAACATACAAACGATTTTCAGCTGCAATAAGTACAACAACTTCTGAACAAGAACCACCATATGAGATGAAGATGGACGAAATTCTTTTGCAACAACTTGACTTTTTGCTAATCGCCGGCATTTGCTAGATTTCCCACGATCCTCCACCGAGTTCAAAGTTCTTTCTCATCGAGCGCCTGCGCGGTACTAGAGGTCTCGATCGATTTTGAAAAGATGAAGAATTAGTGGCAAAGAGCAAGCAGCTGTAGCAAACCAAAAAAGCTATAGAACAATCTTACGGCGAGGAACTACTCCGAGAAGATAGTACATGGTACTAGTTGTAACAAGCCATTTAGAACCTTTACAAGATCATCGCTTGATGAAGATATCAACCGAAGATTAGAGATCTATGCTAAAAAGACACACTCTCAATCGTAGTTGCGGTTTGTCACTGCAAGGGATATTAGTTTTGTCAAGAAGCAACTGTGGAAAAAAAGCGCCATCGTTGCTCTAGGATATCAAATGAATTTTTCTGAATGAGTATTTTTGTCTATAGGTGCTGTCAGCACCGATCTAGGACGAAAAGTGTTGATACAAGGCGGGTTGAAAAAATATTTTGGTGGAGAGAACTCCATCCTAGTTGCGGGAACGCGTTGCTAGATGCCTGCACCTGTTCGGCCAGATGAGATCGTCGCCAACTGTGTCAGATCTGCGCGCATAATTCTCCGTCGTCTTCAAGAGTTCAAACCGGCCACAAAGCTGAACGCTTTTCAAATTTGATTGCTGCCACTATCGCTTGCTTCACAAATCACAGTCTCTACCCTTAGTAGCTTTTATTTCTGTCGTGTGTAGCTTGGTTTAATCCCCGTTTTTATCTGGTGCCTCTGATTAGTCAATTCAAAACTACAACCGCTTGTCAAAAGTCTCTTGACTTTGTAGTGAGTTGGATTTTAACCACTCACTACAATTTTCTACCAAGAATCATGAGCATCCCTGTCTAGATATCCCACAGAAAAAGACCGACAGGTCATATTTGTAATGCAAAAATAAATACACAGGAAAGTCTGTCATGGGCGAGGCCATAACATCCTGTTTAGGGCATGCAATACAGATTTTTTTGTCTATTTATTTTTGCATTACAAATATGACCTGTCGGTCTTTTTCTGGGGGATACTAGAATCCCCCACGTCGACCAGTCGAACACAACTTGTTCGATATTAACACCTCCGACAAGAAATAACTATGGAGCAGCTCGTCGGGGATCTCGACCTGCGATTTGTCTTCGTCGGCGGCAAGGGCGGCGTCGGGAAAACAACCTCCTCCGCGTCTTTAGCGACCTGCTTTTCCCAGAGAAGTAGATATAACCGGGTTTTACTGATCAGTACCGATCCGGCACACAGCCTCGGGGATGCGTTCCAACGGGAGTTTCCGAAGGGACAGCCGACCGCGGTGTCACCGACATTGGATGTGTTGGAGGTAGATCCGGAAGCGACGCTGGAGGAGGAGGTAAGTATAGATTTTCATAGGTTTCTTGTACATTGGATGTTGCAGCTAAACCAGCATTATAAATTCGCTTTGCCATGCGCAACTCCGCATTCGAAATGTATTTACACATCATCATCTGTACTTATCACGAAGCTGCAAGAATGGACGAAGCTGATGGAAGAGGGCGGCATGGCGGATGCGGGTGCGTTATGCGTTGCAAGTATGTCTGGGTCTGGAAGATCGCAACTTGTCATGCTAAATCCGAATCATGCAAAAATCTGTGTTGCATGAGTCCCAAAAGCTGCTTACTTTCGACCGAGTTGGGAGGGAGTTTCTTATGCAGGATAGGCATGGCAGAGACCTCACAGAGTCTACTGTCACGCTAGGTCCCGCATTCCAGACCGTATGGGTCATGCCAGAAAAGCATGACAAACTTGCATTCTTCCAGACCCAGACATTTTTGCAGTTGATATGCGTCGATGGGGGAGTTCCAAGACTGGTTGAGACAAATACCGGGGATCGACGAGGCGACCGCGATATCAAACGTGATAAACTTCATCGAGGAAGACAAATACGACTTGGTGGTCTTTGACACTGCGCCAACCGGACACACGTTGAAGCTGCTGCAGCTACCGAAGGTATTTCTGATACGCATAATTTGTAATGCGAAAACACGTCGCAACGGGCTACTTGTGCGCTTGTCATGGAAAGCCGACAATTTTCTCATTTTGAAGCCGAGCCAAACACTAAAATTCAGATCCTCTCCCAAGGCATGGAAAAGCTCCAATCTTGGTCAACCACCCTCTGGACGTATATGTCAACCGTCGTCGGCACGTCTTCAAGTAACAACTCCAACCCCGTGGATGCGAAGCACGCGATGGAGACAAGACTGAAAGAGTACAAGCGGTCCATGGACAAAGTTTCCCTGATGCTCAAAGACCACTACCGGACGCAGTTCGTCATCGTCTGCATCGCGGAATATTTGTCCGTGATGGAGTCTAAACGCTTGATGTCGGAGCTGAAGAAAAACAGCATAAAATCCGGGTTTGTGATCTGCAACCAACTTCTCCCCGTGCTGGAAATAACCGATCAAGAGGAACAACAGCTTCTCCACCCAGCAACTCTCGGCAGCACGGCCAACTTCGCCGGGAATACAACTAACCATGATACTGATACGTCGGGGAACAAAGTGTCCGTTTTGGATACGAATACCAGCTGGAACGTCGACCACAGTGCGATAAATTCTAACTTCACCTTCGCAGGACCACCGAACGGAGGTTCGACTGGTTCCCCGCAATTGCTGCCGATGGATGTGGAGGGAAATAATAGCAATGCAGCTCAGCAGCAGCATCTTCCATTTGCAGCTGCATCCGTCGCGGCGCAACAGCAGCAGCATTTACTGCGAGGAGGACAACAGCAGCAGCAGCCCTTAGCGCCGCATAACAGTCCGCCCATGAACGGGCAACAGCAGCAGCACAACTACTTACAAAGCAGCTACACGGAGCTCGCAAGCGTAGAAATACCAGCGCTGTCATCTTACGCCCCCCCGCATGACGGGAGGACGACTACAATGACGTACCCCGCGAGTATGAGTTCCGATCGACCAGCGCATCCAATTTCCGGAACAATACCCGCTGCAGTCATGCCTTCTGCGGGGCAAAAGGCGCTGAAATTACTGCAATCGAGGAACCGAATTCAGATGAAGTACCTGGAGTTGCTGAAGCAAGTAGAAGGAGTGCAGCACGTGATAGAGATGGAGCTGCAGGAACGGGAGGTCACCGGGCTTGAGTCTTTGAAAAGATTCGCCTACGACATGCTGATGGGAGGGAGCAGGAATAGGAAGGGGAGAACTTCGTCTCTGTCCCAGCAAATGTGTTCGGCGCACAACAATCTACACTGCGACGAAAAGCAACAACATTCTGCGGTATACAACAATCCCTCCGCCACACCCGGACAAGTAAATCAGGCGTCACACAACGCGGCGAAAAAGCTGCACTGCTATTCGAGACTACGGGAGGAGCGGAGAATAGTTTACCCAGAACTGATGGAGCAGGATGACGAGGTGTTTCCGGTGGGATTGTCCGTGGAGATCTTCGGACTCGCCAAAACGCCGCAGTATAACGGCGTAATAGGAACCGTGAAGAGCTACGACGCACAGACGATGAGGTATAATTTGGTAGATTTGATGGTGGTATGCATTGCAAATATGTCTGGGTCTGGAAACTTGTGATGCAAGAAAGGGAATAGTGAGCACACTGTAATGCGCTCCCCAGCATGACAAGTTTTTCCGTGGTTCAGAGATGCGTGTCCCGCATGAGAAACTGCGTTTCTGCATGCCAAACAAGAGGATCTCTTCGCGGTCACGCAATACAGAGTTCAGAGTTATGCCAGACTAGCATGACAAGTCTCGCAATCTCCCAGACCCAGACATTTTTGCAATTCATAGGTGGGGTTCTTATCCTTTGTAATACGGAACCTTTTTCTTGCCGGTTTTGGTCTTGCTCTACGGAAAAAGACAGATGCAATTTCTAAGCGCGTTTAGGTGTCTGACACTGCCATGAATTGCACCTGGAGGGAAAAGTGCAACTTTGCGCTTTCGCAAACGGAACCAGGAGCAGACTCTTGCTCGTCAGGACCTTTTCCTGTCGGCTTTTTGCCCTCATCCGGGGTATAGGGCACAGGCAATGTTAGCTCGTGTTTAGGTGTCTGACACTGCCATGATTTGCACCTGGAGGGAAAAGTGCAACTTTGCGCTTTTGCAAAAGGAACCAGGAGCAGACTCTTGCCCAGCAGGATCTTATCTTGCCGACTTTTTGCCCTCAACTAGGGTATGGGGCACAGGCAATTTTAGCTCGTGTTTAGGTGTCTGACACTGCAATGATTTGTGCCCGGGGGAAATGGAGCTACATTTTGTGTTTGCACCAAGAAACAGGAGCGGGCGCTTGCTCAGCAGGATCTTGGCTTGCCGATTTTTTGCCCTCATCCGGGGTATGGGGCACAGGCAATTTTAGGTCGTGTTTAGTTGTCTGACACTACCATAATTTGTGCTCGGGAGAAATGGAGTAACTTTTCGTTTTCGCACCAAGAATCAGGAGCGGGCTCTTGCTTAGCAAGATCTCTTTTTGCCATCTTTTTGCTCTCAGCTAGGGTATAGGGCACAGGCAATTTTAGATCGTGTTTAGGTGTCTGACACTTCCATGATTTGTGCCCGGGGAAAAGCGGGGCACTTTTTGTTTGCGCACCAAGAAGTAGGGGCGGGATCTTGCTTTGCCGGATCTTTTTTGCCGGCTTTTTGCCCTCAACTAGGGTATGGAACACAGGCAATGTTAGGTCGTGTTTAGGTGTCTGACACTTCCATGATTTGTGTTCGGGGGAAAAGGGGGCACTTTTTGTTTGCGCGCCAAGAACCAAGGGCTGTCTCTTGCTTAGGTGGGTCTTTTCCCGCCGACTTTTTTCTATCAGCTAGGGCATAGGGCACAGGCAATTTTAGGTCGTCTTTAGGTGTCTGACACTGCCACGATTTGTGCCCGGGGGAAAAGCAGCTACTTTTTGTTTTCGTACCAAGAAACAGGAGCGGGCGCTTGGTCAACAGGATCTTTTCTTGCCGGCTTTTTTCCCCCCACTGGGCAGACGGCACAGGCTATTTTAGGCCGTGTTTAGATGTCTGACACTATCGCAATATGTGCCCGGGGAAAAAGCGAGCCACTTTTTGTTTTCGCAGCAAGAACCAGGGGCGGGCTCTTCATTAGTAGGATCTTTTCTTGCCGGCTTTTTGCGCTCGGGTTGGATACAGGGCACTTCGCGTTTTAGGTCGTGTTTAGGTGTCTGACACGGACATGTTATGATCCGCACTCGGCGAGAAACAAAATTGTTATAAAATCCTAAAATCTGAACCAACGACAACTAAATCTTCAGGTACGGCGTCTTTGTCGAGCACCTTCCGACGCAGCTGAACGTGAAAAAGCTGCTCGCCCTGAAACCCAGTAACCTCCGCCACGCGGCAAATTCTAAATTTTTCGGCAACTCCGCACTCGATCCTGAGGTTGACACGTGGATGCAGAATCCGAAAATTTGGAACGCGTTCATGGAGTGTAAAAAGGACCCGCTGCGGATCAAGTACTATTTAGAAAACGACCCGGAGCTCAGCGGCATTTTGAGTAGCATGGCGCGGAAGATTTCCGTCCACCAAAAGGCCTGCGCGCCGGTGGCTGGTTGAAGAAGGTGGTCGCTTGTGGCGGTTTAGGAGGATGGAGTTTTCATTTATTCAGGACCGCTTATTACCTAGTAATAGCACGCGTACTTTTCTAAAAGTCAATTGTTATTTTTCTACGCGCAAATTGTTGTAGACTTTCTTTCCCAATCTTTTTGTCAATTTAAAACAACACGCCATGATCCATTGAATACGCATGTGTTGTTGCGTCGCGACTTTTCAAATCCAATTTTCTAATCTTTTTGCAAATGCAGAGATGTTGTGAGCATATTTGATACAATGCGGGGCACCGGATAACGGTGCCGCTTTCCAAGAAAAGAGGTGTAAAAAGAAAGAAAGATCTGAAAAAGCAAAAAGCTGCTCAGTATTATCAACGAGCAGAAGAAATTTAAATTCTTCTCTGAGTATGTAGTACTTGTTTCGTTCTGGCGTCCTTTACATTTTAGGAGATCCACCTTGTTTTGCTTTCGCGTTCCAGAATATCTTCTTGCTTTCGGTTAAGTATGGGGACGATCAGCTTTATGTGTTTTAGATCCAGAGATCAGGGGAGGTGTAGCCTTCTTTTGGCAAACATATCTAAAACTCCGTTCCTTCTTTCTAGAGGGCACCAGAGGGACAAGGCACAGACCAAGAGCGAGATTCCGTTAAGGACAAGCGATTTAAATCGGTTGAAAGACCACAAAAAAAAATGCGTGTCACCCCCATCTCGGCCTCCGTGCTGTTGCTGCCGGCCCTCACTGAGGCCACAAAGCTGTCGCTTTTCAAGAGACTAAAGAACGAGCCAGAGCTATCCTATATAAAAACGTCCCCGCCCCATAGTCAAGATGATCAACCGGCTAGACAAATCCACGAGTTTTGGTTGTTTCGCATGACAAATTTCGACTCGTGGTGTAGTGCTGTCTGAGCTAGTTCAGCAGCATCACAGATCTAGTATGTCACGCTGATTGGAGCATGACAAATCCCAAAACACGACTAGAAAATGCATCGCATGGGGCTCCGCATGAGAAACATTCTCAGCATGCAGATTTGCATTACAGCTATGGCGTGGGGACGTTTTTCAATACGATAGGAGCCGTGGGCCTGCTACATGAGCGGTGCGAAGAAGGCCTACATGGGTACGGTGCAGTATCGCAAGAGAAAACTGCTTCACTGTGAAATTGTGATGCATAAAATTCAGCACAAAGCTATTTGTCTTGCTACACTTCTGTAAGATGTCGCATTTTTGAGAGCGCTTTCTTTCATCCCTTGGGAAGCGCGCATGGCAAATTTTCTGTGTCATGTTTTATCCCAATACTTGTGATGCAATTCTTGCAAAATCGTCACAGTAAAAAAGTTTTTTAGTGGGATATGCAGGTCGCAACGAGTGGTCAGAAGTGCATGCAGTGGTCGGATGCGGCGAACGATGACAAGATCGCGACATTTAAGCAGGACGTAAGTTTAGTTGATTTAGATAATTTTCGGAAATTCATTTTGCTGTACATCACTGATTTAAAATTGAAGTTGAGTCTCTCGGATTTGGATATTAGATGCGTATAGCACCGTCGTTGCAGATCATCCAATAGTGGTGTTTGTTGCTTGTACCATGTTGAGAGACGCAAATTTCACCACACTGAAAAAACTAAAAAACAGACCCGCGATGAGCCGGCCGGCACCAAGCTGGAGGGTAACTTCTGCCGCAGCTTTTCTAAAGACGAGCTCCCCTGGTGCTACACCCTGCCGTACCCAGTGCACAGAGTACATCTGGGTCGTGTGGAAATTTGTGTTGCTGATGCTCGTATTGGAGGATAGGGGTTTGTACGGCATAACAGCACTAGAAATTATTTTGCGAGGCTCATGACTGCCGATTCATTCGTAACACGCATGACAAAGACATACTCCCTTGTAGCATGACAAAAATCTGCCTGATCGTTGTCATGCATTACAGATCTTGCTGTATAATTTCAGACCTTGCAGCACAGACCCAGACATATTTGCAATGCATATGCCGGACGGCAAGAAGGTCGAGTGCAACGTGCCGGAGTGCCCAACCGATGGTCCGATATGGAGATGGAAAGCTTTTCTGCATGACAAAAGGAGTCTGTATTGCATGACAATCTAAATCGTACATAGTTATGAAGATGGTGACAGTTGTGATGCTGTATATTTATAATTGCATGGCTTACTCTTACTGCATGTGAAATTTGTCATGCTCAAAAGTTTTCCATTCCAAACTTTTGGGCCAAGGACTACAACACCGACGAGGTCCAGTCCCCCATCAAGTGCACGGACAAAGATGGCGCCCCCACCAAGGACTGCGACTGCTCCTGCAACGGCGTCAAGGGCATGAAGAACTCTTTCGTCCAGACCAAGAACGGGCGAGAGGAACGAATCTGCCACTGCCCGTAAGGAAAATGACGGAGGAACTAAATCTGTAACACGCGTTTCTAAAGAAGCCAGCGTACTACAACTCAGCGTAAGCTTGTCGTAGAGCTGCAACCCGCTTCCCAGATTTAGAATTCAAGTTTTACAGCACCATTCGTAGAATTCAATGTTTCTTGTGCTTCTAAATCTAAACCAGTGCTGTACTATTGACACTCAGGATAAAAGATACACTCTTTTTCTTTTCCGAACTTGAGAGGGTTGAATTCTACCGAGGAATTTCTGCTTCGGAACAGACGGCCACGGCTGTAGAACAAGTGTACACAAATGTAAAGAGGTACACACTTTGAGCTGTTCCAAAGCGAGGTGATTGGGATGATTGTTGAGGTTGTGGGGCGCAAGGTAGTGATCCTAAGATCTGTGGTGATGGTTGAGGTTACGACGATCTTTGGACGATCGATGAAGTTGTGACGATCTTGTGGTTTGGATGATCAATGAGGTTGTGACGATCTTTAGCCCCACTGTAGAAGTTGACGACAGGAAAAGATCTTCATCTGAGATCATGTACTTAGGTATCATGAGGCGATCATCAACAGGCCAAATTACGTGGCCAGGTCTAACCATACGAGTGTTTTGTTGTCCACTTACAAGTTCAGTTGCACTTCCACACGGTTGAGAAAGATCTACCGAAAGCAAGACGGGCACAAGCTTGAAGTGAGCTGTTGCGGAGCCAAGTCTCACACTACACTACTGAGCTTTAGGCAGGTACAGACTCAGCTAGCAGCCACACACAATTCTTCCGCTGTGGCTTACGTGGACGGAGCACGCTGGTCCTATACAGCTAGTAAGAGCAGCTTCTACAGGGACGAAAGAGCACAGGAGTAGGCCGCAGGACAATCTAAAAGACTTAGAGAGTCGAGCAGATTACAGTAATCATCTCGACGTGGCGGGTATCGTGCCTGTACAAACCAGTCGAATTACGCAAGCGCCACACTGGGTGACTGTAGCCATTGTTGCTCGATAGCAAGAAAGTCCGCTTCTCGGTTTTGCGCTAGTTTTACGAGACTACCTGAGTGATTATCAGATACGAAGGGAAGTTGTACGTAGTGCCTGAGCGCAGGTGATATACATATCTTCGTATCACAAATCGATAATCACGTGCGCGCCTCCCTCCCGGAGCCTCCTTGTTCTCGCAGCAGCACAAGGCCAGACTTCTACGAGATGCGGGCCCTCTTGAAGAAGCTCCTGCTGCCGGTCATCCTTGCGATGCTCCACGAGCAGGTGCCAGGCGTGTGTGCGACTACACCGATCACGTTTATCGCTAGCGGCATTCTTTTTGGTTTGCCACCTGAAAGGAGGGAACAGACCTTCGATTACGAAACTGCCACCATGAGGGAGGTTCACCTCTGGATCACGGGGGAAATCGAGCAGCAATGCAACCTATGCATGGCAAATATGTCTGGGCTTGGAACAAGGATGCAACTTGTGACGGTCGTGGTCCTCCCTTTAGACTCTACATAAAATATGTTTTGCATGAAGAGCAAGACGAGAGATCCAGCGTTCGCGACGTGGAGAGGGAATTGCTCATGCGGTACGAGCATCAGAGTGCCCGCATGGAATCTGTCATGCTAGGGCATGTATGACAGATAAGACATCATAGGCCGTGGGAAATTTGCATGGCAAGTCTCGCAAGTATTCAGACCCAGACATATTTGTATTTGGTACGCCTGGGTCCTGCGCCGCTGCAACAAGGTATTTTTGCGGGTGACAATCCGCGGACTGCCGTTCTTGTTCGATCCATACACTAGTGGAGCTAACGCCGAATCTCTTGGCCCCAGGAACAGAATAACCGACCTGAGTCTGACCATAAAGCAGCACATGGAGAGGGACATGCGTCTAGAACCGGTCGTCAAGAATTTCAACAGGGGAAGGAATCTTCCTCCTCTCATCGTGTATTGATTTATTTTTCATTTCAGTAAGTAAGCATAGTAGATATAGTCGACTTTTTGCTTTTGCCATCGCGCATGATATGCTTGTCATAGAAACAACATTCATACTTACATACTCTACAGCAACCTTGAGGAGCCCCACGGCGGAAGCTTGATGTGAACTTATTGGAAATAGCGAAACACGATGGCCCGGGTGCGTTTTATTTGAGCGAGAACTTTTACAGATGAAGATCACATCGCTCGCATTGCCACAACGAAGTGCTGTTCACCGATTGAACGCACTTAATTCTACAGAATGATCATCGACCAAGATGTTGACGCAAGAGAAAAGATGTTTTTTTTCTGCGAGCCCTGCAACACAAATTTTTGCGTTCTTTGTGAACAGTTTAGCAGAATAGGAAATACTAAATGCAAATAGGTGCTATCAGCAGTCGAGTGTTCATCCTGTATCATAGATCTGTATCGTAGATCATTCCGGTTTCCTCGTCAGTCGTGTGGTCGTTCGATCGTTCTCTTAACAAGTCGGTTGTGCTTCGAATGTTGATCGTCAAATCGTATTCGCGTTTTCGTTCTTCGGAGTTATGAGTGTCTGCAACTACTCGAGGGTCGTTCGCAAATTGATACTTCGGAGGAACGAGAGTTGTACTTGTCACCCTAATAAAGGCTTCGCTGTTTGAAGAATCTCGCTCTTCTGCTCGCGTGATGACATCTGCAGATGTGCAATAAATGAAGGCTCGATATTAGTTCACATGCGTAGAAGGAGCACGCAGTGGAAAGTTTTGGAAGGTTCTATGGTAACGCAACTGCCGTGAGGGGAAAAAATCGAGAGAAGCAAAGATCTAAACATGAGGATTCTAGATCAGCATTTGCAAGACCAGCTTTGGTCCTCCTACCAACGCTCCACCTCGTCATCTTCCTCGTCCTCGCGCCCATCTCGCATGACAAACGGCCACGCCGGGCCGAAAACCTCCTTCACCGACCAGCAGGACTTCGGTACTGCCCAACCCGCCGGTTTCTCCGAAATCAACGAACAGGCGCAACTCGATTTCTGGAATGGGGACGCCAAGCAATTTGAAAAAGACGGGCTGCGTGCACAACTGTACGAGAACAACAATGGGACGACTGGCTCAACGAAGAAAAAGGGGATATTTGACAACATCACGGGCAATTTCAACGAGTCAAAATCTACTACAACTGGCGATAATTACACAACCAACAACCAAAAGATGAAGGATTACTTCGCCGGGTCGAAATCCAACGGTTTTTTCTCTTCCGGGAAAGCAGGGGCTTATAAGCCGAATATCAAATGCAAAAATGTCTGGGTCTGGAAGAATGCAACTTGTGATGCTGAGTTTGGATTTCCAAAAAATCTGTATTGCATGAGCAGCAATAAAGAGAGCGTAATGCTTGCTACGCGGAGAGGGCCTTTGTCATGCGGAATAGGCATCAAGAAGCCCTCAAGAAATCTGTGACGCTAGAGGGTATGCATCACAGACATCATGGCTCATGCAAAATGTGCATGACAAGTCTCAGAATCTTCAACAGCCAGACCTTTTTGCACTTGATACGGAAAATCCAGGAACAAACGGGTCCGGATGTACTGGTAAAGGGAACGGAGATAGGAACGAGAACAGAAGGGGGGTTGCAGTTCACGTACAAAAACAACGACGCCTTGATGGATTTTCTCACTTCCTCCCCCGCGGATTTGGCAACAGATTCTGTGAAAGATCTTCAGAAATTCTTTCTCGATTTCGAAAACCAAGTGAACCAGAACATGAACCGGGACAAAATTTACCGGAATAAAATCGACATCGGGAAGATGGTGGGCGGCACTCTGATGGACCAAACCTCCGGGTTGACCCACAAAAACCCTCGGCAGGCGATGATGAAGATGGTGACGGATCTAGGGCCGGACGTGATTAAGAAAACGAAGACAACGATGCGGTTTTACAAGGACTTCGGGTTTATCAACTGCAAAAATGTCTGGGTCTGGAAGGTCACAACTTGTGATGCTGTCTGCGGATTCTAAAAAAATTTGTAGTGCATGACCAGCAATAGGGGTCGGGTTTGTCCTAAGGGGAGAGGGCATTTCTGATGCGGTAGAGGTATCGCAAAGCCTTCTAAGTTTCTGTGTTGCTACGGCATGTATCTCGGACATCGTGGCTCATGGAAAATATGCATGACAAATCTAGAAATCTTCCAGACCCAGACATTTTTGCAGTTGATAGGGTTGTACGCGGTGCAAAAAGTGGGAGAGGTCATCAACATGATGTCGCCGGTCACGGTCACCACCGAACCAGCGCCGAACGACGACCAAGTCGCGGAGACGGACGTAATGGGGGAAAAAGCGCTGGATGAGGAGGAGCTGAACGGGGTGAAGGTCCCGCCGGCGCCGGACGAAGTGCAGGCTTTGGATTATTACAAGGAAAAATCTTCCCTTTCCAATATACTGAAACGGAAATTTGTGTAGCATGATTTGTGAGCACAACTCGCGTTGTCATGCTAGAAGGGAAGAGATGCAAGATTGTAGTTCTGGCTGACGTAGTAAAGCCTTGCGTCTTCAGCATAACAGGAAGCAACTGGAATTGGGAACAGCATGACAAATTGCCTGCAAACGAGGGAGCAACTGCGTCCATTGGTCTTTTAGCAATACAAATCGACTTGTTTACTCAAATACAGCAGCAGAAATGTCGTTTTCGGTATGGGGGGGGGATCTTTCCTCACAATATGGATGAGAACGGCAAGCCCTACACGATGAAGATCCCGAGTCCGCTAGACAACGACAGTCAAGTGAAGGTGGAGTTGAAGGGCGGCTTCAAAGACATCGCAGACGCTCTTTCTGGTCCGATGAAGAGAATCAAAGAAGAGTTGTATCCTGTGTAAAAACGTTTCCACGCCAGAGTTGCAATGCAAATCTGCACACCAAAAAAGTTTCTCATGTGGATCCCCATGAGATGAAGTATTTTCGATTCGTGTTGTGGAATTTGTGATGCTAGAATCAGCTCGATGTGCTAGATCTGTGTTGCTGCTGAACTAGCTAAACAGGATCGCAATTATCTGAGGGCAAAATTGTCATGCGAAACAACCAAGGCTGGTGGATTTTTCTAGCAGACTTCCCATCTTTACTATTAATTGGGTGGGGACGTTTTTACACAGGATAAGTTGCGATCCATGAAAGAAACCGCGGCGGACGGGTTGAAATACCTGTTAGGAGCTATCAAAAAGAAACATCCCCCCTCCCCATATCGAAAACGAAACTTGTGATTTGCTGTATTTGAGTACACAAATCGACTTGTATTGCTAGAAGGCCATCAAGAGACGCAGTAGCGGCCTTGATTGCAGGCGATCTGTCATGCTGTTTACCACTTCCAGCTGCCTCCTGTCATGCTGAAGATGCAAGGCCTTCCTGCGCCACCCAGCACTACAGTCCGCCTCTTTTGACTTCTAGCATGACAAAGGTGATTTGTGGCCACAAATCCGCATCACAGATATTTCCGTTTTCATATTATGGGGAGAAGGGGTTTTCTTTTTGATAGGAGCGGCGAAAGGGTGGATGATCCAGCCGGGCGCGCTGGCGGCCTGGCCCGCGTACTTCATGCTGTCTGCCTATCGGGCGTATGCGAAGCCGCGGACCCGGATGGCGGCCAGTTGGAAGTTATCAAATGCAAATATATCTGGGTCTGGAAGGGTGCAAGGTTTGTCATGCGCATTTTGCATGACTCCTGACGTCTGTGATGCATGCCCTAGCATCACAGATTTTGTGAGCGCTTCCTGATGTCTATACCGCATGAGAAATACCCTCTCGCTGTGGCAAAAACTGGGCCTCTTTATCTGTTCACGCAATACAGATTTTTGTAGTATCACCAGTCGTTTTGTATGTCGAGTCATTCAAGAGGTGCCACGCGAACAAATAGGCATGAATTTAGCATCTCCGGCTGGTAGAGCAATCGGCTACCGAGGTACGTCAGGGGGCGTAGCTACATCAATCAATCAATCCAAATGCAGCATCACAATTTGCATTCTTCCAGACCCAGACATATTTGCAATGCATAGAAGTTGGGTGCGAAGATCATGGTGGATTTCATGACGCCGTCCATCCGGCAAACGGATTTGTTTGACATCAAAAAGTGGAACTGCAAAAAGTTTGGGGCGATGGGGAAGGTGGAGAAAGCGGGGAATCAACTCGAAAATCTGGCGAGGAGCGCGGTACTTAAGGGTTGGGTTGATTTGTGATCATTTGGTTTACAGCAAGGATAACGAAGCATTGTTCTGAATCTGAAGTTGTCAGTGCTCTTCACGACACCGAATAAATCTGAATTGCTTTTCACATCATTGGAGATTTTGAGGAATTAGAAATAGCATGTGCACTGTGGCTCGAGGTCCCACCTTAGTTCTAGTTCTTTTTGGTCTTATGTGCTGAACAGGGGAGAGTCTGCAAGTGCAGCTTGGCTTGCATCTGCTTTTTTCTGCGGGCAAATTTTGGACGAAAACGAGAGTCCCCCCGGCCCGCAGCCACAAAACGGGAAAAAATACCTGTAAAGGCGAAGAGGTCCTCACTACTCAAATTCCGACTCCCGCCGTGGCAGCAAAAGCAGCCTTCTGTGGTTGCTTCTTTTTGCTGCTGTTTTATCCACTACACGAAAATGGCCATAGCGTGGGCCCGCGGCTCTCTTTTGGGTTTTTGGGACGTTCTAGCTCTTTTGGGTCTTGAGTGCTGAACAGGAGCGGAGTCTGCAAGTGCAGCTTGGCTTGCGTCTGCTTTTTTCTGAAAGCAAATTTTGGACGAAGACGAGAGTTCCCGCGGCCCGCGGCCACAAAATGGGAAGAAATGTCCGTAAAGGCAGTTTCGCCACTACCCAATAAACTCCGACTCCCGCCCTGGCAGCAAAAGTAGCCTTCTGTGGTTGCTTCTTCTGCTGCTGTTTTATCCACTACACGAAAATGATCATAGCGTGGGCCCGCGGCTCTGTTTCGGGTTTTTGGGACGTTCTAGTTCTTTTGGGTCTTGAGCGCTGAACAGGAGCGGAGTCTGCAAGTGCAGCTTGGCTTGCGTCTGCTTTTTTCTGGACGCGAATTTCGGACGAAAACGAGACTCCGCTCGGCCCGCAGCCACAAAACGGGAAAAAAATGCCGTAAAGGCGGTTTTGCCACTACTCAAATTCCGACTCCCGCCCTGGCAGCAAAAGAAGCCTTTCGCGGTTGCTTCTTTTTGCTGCTGCTTTATCCACTACAAAAAAATGAGCGTAGCGTGGGCCCGCGGCTCTGTTTCGGGTTTTTTGGACGTTCTAGTTCTTTTGGGTCTTGAGTGCTGAACAGGAGCGGAATCTTCAAGTGCAGCTTGGCTTGCATCTGCTTTTTTCTGGACGCGAATTTTGGACGAAAACGAGACTCCGCTCGGCCCGCAGCCACAAAACGGGAAAAAAATCCGTAAAGGCGGTTTTGCCACTACTCAAATTCCGACTCCCGCCCTGGCAGCAAAAGAAGCCTTCTGTGGTTGCTTCTTTCTGCTGCTGTTTTATCCACTACACGAAAATGAGCATAGCGTGGGCCCGCGGCTCTGTTTCGGGTTTTTGGGACGTTCTAGTTCTTTTGGGTCTTGGGTGCTGAACAGGAACGGAGTCTTCAAGTGCAGCTTGGCTTGCGTCTGCTTTTTTCTGGACGCGAATTTTGGACGAAAACGAGACTCCGCTCGGCCCGCAGCCACAAAACGGGAAAAAAATTCCCCAAAGGCGGTTTTGCCACTACTCAAATTCCGACTCCCGCCCTGGCAGCAAAAGAAGCGTTCTGCGGTTGCTTCTTTTTGCTGCTGTTTTACCCCGGGCCACCCCTGGGCCACCCCTTGGGACGGCTTTGGCCTGTCGTACGACAAATCGGGTTCGTCGTACGACAGAACCTGTCTTGGTTTTTTTCGAACCCCACGAGACCAGAATCGAGTCGTGGCTGCAGCTTTTTGTTGTTGAGGACGTGTTTTGCGTCTGCAAAATTCGTCATCAACAACAAAAAATAATCTGTCTTGCCATTTCTGGCAGATTGGCATGACAAATTTCTTTCCCCGAGCTGTTGCTGCCTGTCTCTTGACGGGTTCGGCTTGTCGTACGACAAATCGGATTTGTCGTACGACAGAACCTGTCTTGTCGTACGACAAGTCTTCTGCCCTACCCGGCAGGCCAGAAACAGCTCCGGAATGCAGCTTTTTGTTGTTGAGGACGTGCTTTGCGTCTGCAAAATTCGTCATCAACAACAAAAAGTAATCTGTCTTGTCATTTCTGGCAGATTGGCATGACAAATTTCTTTCCCCGAGCTGTTGCTGCCTGTCTCTTGACGGCTTCGGCTTGTCGTACGACAAATCGGATTTGTCGCACGACAAGTCTTCTGCCCTACCCGGCAGGCCAGAAACAGCTCCGGAATGCAGCTTTTTGTTGTTGAGGACGTGTTTTGCGTCTGCAAAATTGCGCGTGCCTGGACGCGCAAAAATCTGGTGCCACCCCGGTGCCACCCCGGTGCGGGGAAGGGTGTCATGTCCGTGTGTTGGGAACTGATACTCTGGCCGCCCCCCCCCTCAGCCCCCCCCAAGTGGCGCATTGCTTGCGCGCGCTCAATGATGGGGCGGCAGAATGTGTTTGCTAAACGCTGTATCAGCAAAAGGAGGGCAGCGACTCTGCGCGCTTTTTGCAGCGGTCAGACTTCGTTCGGAATCAGCGCTAGATTGATACTCATTTCAAAAACTGCTCTCATCAACAACAGCTCGGCCAGTCTATCTCGGCGGAGAAGGGCACGATGACACCGAAGGGCATCTTAGCCTTTCACCCCTCCATCACTTTTCGCAACCCGCAAAACCTCGTCCACGTGCACCTACAAGAGTCCAACGCTTTTTATGCACAAAGCAAAGTATCGTACTGGAACCACGACTTCAAATTATCGCATGACAAAGTCCCGCAGCATGAAAAACGAAATTTGCAATGCTGATTTGACAGCTCAGGACAGAGATAATTTTTTGCCACGCGTGAAGATTTCCATCAGTGGTAGTGCGATTCTGTTTTTGCATTGTCCATACCCTAGATCCAGCAACCAACAACCCGGATCCGTGCAAGATCTACTGGGACGCGCTGTACGACTTGAAGGGGGAAAAAGTGCTGAAATCCGACCAAGTTGCGATCGGCGGCGAGTGGCCCTGGTTTTTTCACGTCTGCAAGGAGAAACTGGCCACTCCAAAAAGGTTCACGCAGCTAGTAACTTACCTCAACCCGTCCGAGCAGGAAAACCTATCGGTCGGATTGGACGAACAAGGTTATTTGAACAACAACCGGAATCCGATGCAGCATATGAAATGCAAAAGTGTCTGGGTCTGGAAGAATGCAAGATTTGTGATGCAGGTTTTCCATGACGATGACCCATGAGGTCTGGAATGCGAGACCCAGCATGACAGGTTCTTGGAGGTCTCTATCATGCCTTTCCTGCATGAGAAACTCCCTCTCAACTTGGTCAAAAGCGGACAGCTTTATTTGGTACTCACGCAACACAGATTTTTGCATCATTCAGATTTAGCATGACAAGTTCTAATCTTCCAGACCCAGACACTTTTGCATTTGATACAGCAGAAGCTGCAGGACGTGGTTTGCGACGGCCAGCAGTGCTTCATCGACGGCGATTTGCATCCGATACGGGATATGCATTGCAGAGATGTCTGGGTCTGGATGAATGGAAGGTTTGTCATGCAGGTGTTACATGACCCATGGGGTCTGGAATGCAGCACCTAGCATGGCAAATTCTGTGAGATCTTTATCATGCCTATCGCTATCCTGCATGAGAAACCCCCTCTCAACTTGGTAAAAAAGGACGGCTGTTGGTAATCATGCAACACAGATTTTTTTGCATGATTCAGACTTAGCATGACAAGTTGCCATCTTCCAGACCCAGACATATTTGCACCCGATACGGGAGGAACCGGTGGCGGATTTGAAGTGCCCCGGGGCGGAGGATCCCGGGCCCCACGCGTTAGCCGCGGCGGAGAAGTTATCAAATGCAAAAATGTCTGGGTCTGGAAGAATGCAAGATTTGTCATGCTCGGCTAGCATGACTCTTAACCTCAAGTCTGTCATGCACGTACCCAAGAGCCTCGCTTTTCTGTCATGCGGAAACGCAGTTTGTCATGCAGAATAGAATACACCGATCACCTCAGAAACTTGTCATGCTGGAACGGCAATTGCGGTATCCTAATCATCCGGCAAACAGCATCACAAGTTTCCAGACCCAGACATATTTGCAATGCATAGAAGTGCTACTTTAACAACCCGAAGTACGCCTGCAAGGAGGGAAAACAGTTCAAACGGTTCTACGTTGACCTGAAAAACCTGGACGCGGGAGACCGGGCGGAGGCGCACGATTTGGAGGATCTGGAGGCAAAAAAGGAGGAGAAACAGGACTCCGAATTAGGCGGGGATTCGCAGGCGGCGGAGTTGATGACGGTCAGGAGCTACGATGCGGGGGAGTGCAAGTTGAAGTCGGTGATTTACGACGAGGAAAACGTCTACTACATATGACAGTGCACAACTCCCCCTCCCCCTCATTTGTCATGCAAAACTCCGAATCCAGTCGCTACCTCATGGGACTGCTTGCATGACAACTTCCGGAAGCCGAAACAGCACTACATTGGGCATACAAATTTGTCATGCATTGGCTCCGCGTGTGGTTGTGTGTGTATTGCTATTCATGCAATACAAATGAGGAGGAGGTGCTGGGGTTGTGCACTCTCATACTACGGGTGGTGCAACAAGAAGTCGTTGGAGAAGAAGGCGAAAACGTTCACGTTATGCATTGCAAATGTGTGTAGTCTGGTACGGGACTTGTCATGCTAGTCTGGCATGACTCTGAACTCTGCCTTGCGTGGCCACGAAATAAAGGCTCACGTGTCTGTCATGCAAAAGCATAGCTTCTGACTCTGTTTCTGATGCGAAACAGACTAACACAAAGCCATACCAAAAATCTGTCATGCTTGACGGCGCATTGCAGTGTGCTTCTTTGTTGCTTGTTATGTAATGCGTCACAACTTTCTGGGCCCAGACATATTTGCATTGCATACACGTTGCGCATCACCAACGGCGCGGAGGAGAACCTGATCGGGTCGGCGCAGGCGACGCTGTACGACCGGGGAACGTTAGGAAATTCGTTTCAATTCGCGTTGAATGAAAGCGCGGGGAGGACAAAGTTTTTGTAGAAGGATGCGGTGCAAGCAGGAGGAATAAAATCATGTTTGAAGCGTTTTTTGTAAGATTGATGATGAGTAGTTGCAAGTGCAGTCAAAAAGAAAAACTGATTTTTTTCGGATACTACTTGCGTTTGTAGACAGAGTGCTTGTTTCCGTAGCTGAACAAACTTTGGGAGAAAAGACCTAGCAGTTCTTTTTCACGTACAGCTGCAGCTGTGGAAATCTAAAATGCAGCGAGCCTTACCGTTTAATGGCCGCTTGTTGTTATTCGCTTTCGCCGTGCGGAGTTTTCTCTGATGCGAATGGCGAGCTGTCGTGTGTTCTCACTTTGAGGGCGTGCAGAATGCTAGAACTAGCGAGCGAAAAGTGCGGGGCCGCAATTCTGTTCATAATCCACCGCCCCCACCAAGGCGAGGCGCGCCGCTGCGGGCCAGCGCATGCAGAACGGGTGGGCAGCTTGCTCCGCTTGTATCTCCTCCGGCAGAATAAAGGCCGGGGGGGCGGCGGTGGTTCCTGAGTGGGCGCGCTGGGGCGCAGGTCTGCGCCTGCCTGGCGTTGTTCACTCGCCGGCGGCGGCCGGGGACGGACCCCAAAACGAGCAAGAAGGCGGCGGGGAAAGCGGCGCGGATGTCGCCCGGCCGAAAGGAGGGCGCCCCCCCCGCTGGGCCCCAAAAAGTGGGAGGGGGCTTTGGGGGGTGTTGCGGTTTTGGAGGGACGCCAGGTCGCCCGGCAGCTCGCTCGCCCGCTGGCCCGGGCCGGCGACGCAGGGAAGCGGGCCGCGCGGCCCCCCTCGACAATCCGCGAACAGACGGCCCGCGACGTCGGGGCGCCCCCCCTACGGGCGGCGCCAGAGTCCTGATAGATCTCGCAGAGCGCCCGTCGCCCCGTTTTGTTCGTTCCGCCCCAGCCTCTTGGCGGCTGCGGTAGGGGCGCAGGGCAGCCGGAGCCAGGGCCAGGGCGCGCCCCCCCGCCAGCCCGCCGGCCCACTATTTTTGTGCGGCTGCCCGGGGCGCCGGTGGCTTTTTCGGCTGCGCCCGCCCCGGCCCCTTCCTGGCCCGCCCAGGTTTAGCCGGGCCGCTTGGCGTGTGTCGTGCCCGCGCGCCCAGTTGGGGTCGCGCGGTTCCTGCTCCGCCCCGCCCCTAGGTTCGTATCCCCCGGCGCCGGCCCGGCCTTTCCGTGCGTGCGTGCGTGGGTGCCCGCCCAGGATGGGCGCCCCCGCCGACCGCTTCCTCCGGTCGGTCCGTCGGGCCGGCCAGTCTTTTTCATGGGCCGCGCCGGCACTGAGTTCACACGCGCGCCATTGACTCCTGCGCTCCTGCTTCGCTGTGCTGCGTGACCAGATTGTTGCCCGTGCCCACAGGATCGCCGGCGATGCGGCGTTTCGGCTCGGTAGCTTTTTTGCACGAGGCTCCTGACTGAAAAAGCCACTTGTTTTTACGGCCCTTCAGGTTGGGGCGCGTTGGAACCTGCCCTCGCTCGTGTTCAGCGTTTCGACTCCGGTGGTGGTGCTGGTTTTTCACCGTCCTCCAAATTATTTACAGCCTTGCATGTGGTTTTTATCTTCTTGTGCACAGGCGGTTTATCCTTTCTTCTATGCGTTGCCACTGTATTATATCATCCCGCAACCACTCCTGCATTGTGCTAGGAATACAACATAGTCGTGGTAATGCTTGACGTAGTGGTCCACCTTGTATTCAGAAAGCGCAACCTCGGCTTCCACCAGCGGATGTTACCTTTTTACAATTACATTTGCAAAGCGATCACAGCAGCACATAGCCGCTTCATTTCGAAATATTCATAACACACCATGATCCCGGGCATCTCAGTCCTTTTGATTCTCGTCACCTATTGCTACCCACTCTACGAGACGATTCTCTGTTTGCGCCCTCTTCTTCTGGCGACGAGCAACACAAAGCTGAGTTCCAGCTCTTCCACTTCCGGTCCTTCACTTGACGCAGCACAAGAGGGTGGCACTAGTGGTACTACACTAAATACTCCTCCAAGAATTCCTGCTCAGACGATCATAATAACGGACGCTCAGAAGCACTGGTTGTTCTACTGGGTTTTGTTCGGCTTGTACCAGCAAATTGTGGACCCGGTGCTGCGTTGCGTCGACTATCTGATACCGATCCTGCCCGACGAGCTGCAATTTCTCCTCTTCCTGTGGCTCGTTCATCCGCAGTCGAGCGGGGCGGGGTTTCTGTGGGAAATGTACGTAGAAAGACATACGATGCGGCTGTTTAGGTGACGAGGGGGCGGGTTGAGATGGATTCTTTGTGGTGGTCGTGGTTGCAGAGAAGAATCATTTCGGCTTGAGAAGATCAAGATGTTGACTCTTTGTGTCGCATTCATGATGAATGGTAATGTCCACTGAGGATTTGCATGAACAACCCGTATGGCAATTCCAACAAGATACAAATTCACGCGCTGATGCGCGACATTGTGAAAGGTTGGAAATTTAGATTTTCAAACGGTCGACCCTACGCATGTCTTCGCTGCGTTTGTAGCGATGCAGTTCAGTCTTCGTTTTCATGTTCTGGATCATATACTAGTACGCGTAGGCATGGGCTGAGGTTTTTTCAGGGAGAGTGCTGTGGGCAAGAGAGATTGTTGTGGAGCCGGAGTGGCGGATGAAGTCTCGTTTGAGAGATTTCAAACATGAGTGAAAGAAGGCGCGAAGAGGGAGGGACATAGTTTGGACGGGGTCGTTGCTACCCATCTTCCCAGATACAAGATAGGCACACAGTCGGCCGCCGCGTCGGATACATTTTTGGCGGCGCGGCGCAGGGTCGGGCGTCGCGCGCGAGCGGGGGCCTGGCGCAACAGCGCGGGGGCGCCGTGCGATGGTACGGAGGGGAAACGGCGGAGCAGCGACGCCGTGCCCGCGGCCGAGCCTGCGGCTCCAGTTGCGGCCGTGCCCGCGGCCGTGCCGGCCCGCTGGTGGACCCTATCCGCAGTCCAGCGCCTGGATAGACGACGGCGATCGGACCGGGCGGCCTCTGCCTGTTAACTTCGGCCCTAGGCCCTTCCCTCTGCTGGCGCCCCCGGCCGCCACGGGGCGGCGCCTCGCGCGCGCGCGCGCAGACGATCGGGCCATCGTGGCAGCCCCTGCCCCGCTGCGTTGTTGCTTGGCCTGCCCGCATCTCTCGGCCGGGCTTGCCGCCCGCCCTTGCTGTATTGGAACGGGCCGCCGGCTTTATGGGTCCACATGTGCTGCCCCCCTTGCGTTCGGCGGCGCAGCTGTCGCTCGGGGCGGCGCTGCGGCTCTGCCCCGTAGCCGCTTTTCCTTTTTCGGGGTGTTGTAGGTGCCGGCGTGCCGGTATCAGCTTCTTTTTGTTTCTGTTTGCGAAGCAGCGCGAGTCAAATAGTGCTCGCGAAGAAGTGCTCACTGCGTGGGCGTGAAGAAGATAAGTTTCGCCCCCGAGGGCTTTCTAATAATAGAATGGGTAGCATTTTTCGTGGTCTGCAGCCCTGAATATCAGCTCGGACTATATGTTGTCCGTAGATGTCATGCAGCTAAGAGTTGCCAACGCCATCACCTCGTCTCTGGAACTGGATCTGTAATCAATATAGAGTCCTGCAAAAATGATCATAGTGCTGTCCATATTTGGATCATCATGAAAAACGACAAAAGCAGCACCGAGTTCCTTTCCGTTACAATGTGAAAGGGATCAGTACGTAGTTCTTTTCCTCATGTCTCGTGGTCCGGGACGATGATCAAAATCAAAACTCCTGCGCCATGTCTTCGTGATGAAATGTGTTTGGCAAAAATTCAGAATGAAGTTCCGGCATTTCGCCTTCTTGAAATAGAGACAGGATCTTCATCTTGTTCTCTTACTCTATCCAACGCAGGCCACGCACTGCAAAACTAGATGTGGTTCATTTCATTCTCACCCAGACCCTTTCAGAGGACGCCGCAGTATTGTTTTACCACGACTGCGAAATTGGTTTCACCCTCCACCTGTAGCTTAAAAGTTGCGACTTTCCTTACTGCCCAAGAAAAAGTATTGATGTTGAACTTCGAAACACCATGTTGACGCTTCGACTTCATACAGATTTCTCGTAACAGTCACTTCTGCAGCGCTGCATATCAGCACTTTGAACATGGCTGTAGCATCGACCCTCCTCTCATCTGCGACGACTTCCTGTAGCGCTGAAGTTTCTTCCTCCACTGCTTCCGCTGAAAAGCCCAATAAGCAGCATCACGATTTGCAGGAACTACAACAGAAAATCAGCAAGATGGAAGTAGAACATCAAAAATCTTCTTCTTCTGCGGACAAGATGATACAAGTTGTAAATCGCGAACAACATCAAACCGCGCCGGGTCCTCAAAGCACCACGGCGACAACGACAGTATCCAAGCAGAACAAGAAGGAATGGAAGAAGAAACAGAAGGACTTGCAGGGGAGGCTGAACGAGGCATGCAGGAAGAGGAATGTAGCGGATGGTCTTGACAACAAACGAAATCAACGCCAGCATTCCTGGACGGAAATCCAGGCAGTTTATGAAGACTGGATGGAAAACAATCCGGATGTGTATGACTTGCTCAGATGTTTTTACAATCTCAAACGTTACAATAGAGTCTGGATTTGGTCTTGCATGATGAGCATGACAGACTCGGACAGCATTCCGCTTTCTGCAATACAAATTTCCCCAGATTGTAGTGCGATTGGGGACCACTCCGGGACTTGGCATGCGCAAATTCCTATGAGAGTCGGCTAGATAATGCACTTCCTGCATCACAGATTTGCATATTGTGTCGAATAACGTTTGAGATTGTAAAAACACCTGAGCAGGTTATAATGTGCCGAAACCGAGCTGCCTGTTCGCGCAAACCATGCAGGGAGTTGTGGAAGAAATCGTGTTGATGGTGGATAATTTTTCGTCTAGCAGTAGTAGTTCCTGCATGACAAAGACAAACCAACAGCAGCAAGCCGAAGAAGTGACGAAGATCGCCTTTTTCATCCAAAAGGTGTTTGAGGAGGCCAAGAAGCACTTTTTCGCCTCCAATCCCAACGCAAACGCGGGCAACTCGAATTTGAAAAATCTCGAGTCCTTGTTGTACTTGCTCTTCCGCAGTTATTGCGCGGAAATGAAGATCAGGAAGATGATGATGATGAATTTTCCTGTTGCTGGGGAAGAAGAAACGAGCAGTAGTGCTGCTGGCCGGGTATCGTCTTCGGAGCAGGTTTCGCTCATTGACAACGCGTTGGAGCAGTTTATGACATATTTCGGAACGTCGACCAATAAGAGCTGCAACACAGAGACAGAACGAGAGCCAACTTCTCATGCGACAAGCGATACAAGTAAAAAAGCCACGACGATGAAGCCGGTGCACCAGGTGAAGCTGCGCACTTTGATCCCGATCTTCGAGATATCGCAAGAAAAAACTGTTTCACTGTAAACTTGTAATGCAGAAAATGCATCACGAAAGTGTTTGTCTTGCTACACATGCAAGACAGGCGATTTTTAATGGTGTTTTCCCTCAGGATCCTCGCATGGCAAATTTTCTTTGTAATGTGTAGCGAACTTGTAATGCAAAACTTGCAAAATCCTGACAGTCAAGCAGTTTTTTCTTGCGATATGAGATGTTTGCGTTGTCAGGGGGTTTTTCCGTCGGGGATAGTAGTAGAACTACAACTACACTACACCAAGAAGCTCCTTCTGCTCCGTCCAGTACAACTTCTGCTGCACACGACACCAGCAAGAACACCAGAAACTACTTCGCGGAAGCGGAATTATTCTATGAGCAGCAAGTGGCGAAGCGGTTTTTGCAACACCAAGATCCAACCGCTAGTGGGTCATCGACTACAACATCAACTGGTCCCTCCGGGTACATGAACACGGCGTCGATTATCATGCACTCGGTGACCAGAAATTCTTCTGTGCAAATTAACGACGACCAGAAAAATTGGGAGTGGCTGTTTCTCTTCCGGATCGAAACGTTACTGAACAGCAAGGCAGATGAAAATAAGTTGGAAAAGCTGCAAACCCTCTTAGCCGAGATGGCGAAGGTTTGCCCGCGGCTGGGATTGGTCAAAGCCGACGAGGAAGTAACTTCGGATAACACGACCATCCACCTAGACCGCGGAATGGGCGCCGCGACGACGGGAACAAATGTAACCGTGAAGTCCAAGCTTTTGGATTTACTCAGAAAGTTTAATTACAGAATTCTGACGGATAAATCCATTATATCTGACGAAACGGGGATCTGTGATTCTACAAATCTCAAGCTGCAGCGCAAAAACCTCGTTTCAAAGGGGGAATTGGAGAAACTGCTGCGGCTGATAGAGCGGTTAGCAACGGAACAACAGCAGCAGACGTCTTTTGCAGGTTTTAGCACGCCAAGTAGCTCGCCGGCACCCTCGGTGGTTTCGGAACAGAATGGAGCGGCGGGTGAGAAAAAAGTTGGAGCGGCTGTTGTTCCAGGAAGTGTAGTTCCGCCTCCTCCTGCTGCTGCAACGGACACCTCCCGCGTGAGAAGTTCCAATTGTTCAGAGGAAGCGCCGGGTGCTGGTCCTCGTAACAGCAGCCACAACTCCCTCACCCTTCTCGAGCGCTGGCAGCTGTTCCGCTATGCGGTTTTGGAGAAGCAATTTTTGCACGAAGGGGCGAACGATCAATACGACTGCGTCCTAGACGGCGCGAATATCGGCCACCACTCGCAGAACCACGACAGGGGCGCTTTTTCGCTGGAGCAAATCGACCTGGCGATGGAGGAGTGCAAGAAACTGGGGAGGAAACCTCTGGTGATCCTCCGGGAGCACTGGTGTCGGGACAGAGCGAAGATTTTATTGAAAGCGGAGCACGAGAGGACCACAACTACTGCTTCGAATATTAAACTTCTAGACGACAAGGGCCACAAAGCGGCGAAAAGGAGAAAGCTCGCGCCGTTGGGAGCGGATAATATTAACACTACTAGCGGGATGAAAATGTGTCATCCTCTTTCGCGGGACCAAGGATCCTCGGTGAGCTCGAGGGATTCAGGATCAGCAGCGGATAATTTAGGACGACTCGATTCATCCGATGTAGTACCGCGACAGGCATCTTCATCTTCCGTGTCCTCTTCATTCAAATCTAGCGAGGATTTGGTTCGATCCTCGCCCGAAGGTGGCACCCCGCGCAGTGAAGGAAATCAAGAGATGCAGGAGGAGAATCGAACCCGAGAAGAAGATTTACCTGCTACTGCCAATGGTACTGCTGTTCTTGATCAAGAAAACTTAAACTGCGACAAGAAGAACATCCAGCACCCGACCGCCGCCTATCTGCAAAGCCTGCAGAACCGCAAGCGCCCGTTGGATCTGGACAGCTGGCACGAACTACCCAGGAAGTGGTATGAGAACAAGGAGCTGCTGATTTCCCCGAACAAATTGAACGACGACTGGGTGTTTCTCTACACGGCAATTAAAATTTGCGCGCTGAAGAAGACTAGTCACGAAAGGGAAATAAAGATAAACAGCATGACAAATATTAATTCGCCTAAAGAAACTACGCCGCCAAAGGAGCTCTACCTGATCTCCAACGATTTGATGCGCGATCACTTCTTCCGCATGCGGCACCACCCCAGTCTGCTGCAGTGGAGGGACCAACATTTGTGTAAATTCAACGTGTCGGGGAAAGTGCTGGTGTTGCATCACCAGGAGCAAAAACGAACGGGCAGTGCAATACAAACGGCTGGTGAATCAAGCGAAATCAAAATACCTGCAGAAGAAGTAGGTGCTGAAACAGTTAGGGAGAAAGACGAGGTTCTCAAAGTTGTAGAGAGTAAAATCGTTGCGGACTACAGTTCCGCGGTAGTGGAGTTGATTACGCCTAAAAACTGGAGTGCGGAAATACAACGGATTGATAAAGCAACGGCCCAGGAGGAGGACAAAGACCACCAGCAGGACCACGAGGAGAATAAAACCAGGGACTACGACTGCAACAAGCGCGGCCACTGCTGGTTTTTCCCGTTTCTGCCTTCTTCACAGGTGACGGTCTCGCAAGACCCGAGACTCCGAGCGGCGAGTAACAATAATGCGGGTGGAAGTAGTTCTTGTGCAGGCGGGCACCTCCAGCAGTCGGGGGAAAGGCAGAACAAGGAATTTTCTGTGAAGGACTGGAGATGGGTGGTGGCAGAATATGCTGGAGGAGGTGAGAATGAGAAAGGAAATGGAAGCAGTGATGTAGAAAGAGCTTCTGCGCGTAAGAATGAGACGCTTGATGGCAACTGAGTGTCATATGTCTGCTCAAGCCCTGGTCTACAACTTCGCTGAGATTTTTACACCCTAATTGAGACTGGCAATGTTTTTACTGCGACTGTGGAATTGCTTTTTGTTTTCGCGAGATATGTGATGAACAAAAAGTGTTGACTACTACTTTTCTGCATTCGCAGAGATTGAGCTGCCAGCATTGAGTGGCAAGGGTGTTCGCGTCTTTAGTGTTGTTAGTGCTTTTACAAATTTGATAGCAGGATTATCGACCAGCAATGAAAAATCAAAAGAAGACCAAGCGGGGGCTCTCTTCCGAGGCCAGAGCGCGGACAGCAATCCGCTACGGCGATGCTGTTACTGCCGGAACAAGAAACGCGGGCGCCGGGCCGAGATGTGGCGGCTGACGAGGTGCGGGGGCTGTGTGCAGGATGGATCCAGATCCGCCCACTGTCGTAGCGCCGGACGGCGGCGCGGTGGCCAATCTGCCTGGATTTGCACGAGTCAGCGCGCTGCTCGCGGCGTTTCCAGCTGCGGGGCTGCCGACGCCGGCGCACCTTCGATCGTTGCGTGATCTCGTGATGTCCGGCGGGGCCCCTTGAGAGACGGGGGCGCCAGGTAGGGCAAGAGGGCCCACCGGGCTACCGCGGCCGCCCGCGGGCGCCTCATATTTCCGAGATTGCCATGCAGATTTATTCCCTTCGAAGCTTCCGCCGCTAGTCTGCCACTTCTCCGGCTACATCTCGCAGCGTTGGGCGACCTCCCTCTGCGCGGCGGGAACTTGCTCCAGAAGACCAGCGCCCCCCGGCGTTCGCGATATCTGGCGCAGTCGGGGGGCTCGGGCGAAGCCGACCCGCTGTTGAAGAGCGGAGGCCAAGGGCCGGCCCCCCTCCATCCCGGGCTGGGTGTTCCTGGGCATGCCGTCGCAAGGGCCGGGCGCGGTATTTCGGGAGGCGCTGCGTTTGCCCTCCGACGTGATGGCGCGCGTTGTGGTTGGCTGTGGCGCCGCCGGCCCCGGTGGCGCGCGGAGCGGGGCCCCGCGCTGTCTGTTTCCCGTGTCTCCGCACCCGGCGGCCCCTAGCCGGCTCCGCGCGCCCGCCGCGGGGAGAAGGGGGCGCGCGGGGGAAGCCGGGGAAGGCTTGGCGCCCGCCCAATTCCGGGCGAGCAGGCGGCCCGCGCCTGCTCTCGAAATTTTGAAGACGATTGCGCTCTAGGCTTTGGAAAAAGTTGCAAAGGACCTGGGCCACGGGATCCATGAGGTTATGGCTGTCGCGCTTTTCCATCACCCCGGGCGGAATTTCATCGATTGGCCCGCACGCAAGCGCTTTGCTCACGAGCGGAGATGCCCGGAGACCGGTACTCACGCGACAAGGAGTCGAGTTGCAAAGCTACCCGCTCACCCAGTCCCGGCGGGGTTCCGAGAGATTGGCGACATGACGGCGCCGGCGCTGCGCCCTCGGCCGCGTTTCCGGGCCCGGCCGCGCCCCAGTGCCTGGCTGGCGGCCGCGCGCCCCGCCGGCCCTTTCTGTGTTCGTTGCCACCTGCTGGCCACAAAGGAAGCCGCGGCCGGGCGGCCGGCCCGGAGCGGGGCCGGGCATATTCAAGCTCGCAGGATTGCGCCGCCAAAGTTGGCGGCGGGCGGCGCGCGTCGAGCGCGGGGCCGGCTGACTGGATGCGCGCGGCGCCAGTGGCCCGGCCGCCACGGTAAGTGGGCGCGCGCGCCGCGCCGGCGCTGCCCCGTGAAGCCGCGCGCCGTGCATGCCCGTCCGGCGCGGGACTCTTCGGCTTTTTTTTTGCGCGTGAGACTTAGCTGCCTGGCATGCCAGCTAATTTTTGGACAGGTTGCCCCAGGGCTTCAGACGGATCATGCAGGGCGGTGCCCTCTGTGGCATAGTGGCTTTTTTTGTATGTTCCTCCCTGCCTGGTGGAGCTGGTGGCAGATTCCGGGGTGAGGTTGCCGACTGAGAGTGACTTTTGAGAGCATTGCACCGAGGTGAAAATTATAGCAGAGTAGCGAGTGCTAGTCGTGTGAGCCTCGAGCGCGTGAGTGTGGGCAAACAAAAGCAGGCGGCCCGCCATTCTGATCAGCGAGTGTCAAACCAAAGGGAAAGAGCGCGTCAACCCCTGCGCACGGGGCAAACACAAGATGGCCACAACCAACACCATATCCTATGTAAGAACGTCTCCATGCAGCTTGTGATGCAAATCTGCATGCTGGAAACATTTCGCATGCGGAGCCCCATGAGAAGTAATTGCCAGTCGTGTTCCGGAATTTGTCATGCTCCAATCAGCACCATATACTACATCTGTGATGCTGGTTTACTAGCGAAACAGGACCACACTAGCACGAGGTCAAACTTGTCATGCGCAAGATCCAATGCTTGTTGATTTGTCTAGCAGATTTCCCATCTTCACTATAGCGTGGGGACTTTTTTCCACAGGATACACCAGTTTCGATCTCCTCCCGGGCCTCGGGACCATGCCAGGCTTTATCCTGTGCAAAAGTATCGTACTCGTAGTAATCGCAATTATGCAATACAAATCTTTTTCCTAAGGTGAGTCAGCATTACAAATTCTATTTCTCATGCTGAGGGAATTTGTCATGCGATTTCTACTTAGTACGATACATTTGCAATGCACAGGCTTCGTGAAAGAGCGATACGAGCACCGCCCCGTGAAGCACAAACTCAATCTATTACGCGCGAAGTGGGATCGGGTTCTGGCGGAGAAGGTAGTATAATTGTGAAATTCGACGGTGGATCACGAACACGGAGTGTACCTCTTCTGCTGCGTGACAAGAAATGCAAATTACAAAGTTTGCAACCGGGTCAACAGCACCCTCAGTCGTTCTTGTGATTTTTCAATTGCAAATCTCTCAGTCATCTGCTATCGTATTTATCAGGAGCCGTCAGTCCCGCCGAGTCTGGTTCACAGCAAGTACAAATCCGCGGGTCTGACCGACTATTCTCTGCAACAGTATCGTACTCGTATTGCAGTCCTGCATTACAAATTTGTTTGTGAAGGTAAACTCGCATTACAAATTTCATTTCATCTCATGCGGAGGAAATTTGTAGTGCATTTATACGAGTGCGATACTTTTGCAATGCATACCGACGACAATGCCGGGGAGTTCAGTCCTGCGAAGATGCGCGCGTCCTTGAAATATGCATTGCAAATATGTCTGGGTCTGGAAGAATGCAGGAGTTTGTCATGCAGATTTTGCATGACCCATGAGGTCGGTGATGCATGCCCTAGCATCGGAGACTTTGCGAGGGCTTTCTCATGCTCGTACCGTATGAGAAATGCCCTCTCCGCGTAGCAAAAATGACACCACTTTTGCTGTTCATGCAATACAGACTTTATGTAGAGTTCAGAGGTAGCATCACAAGTTGCATCCTTCCAGACCCAGAGACTTTTGCATTTGATATGAAAATGCAGGACAGCCGGAACAAGGTCATTTTGCCCGGGAATCTAGTTTTACCGGTGCAAAAACAGGATACAGCGAAATTCTATTTCCACGGAGCTGCGAGTGCGAGTGCGACGACTCGTCCGACCGCCCTGTCTGACGGAATGCTGCTGTCGTCGTTCCAACACGGAGGTGGACAGATGAATCCGCACGACGACTATTATCCACCAGCCTCCGGCGGAACAAGCTTTCAGTCCTCTACGGGGATGAAAAAGACCACGAGCGTGAACAAATTCGAGAACAAATTCGATTACGACAAAAACGTCGATTTAAACCGACGGGCCTCGCTCCCGACCTACCACAGAGGTGGTGGTAGTGACGGGCTGATGAAAATAAAAAACACCAGACCCGCAGCGCATCTTCCGCCAAAACCGCTTTTCGGGTCTTCCTCCTCCTCTTCCTCGTCGAACCTAAAAAGAACTTCTTCGCCGAAGAACGTGGTAAAGACAGCTTCTGGAACAACTACATCTGCACCAGGCATGACAGCCAGTCCGCTCCTGTTTACTATTCCAAATGCCGCTTCCGCCTCGCCCGGGAGCCCCGTGAGAACGTCAAGACAAATGAATTACACAAACACCCGGATGAACTACAACTACGGCTCTACAACTGTCTCCGATTTCTCCGCGAAGATCCACTCCGAGTATCAGTCTTTGATGAAGTCTATCAAATGTAAAAATATCTGGGTCTGGAAAAATGGAACTTGTGATGCTAACTTTGGACTCTAAAAAAATCTGTATTGCATGACCAGCAAGAGGAGCCACATTTGTGCTACGCGAGGAGGGCATTTGTCATGCGGAAATGGCATCAGGAAGCTTTCCAAAAGTCTGTGATGCTGGGTCATGCATTACAAGCACCATGGGTCATGCCAGACAAGCATGATAAGCCTTGCGGCGCATATCCTTGCGGGAACGTATTGAGCCCTTCAAGTATATTCGCCCTACTTTTGCATGCGCGGCGTGGGGGTTTGGATTTATTGTCGGTCTGCCATTTGCTCTCATTCGGTCGTGGGGCCTCACAGAAAGATATAGAAATCGTGCTCGTGCTGGGCGGGGAAAAATTGCATATGGGGCAGTAGATGTAGTTGTAGTCTGCATAGATCGTCATTGTGACTATTTCCCTTCTAGTTTCCTCACAAACCCTGGTAGATTTTTATGTAGAATTACTTATGCAGAAGTACACTCGGAAGAATGGCGCACCGCAGAGAGAGCAGGCGAGAGAGCGGACGAGCGAGCGGCATGCGCGAGCAGCATGAGCGAGCAGCATGAGCGAGCGGCGCCGCGGCAGCGCCCGCGAAGCGAAAGCCTACGGGGCCCGGCCCAGAAGCAAAAAAGAACAAACCCGCGGGGGCCTCATGCCACTCATCCTCGGCAAGCCGGAAGGCCGCAGCCCCGGCAGTAGCAACAGTGGCGGCAGTAGTAGCAGTGCACTATCTAGATACTAGCTTAAAAGGGTCGTAGCGCAAAGAAAGAGGGGCAGTCCACAGAGGCTTTTTTGCATGGGGTCCACTGGTCACCGTTTCGCGCGAGCCATTCGGTGGACGACTGACCCCGCCCCATTTAGATAGCCGCTATGCGGGAGCTTTGTAAAAACTGGACTTCGTCCGTCTCCGGGTGGCGTGCCCGGGGTTCAGTCTAAATAAATTTGCCCGGGAAAATACCACGCAGCGGAGCAATCAGGCCTACTCGTAGGCCAGTCGGGGTCTACCCTTTCCCCACGTCGTCACATGTGGTTATTGGGTTCAGTTGGCATGTGTCAGGGGGTTCCTGTCTTTGGCATTTCCCGGCTCCTCCCATGGGTTCACTTCGACGATTGCTGCCGGGGACATTCATATGCAGTCAGCCGGATGCCCGTGACCTGGCTCGTACTGCGAATGCAGCTGGATGACTGTGACCTGGCTCGTCTTCGATGGGCAGGCGGATGACTGTGACCTGTCTCGCCCATCAAGATCCCTAATCCGTAGCTCCTAGATGTTGCCCGGCCCGCGAATGACTCCAGGGCAGCCGGATGGCCGTGACCTGGTTATAAAGGGCTTCGTCGATCGATTGTGCCACTAGGGCCTTGTGTTCCGGCTACTCCGGATCGCAATCGATGGAGGGCGGGACCTGCACCGGCGACAGGCGCTATCCAACCAACCAACCAACCAACCAACCAAGCCTTCCACTCTTCCAGACCCAGACATTTTTGCACTTGATAAAGTCGCTGCTGCCCATGCGCGCGGCGCTGGCAACCGGGACTCCCTTGGAAGCGGTGTGTACCGCGAGTCCGGTTATCAATTGTAAAAATGTCTGGGTCTGGAAGAATCCAACTTGTCATGCTGATTTTGGATTCTAAAAAAATCTGCATTGCATGAGCAGCAAAGAGAGTCCAAGTTTCGCTACACGGAAAGAGCATTTGTCATGCGGTATAGGCATCAGGAAGCCCTGACAAAATCTGTGATGCTAGGGCCTGCATCACAGACATCAGGAGTCATGCAAAATGAGCATGACAAACCTGGCAATCTTCCAGACCCAGACATTTTCACATCTGATACCGGTTTTGGTGAGAGCAGCTGGCGGTGTAGTAACGAGCCCAAAGGGGGAGGAAAATCAAGGTGCGGCGGTAGCACCAACAACAGCCGCGGGTTTGCAGCAGCAGCTGCACCAGATACAGCAGCAAAACGGAACACTTGTTTCCTCATCATCATCTACTTCGCAGTATCGGGCTTCCAGCAGCCCGCCGCTGCTGTTTAACCAGAACAGCGGGCCGGCCACCAGCAAGGGAACGATTAGTGGGACGGAACGGGAAGTTGCGACGGGGTTCGGTACAGCGATGACGAAGAGCAATTTCAACCTTATTCCCCCCAGCAAAGCAGCATCTTCTGCCGGAACTGATTTCGCAAAATCAAGGCTGCCGTATTGGGAGAGGTTGGTTAAGAGTCACAGCTCCGGGAATGTGCGGGTAGTTTCAGACGGAAATGAGGACAATTCGCATGGTTTATTTGAAACGATGTTGAAAACAAATAGAGAAAAAGCGAGTTACAAGAACGTGAACAAACACAACTACCACCATTTGATCTCGCACATCCAAGACGAGGGCATTTTCCGGCCACCGAAACTACAGGGGATTTTGGACATCAGCGGGATTTCGCCGGCGTCTGTTCTTGCTGGTGGTGGAGGGCACGGTAGGTTTTTTTGATGCCGTCGGAGGTTTTTCTCTTCGTGGACGACCTTCAGAACATTTCCGTACTGCTTTATCGGCCCGTGTGGCCGAACGGGTTGGTTGAGTTTTTCGTGGTACGAGGTTTTACCTCCAGCCCTCTAGGGTAAAACCTTCTTGAAAGGAGGTTTTACCCCAGTACGAAACAGGCTGCTGTGGTGGCTTTTTCGAGGTTTTACCCCTGGGGCAGGTGTAAAACCTCCAGCCCTCTAGGGTAAAACCTTCTTGAAAGGAGGTTTTACCCCAGTACGAAACAGGCTGCTGTGGTGGCTTTTTCGAGGTTTTACCCCTGGGGCAGGTGTAA